TACCGGTACTGTCTGAGGACATGTGGCTAGTGATTCTGCAGTAGCTAGTGCCCTGCACAGCCTTGGTGCCCAGAGAAGGAACATCAAAACCGGTGTCAGGCCCCAGCCTCACCCATACAAGCATACCTCTGAATACAATCAGTCAACCCATCTTCAATCAACCTTTCTGTCACCGTGACATCTTCAGATACCATCAAATCTGACAAGACGCTTCGATACCGTGACGAACAGTGGCGTTGGTTCTACGTATGTCCTTTCGATGCCGAACAGAGGACGTATGCAGTAATGCTAATTAACATAATGTAGTGGCTTACAAGAGAGGAAGCTTTGAGTAGAAGAATCCATCTAGAGCAAGTCCATTGAAGTGCATTGAACAATATCGAGATGAAATACAAGGCATGCACCTCCTATTCATCTGACAACACCCCTCTCTTATCTTGGCAAATATCTGATATACTGTGGTTGTAGGGGTAAGTTTTGTATATTGCCACTCAGGAGAGCCAGGGTGGCAGCACTGGCCATGGAAGCTTCTATTACCTAGGTTCAGCTCCGAGCATTAGGTTTGTAAGCTAAAATATATGGAAACGAAATGATGTGATCTCCCACTTGTAAGACACTGTTTCTGATGAATATAAGGCACTGTTTCTAATAGAGATAAGGCTCAGAACACTTCCAAAATAGGAAATTGGTGATAGTTGAATTGAGTTGTAGTACTCAGTACTTTGTGTGGCCATCCTGGGCATCAATTACGGCTTGCATCCTAGCCGGCATGGACTGAATTAGATTCTCAAATAGCTGAGATGGAACAATCTCCCAGGCCTTCTGAACAAACGCTCTCAGTGCTAGATAGGAGAGGTTGCCATTCGGGCCTGTTTTGAGCTCAATATAATCCTTCATCTAGCACCAGACTGTCTCAATAGGATTCAGGTCAGGTGAGTAGGAAGGCCACCTGATATAAACAATCTTTGCATGCTCAAGCTCCTGCATAGTGAGATAGTATTTGTGGGCAGGCGCATTATCTTGCATGAAGATAAGGGTTCCTCCATAGTAGTGCCAGATATAGCTTTCCATGATGGGCAGAATCCGTGCAGCATAGGCCTCTCCAGTAATAGTTCCCCACTCCTTCTCCCAGAACAGGCTAGAGCCTTTCACGTTTGAGTGAAAAGAGTCCCAGAACATCCACCCATGCTTCCTCTGATGCCTGATAATCACATAGATAGAGTGAAGCTTCTCATCGTATTTGCAGGTAACCCACTGTTTTCTGTCCCTCCCTGACTGAACCCAGCTCTCATCACTTCATAGAACTCTCCACCAGTCATCAGTAGTCCAGTATAGATGGGCCTGGGCAAATTGAAGTCTCTGGCACTTGTTGGCTTCAGATAGTGGGGGCTTCTATCGGGCAATATATCGATAGTAACCATGGTGTTCGAGGGCGTGACGGATACTAGATTCTGTAGCTCCATAGTGGGAGAATACCTGGAAAATGTAAGACCTTAGAACAAGCAGATTCCTATACAAAAACATACCTGGGCAAGCTCATGGTAAGGGAGCAGTCTTCCAACCTGTGAGCTTACAATGAATAGCTCTATCTCATCAACTTATTCTTCCATAAGTGTAGATAGCTGACCTAGGCGCTTCTTTGGTGTAACCCACTCACATGAATCTGCATATTGTGCCTGCCTGTACATAATCCCCAGTATCCTAGATATCTCTTTTAGGGAATGGCCAAACTGATGTAGTATTTGAACTTGTAATCAGATATCCCTATTAGTGTAAAAAGTATGTAGGTGAGGAGTTGTTCGAGGAGGGCGAGGGTGGCATCTTCTATCTACTATGTATGGAGGTATTAAAAATGGTGATCCTTGGCACTCCAGAGGCTCATTTTTCCATGCTGGAGTATGAGGTGGAGCAGCAATTTGGTGAGTAGGTGTTGAGGACTCTATTGTAGAGAGAAGGGCCGAAAGAGAGTAAGATACTAGGAATTTTAATTAACCGTATAAATTGTATAGGAGCTGACAAAATAGAATATCACTGATTTCTCCAGGTTTCCATGGTCAGTGCTGCCACCCTGGCTCCCAAGTGGCAATATACAAAACTTACCCCGGCAACCATAGTATTTACCTGTGCAGCCTAGCAAAATATTTTTAGACTCACACTAGCACAACGTACAATCCCTGTACCCCAGTAATTCTCCGTTTTCCAAAGTGCCCCTATGTTCCACTAGCCAACATCCGCCAGCCCAAAATGATAAGACCATCCCACCAGTAAAGGATATGCACTCAATTATAGCATGCGCGATATACGGCCTGGTGTTCCAAATAGGATATACAAATGGAATGACACTAATGCGGCGCTGACTTGCTGTAGATGCTATCTGGCGATCACTCTTCTTGGTTCACCGGATAAGGAGAGTGGATAAGATCCATACGACACCAGGCTCCTAGCTGAATCATCGCTTAGTTGCATATATAGCTGAACTGCACTGAGTCTTCCAATCCCAGGACGCATTGAGTTCATGAAATCTTCCTAATCAGCTGTCTTTTCTCCTGTATGCTACCACGACCCTCACCAGTGGCCTTTTCAATTCGGGTTCGGGACCTTATAGATAAATTCCTCACGTAAACATGTCGCTTAGTCAGAAATGGCATCGACGTGGTTTCGAATACAGCCCTCTGCAATCCAATACTTTCAGATTGCTAGAGCTTATTTCTGGATGTAGCCTATGCACCGATATTCATTGCAGGCTGCAGGACTACCAGTTAGACTCGGCACTGCCATACGAAGCTTTATTATATACGTGGGGCGATGAAGAGAGTGCATGCCGGATATCATTAAATGGTTTACCTTTTCACATCCGACCAAACCTTCGAGACGCGTTGCATCATCTGCGGCAACCTCGAAGCACACGAATCATCTAGATCGATGCGATATGCATCGACCAAAACAGTGCAGACGAGAAAAGCATCCAAGTGCCTTTAATGGGAAAGATATATACCAGAGCAGAACGGGTGATTGCTTGGCTTGGTGAAGAGACGTTTGACAGTGGGATGGCTCTTGATTTCATTCCACACTTGACCAAGGTTGCTGAAGTTGACACCGAGTCCATCTGGCTATCGCACCTTAAACGGGATGAGTTTCTTCGGAAGATGATGTCCCTTGTTCACCTGTTCGCTCATCCCTGGTGGAAAAGGATGTAGATAATCCAAGAAGTGGCACTAACTCCAGATGTCCTCATTGTGTGCGGTTCTCATCATATCCCTTGGTCCGCATTCCATTTATTCACCATAGCATGGATGGATACTGGACATGTGCCTCATCACAGGTTTAACAGACTTCAAAAAACTGCACTTCATAACCTTGGCATGCTCATCTCTGGCTTTTCGGAGGCATTAATGAGACTGCATCTGTCACTTCGAATCATCTTCTCTGCATATGAGTTATTCAAACTGTCAAATCTACTTTGGTCATTCAAATATCGATTGGTAACTGATCCTCAAGACAAAATATACAGCCTTTTAGGTCTTCTTAGTCATCACGGCATTCAGGTCGACTACAGTATATCATCTGAGGATACATATGTATCAATCTTCTCCTCGTGTCTGTATTACAACCCAGCAGGAGCTAACCCTGATGAAGCCCCACTTGACCAGGTATGCTCTCACTTAAGCGAAGGCAACCACAGAGCACTCAGCATCACCCAAGGAACACAGACCAATGGAGTCATGTGATCATGCATGGTGCTCTCTATGCTCTCCATGATCTCAGAGAGCAAGCAGAGCAGTGAGAGCAGGATATGCAGAATGCTCTCAGTGATCTCGATGATCTCACAGAGCAGTGAGATCAAGCAGAGCAACCTTGTGTATATAACAGTAGATGATGAGCTCTTATAGCTCTTCATGTTCAATGTCAATCAGTACTTCTTAGTACACTTGGTTTTCAATCTGATATCCTTTTCGGAAGAATACCACTTACCATCTTGATATCAACCACACTGTGCAAGGAACTCTATCATTCATTCCCGAGAACCAACCAAGATCCCTAGAGGATATACCATTATCTGTGGGACCTTCACAGCCTGTTAGAAGATGAAGGTCTAGACTGGTTTCGTTGGATGACTGGAGAGTGCTACGAGCCGAAGAAGCTATGTCTTCCTTCTTGGGTTCCCGATTTTGGTCCGAGAGCTATAATACCAATCTCCTCTTTTTTATCTGACCCGGTTCGAGGAGAGTTGCAGCGAGCATTTTTGATAGCTGGACCAGACCAGTCAAGATCATTGTCTACTATTCAGTTTAGTGACGATCATCGTACGCTGATTCTCCGAGGCTGTTCGTTTGACGTAGTCAGTGTGACGGCTCAAGACTCTGCTCGGCTGAACCACTTGGTTGTGTGGTTGCCTTGATCAGTCACATAGCTCAAGTCACATAGCTCTTCCATCTTTTCTGCATCGGCCTTCTGCCAAGCCAACCGCTCGCTTAACATACACACTCAGCATATATAGATTGCGCGGTGGAAGCAACCCTTTGCTCTCCACTTTTGGATAGCTTGAAATAGATCCCCACCTACCCAGCCATTCTCCCTTATCTCACACAGTTGCAGTGCAGGCCTCGGAGATCCAGCCGCTCGTGGAGACCCAGGGACCGTCCTCACAGTCAGCCAATGCAGATGTATCTTTCCCTTTGGAGATGATGTCGTTCTTGCTGGCCACACAACTAGCTCGATCTTTTCCCACTGGAAAAAAATGGCAATGAATACCCAATCTGGAACGTATAATTCGCGTATTTCTAGAGAGGATGCCTTTTGGAGAATAATTTTGACCGACCAGCAGATCGAAGGGCTTCATTTTAAGGAAAATGCTGGATGGAACCCAGCACAGCGACTCCCATTAGAAATACAATACATCCTACCCAAAAACGCGAAGGAGGAGCAAGAGTTGTTGCAAGCTATGGAGAATCGACAACTTTGCTTGAATGGACGAAGATTTTGTATAACTAGGAAGGGTCACTTTTGCTTACTGCTACCGACCGCTTCTGAAGGGGACCTGATCTGCGTATTGCTAGGCGGAGAGGTGCCCTACATACTAAGGTGTATTGATAACCAAAGTCAAGATTTCTATACGATGGTTGGGGAATGGTGAGCTGCCACATCACTGCATACTATTTTGATTACTAACTGGGCTATCAGTTATGTGCATGGAATAATGGATGGTGAGGCTATTACTGACATTTTGGATGGCAACGACGTGTGCGATATTTTCAGGCTACGGTGAGGCTGAATTTATTTCCAAGAAATAATAATGTTAGTTTATGTCATTAAATATGTGAAGCATCCATCATTTCTTTTAGGACACAGGTGTTCGCCATGAAGAGGGAGGTAACGTAAAGCGCTAAGACTACTTTAGCAGCGTACATTATCGGTAGAGTCGCTCACCGCCTGGCGCACATCCCTACCTGGCACCCGCAAATACCATTTTTCATCCAAACTTCAAACCATTCTATCTCATCCACCATGGCAGGTATCGAGGCAGCTCTTGAAGCTTTGAATTTGCTAGAACCTGGAGAATCTTTTAACTATTCAGATTATGTGAAATTGTATGGATGCAACTAGACAACACTGTCGCGGTGCCATCGAGGTGTACAAGGGATCTGTGCCTCCAAGGTACAGAATGACAGGGTACTCAACACTATGCAGAAGAAGCAGCTTATAAAGTATATAAACAACCTTTGCGAACGTGGCCTCCCTCCTTCTCGACCTATGATACGAAATTTTGCGTCCCAAATAGCCCAAAAACCATGCAGCAAAAACTGGGTTGATCGCTTTGTTGCCCGATACAGCAGCGAGATTGTCTCATACTGGGCATCAGGCCTTGATCGCAATCGTTACAAAGCCGACTCTGCCTTTAAATATACGCTGTACTTCGAGCTTCTCAAGCGCAAAATCGAGCAATACGATATCGACAGTCGACATATATACAATATGGATGAAAAAGGCTTCTTAATTGGACTGCTATCTAAAACCAAGCATGTGTTCACATGCAGCATGTACGAGTCAGGAAAGCTGAAGCATATCATACAGGATGGCAATTGGGAGTGGATTACTACTATAGCTTGCATCTGCACTGATGGCTCTGCACTTTCGCCAGCGCTGATCTATCAAGCTGTTAGCGGCAACATCTAGAATACATGGCTGCAGGATTTTGAGGCATCAAAACATCAGGCTTTCTTTACAGCCTTACCTACTGGATGGATGAGTAATGATATAGGGCTAGCATGGCTTAAGCAGGTATTCGATCGTGAGATAAAGGCAAAGGCATGCTCATCATGATGGCTCCTGATACTCGATGGCCACGGATCACATGTTACAATAGATTTTATACAGTACTACGATGAGAACAAGATTCTCCTAGCTGTATATCCGCCTCACAGTACTCATACGCTCCAGCCGCTTGACATTATTATGTTTTCTCCACTTGCAGCTTCGTACAAAGCAGAGCTTACGGCACTTATAGATAGAGATCAAGGCCTCATATCTATCACAAAACGTAACTTCTTTACACTCTTCTATACTGCCTGGTCCTCCTCCTTTAAGAATCCTACACTTGTATGCAAAGCTTTCGAAACAACTGGCATCAGCCCGCTCAACCCTAACGCGATACTCAAGCGCTTTAAACCACCACTAGAGAGCGTACGGCCTAGTTCAAGCAGCTCCTCATCATCAGTACTTAGCGCTTCAGATTGGAGAAAGATTGAACGATTACTCCAGCAAGCAGTAGACAATTTGCAAGACTCTAACACAAAGAAGCTCAGCTGTACGATCCATACAATTTCAGTAAAGAACACACTGCTACAACATGAGATCAATCAACTCAGAGAGGCTCTAGTCAATGAGCAGAAGCGTAGGCAGCATGGCAAGGCCCTGCTACTTGAGGCACCACCTGAATACAATGGTGGAGCAGTCTTCTGGTCACCTCAAAAAGTGAGTGACATGTGGCTTCATCAGGAACAGAAGGACCGGGATAATCAGCTTGTACAACATCAGAAAAGTATGGTGTCAGATTTGATGGTATCTGAAGATGTCACGGTGACAGAAAGATTGAAGATGGGTTGACTGATTGTATTCAGGTGTATCCTTGTCTGTGTGAGGCTGGGGCCTGACACCGGTTTTGATGTTCCTTCTCTGGGCACCAAGGCTATGCAGGGCACTAGCCACTGCAGAATCACTAGCCACATGTCCTCAGACAGTACCAGTACAGACAGTTTCTCCCAGTCCTCCTCTCCAGTCCCAGATGGGATATCCATAAACTGGTTTACCATCTGACACATGGCCATAAGGCTTAGAGAAGAGAAGAAGGCTGCTAAAGCTCAGATGTTTGAAGAACGTCGTCTCAACAGAGCTGTTGCAAAAGAGAAGTGTGAGTGTGAGGCAGCTGAAAAAGCTGCTACTCACGAGGAGAAGCGTATAGCCTAGGAGCTCAAAACTCAACTCTAAAACGACCTCAAGGTATCCCAAAGAGGTAAGAGAAAGAGCCTCCAGCCTTCTCTAGCAGCAGCTCCTCCGACAGCTGCTCAGGATCCTATCGAGGTAGAGAATGATGCTGTTCCTACATCTCACTCTGGTCGCACAATACACCACCCCAAATACCTTGTCACATAATCTGAATAAGCCAAAACAATATAATAACTATGCTTGTTATTACTCTAAAAAATCTTGTAATAATAGCTATTGTGCATGGCTCAATAGCCTCAAAACGATTCTCATGAACATGTTGATTTTCAGGCACCAGGTGGGGACATGCGCCAGGCGGTGGGCGACTCTAAAGTAGCCGTGCATTGAAAATAACCATGGTAGAGTGGCCAACGCCGACCTGGGCTTGGCGGGCATCGTAAACGCCCTCCATGGAGACTTTCCTGTGGCTTTATCTATGGCTTACATCTACATTCATGCCGTCATTACAAGTCTAAGTATCCATCTTCGCTTCCTGCTTAGCTCACATCGCCGGTGTCCTCTGGTCTGGTCGTCTGCTTTATCTGCATACCTTGCCTCCACCTCACCCACGCTCTCCGTACCTCTACTTCTCCCTCCTTATCTCTACTTCGCCCCCGCTCCTCATCTCCCATGTTACCTCGTAGAAAATGCCCGCCAGCTATCCTCAGGACATTCTATCCCTCCTGCACGATCTCTCAGGCTTGTTATCGTCAGGATGCTCATCCAAATCTCTGTCCTCATCCCAGCACTCTATCCACTCATACAGCCTTTTTGGAGGTCCTGGGCGGGTAGGATTGGCTATGTGGAAATCACGGAGCTTGTACGGGCTATTTTTGAAGTTGGATGCATCGTACCACTCAGGATCATCCTCGAATCCAAGCCATTTAATACAATACCGTAGCCTTCCATGATAGACATGGGCCTCGAGGATCTCCTCTACCTTATATTCATCGCATTCATCCATTTCAGTTGGAGATGTTAGCCCCGACTGCGGATGGAGTACCGGAACGTCCTCGTTATGCTGGAGCTTGGATAATAACCTCTCGTCAATGCTTTCACATTGAGGGCCATCTCCATAGTCAACTGGAATAGCTAACTTTTTGAGTAGCAGATTAGTTCCAATTTCCACAGCCTCCTGGAAATTCTCCTTTCCTACAGATTTCGCTCTTGATGCCAATGGGATTTCTCGACTATTATCGATAGAGTTGATGTCTAGGGATAAAATCATCGGATCAATTGTCTCCCTTGGGTCGATGCACAACGACGGCAGCATCCCAGGATAAGACAAACTATAGTCTTTCAGTTGTAAATCTCCAGAAGAAATACTATGCAGGTTCAAGCTATCATGTTCGGTATCTTCTGATTGGCTAAAGATAGTAGGTTCCGATTCAGCTGTCCAGGGTGACAACCAATTTTCGCCATAGTCATTGACCTCTTCAAAAGCGTGGTCTGTCTGAGACGAAAGTGAAGTGTTGATGCTAGGACAGTTATCCTGCCCATCCCAGAAGCTCTCATAGACACTGCTGCAACATGAAGCAGACATGGTAGATGGTGGTGCTGTCTCGATAACGGTCGTTGGCGTTGGGCTAAAACCCATGTAGAAGTAGGGCTCGAACTCATAGTCTGTACTGCCCTCCGGACAGTGATACATGGCTGCTTATTGAGAGGCTGACACCATATGGGTGCTATCCTGCGCTATGGTATACAGTCGACGCCATTTCGGAGTGGTACCCAGTATTTGAGCTTCTTTATCCTCGCTTTCTTCTGGCTGACTTCTGTGCTTTGTCACAATGTTGGGCTTATAAGTACTGTGGTAATTCCTGAGATGATGCCACAGAGATGTCTCAGAATCGAGCGCCACAGCACATCCGAGATATGGGCATAGGATAGAACTCTGTCCAGATAGACCATTAATATAGTCTAGAATACATTGAGATAAATGTTGTTTCCAGTTGGACAAATGCTTAAAATGGTGCATTCGCTCGGATGCTGAAAGTCGCGTATTCCCAAGACAGCCCGGGCAATACCCAGCACAAGTAAGGCCACACCGGAAGGTAACCGGATCGCAATGGAAAGGAATCTCCATGTCATCGATGTGTGCCTGGCAATGCTATTTATACGCATATGCATAACCCTAGCATTTCTTATATAAAGGAGCGCTGCTATGCCTTCAGGGATGGCTATAACTTGTGGGAGTGGGTAGGGTGACCTGTTTTCGACCCCAGGGACAGGTTTGGAAGCCCTCGTTAAAAGCTTCCAGATTTTCGTCAGATGAGCCGTGATATGTCCTGCCAGGGTGAGCAGGGCCTGAGTAATCCTGAGCAAACCTGAGCAGACCTGAGCAGGCCTGAGTTGAACCTGAACTGGGCACTGAGCAATGATGGATGTGGTCACGTGATGATGAGAGCTCAACAGGCACATCGTACACGTGACTTGAAGACCGATTCCGGACTTTGTAACAAGGCTCACTATTTCTGGGCTAAAAAAGGAGATCCAGTTCTGGACCCTTCTAGGTATTGAAAAAAGGTAACTTAAACATGGATTCTATCCATTGGACCAATTCGTTCATTAAACAAGTTCAGCAATTTCCTAGCAAGGTTTATCTTAAGAGCAGATATGTCGATGAAAGCCGCCAAAAATCACGAAGCCTAAGCGTGATCGAACCAATGAGAATTTCTCAAAGCGCCTACAAACTTTGTTTTAAAAATGTGACGATGTAGTCGTCGATTATAATGCGGACATATATTTGTTGATACGGTGAGGTAAACTCTGGGAATACGTAGCAGCAAATTGCAGAGGTTGGCCTCTGTCCTCCAAAGAGATTGTGAGTCATTCTTCACAATAAACATAGTGAAATGCTGACTAGATCCCTTAGAAAAATCATTACCCATTGCCCATCAGGCGAACACCTGCAGTGTCTATCTCAAGGAAGAAAAGAAAGGCCACATAAAGTAGTAACTCTCAGTTTTTCTTAGTATTCAGTGCAGTAGATTAGCTCCAAGTATCACAACATAGACACTCTGATGTACATTGTTGAATATTGAGTCAGGCTTGCTCGCTCTATTAAGTTACATACATTCCATCGTGACTGATTTGCTCCATTTCATCAGATCAGGATCTATAGGGATATTATCCTGGACATAGTAAGATCCAGTATTGGACTCAGGAATGGTGCATCGGAGTCGTTGGTTAGGAAGAAGCTTATTCCCATCGCTCAGTAACATATCATCTAGCAGATTCCTCTTTCTCTTGCGTTGTTTTCTAAACTCTTCGAAATTGTGTGCACTTTCATCCAGCTGGTCTTGTTGCAGCACTGCTATCTCATCTAACTTGATTTCGTCCGTGGTTTCTGTATCATCTTTTGGATGGGTAATCATAACGGTTGCATTATTGTGACTAATGTAGTTTACAAGTGAGCTGCGAATACAAGCGAGCTGCGAGCTCCACCAAGTCTCCGAGCCTTTTGTAGTATATAGAATCACAACACATCAATTTTCTATCAATACAATCGCTACAATATATCAAGTAGTCTCTGTAGAAGCCTTCTTACATGTACGTGAGTTGTGCCCAGGCTCTCTATAGCGCGTGCAGCATGCTGAAGCCTGCCGGCTTACACCTGATCGCGCTTTGCTTTGCCGCGTTTCTCCCTCTAATTGCTGCTCAACAGCCTTTTGAGCGATAATGTCCTCTCCCTCTGCCTTTGTTAGAGTCCCCTGCTTCTGGATTCGCTTCTTTTTATGCTTTTGGCATTTTGTTGTGGCCTCATTTGCTCTCTCAAGGCTCAAGATTCGCTCACGCATAAGCGCAATCTGATGCATCGCTCTAGAAGAGCCTTTCTCTAGCTGATTAACCCTCTCGATAATAGAAGCAGGTGATGAGCTCTTATGTGCACGAATCCGATCGCGAATCAATGTTGATTGAGCCTCTAGTTCGCGTGCGTTGCTTGGTGTTTTGGTCTCCCATACAGCCTCTAGTAGAGGTACTGGCGACGGCGTACGGAGCTTTACATCAAGCTTTGAGATTACTACCTCCGGATTATGTGGGACTAGGCCAGTGCCTTGAAAGCTTGCATAGATATTCTCCTTTGTAATCGACTGGTTATAGGCGGCATGGAAAGCTGGTAGGAACTCAAGCTTGGTGATATGGTTGATATGATCGTGTATCAGGCTATCGACCTGGCGCCCGTATGCCCGTTTCAATGGCGAGAAGCAGCCAACGTCTAGTGGCTGTAGGAGGTGTGACGAATGTGGCGGCATATAGAAAATATATATATTATTCTCCTTGCAAATATCCTGGAATTTGAGCGAGGTATGGCTATCGTGGCCATCGATAATTAGTAGCTGGCATGCGCCTACTCTATGCCCTGCTGTATGCTTGACAAAGTGCTGTAGCCAGCTAATACCAAGCTCAGTATTAGTCCAGCCATTGTCGCTAAGGCTAATAGCCCAATCACCTGGTATATCGTCACCCTCATACCAGGCAGAGAGGTGGTACCGGCCAGCAAAGATAATGAAGGATGGGATTGCCCACCCAGCAGCGTTGATCCCATGGATCACCGTCACCCATTCCCGATTGCCTGGCTGGATTGCTTTTGGCCGGCCACGCCTCTCTGAGCCTGTAACAACTAGCTGGGAGGATATCTTGCCCATCAGAAAGCCAGTCTCATCAAAGTTGAATATATCTTCATCGCAGATACCGTAGGTGGCCTTTGTATACGCTACAAGCTCAAACCAGGTGCTTATAGTCTTAGGATCCTCGCAGAGAGCTCGCTGTCGATCGTAGGGTCGATTAAATCGCGTTGTAAGGCTGTCTGTTCGCTTGACAAAGTTCCTAGGCCACTGCTGGCCAACATGGCCAGTGCCGCACTCAGTGAGCAGCTTATTCGCCATATCTCATACAACATCTAGAGTAGGTACAAAGCCTCGTGAATCTAGGTCAAGTATATACGCAACAATCACCTCCTCTTCTAGCTTGGTAAGCTTCTTTGAGTTGGGCTGGCAATCGTGTCGTGCAGGCTTCCCGGCGCGTCGGCTACGAAGCGTGCTTTCGGGGATGTTAAACATCGCTGCAGCGCAATTAACGCTCTGGATCTGATTCCGATTGATAGCTGAGATAGCTAGGGAGATATCAGCTTCGCTGTAGGATAATTGAATAGTAGTTGATGGAGCCATTGTAGTTGATAGGTGATACGTTGTAGAAAGTTGGTGGGGCTCGCAGCTCGCTTGTATTCGCAGCTCGCTTGTAAACTACGTTACCAACAGTGCAACTTCTCATGTTTTCGCATATCTGATGCTCGCGAATAGTGTGATGAATCTAGGCGTTTATGTTGCTGAATTGGCGTATACATTGAGGACATTGCAAAGATGTCTTCTTGATGAGCTCCTCGTGGGAAAGTTTAAGATGCTCTTGCAGGTAAGAGCGCCCATGGTAGCAGCGCCTACAGACTAAGCAGGGATAATGTGAAAGTGTGTCTGATGAGTCGACAAGTTCTTCCGGCTTGTGTTCCTTAGCTGCACCATCATAGCACTGATCGATATGTTCTTGCCAGGCCTTTCTTCCGGTGATCGTCGGTGGATCAACGTTTCCGATCCGAATGCACTCCAGGCATGAGAATGATTTTGCGAAATATCCTTCTCTTCTTTCGTGTAAGTTCGAGAAATGCGACTTGAGGCCTTGAGCAGTGCGAATTCTATCTTGACAGATAAAGCACTGATATACAGTTCGCTTCTCATCAGCATGAAATATATCGAAATGGCTTTTCCAGTTGGCGACACTTTCCACTAAGACTTTCTGTCCAACTCCTTGGGAGATGCATCGTTTACAAGAACAACATTGATGGCATCGAACTGTTGTCTTGAACCTATTCTTTGTTTTTTCATCCAGTTCAGCTTTGTAAGCTTTGGTAATGTGAACGTTGAGACCACGAGCATTGAAGAGCTTGTCCTTTGACTTGCTTGTACAAACGAGAAAGGACATGGGTATCTCGCTGGATCCTTCAAATCTGATGGAGTATAAGGAAGAAAGTATGGACCATGAAATCTTTCGAGATGATTGAACCAAGCAAGCAGGCCTGATTCGACTAAACAGTTGTTCTTTTTCTTCGTCTTGTCCTTCCGACAGGCGGAACATCGACATGGCTTCTTGATGTTGAAGTATTGTGCTCTCTTATATCTTTCAAAATGACTCGTGAGAGTTTTGTGACTGCTGAAGTTGAGGTCACATATAACGTATTTCCAGTTCTCCTCCATCTCTTTATATGCTATGTTCTCACTATCATTGCTTTCGCTGCATTCCTGGTCACCACATTCATCAATATCATAGTCGTCATCATCATCTTCATCCTCATTGTCTTCGTTGTACTCTTCCTGACTCTCGTACTCATTCTCCCAGAGATCAAGCTCTGCTTTCGAAGATCCTCTGCTGTATACGATAAGAAGATCTATGAACCGTCCTGGATCTTCGTCATCCTGCGAAATGTTCCATTTGCGGATGAAGTGCTGGAAGATTTGATCTGCTGTTTAGGAATTGCTTTTAAGCGCACATATTCCGGCGGTCATGTTGGAAACAATTCTCTTGGTCCGTGGTGGTTCTTTTCCTAGTGCTCGGGCCTGATCTGCTTCTTTAAAGTATTGCTGTCATATATCTGTCAACTTCAACTTGCCCTATGTACAACGTAGAGCTCGAAGTCTTGAGTGCAGTAATCGAAGGAGCTCTGTCAAAGCACCCAATTCCTTTTGGTCATTGTTGTTGTTACTGTTTTCGTAGAAGGCATGATCTTTATCAACCTGATCTCTGGACGCTTGAACGGTGCGTAGAACATCCTGCAACTTAGTCACATCTCTACGTTGGTGGAATTGAAGCCAGTCATCGGGGTTTAGGTCTATAGGAGTATCTTTGTCTCGAGAAAGCGACATGTTTCGAAGGAATGCGAAGAGATGAGTGTTATCGCACCTAGTGGGTTGACCAAAAGCAGCTTGTAAAAGGTTCTCTTGAAGCTGCGATGTCTGATATTGAGCTTCAAACATCGTATTCATGTGGCTCATAATCCAATTGCGAAGATCAGAAGAGAAAAGGGCTAAGATAAAGGTTAGTCAACTAGATACATGAATGATAAATGATGCTAGCAACTTACGATTTTTATCCAACCTTGCACCTACACCAACTCGAAGCGAATAGAGATGGGGCACTTTTCGAAAGCCTGCTGCGATGCATACTTTGTGCCATATCTCATTGAATCTTCGATACGAGAGCTAGAAGATGAAGTCGTCCAGTTTCTTCTCTTTCCATGGCAACTCAATATAGTCAACATTGCCGAGCGCTGGCATATTCAAGAACTCATCCGCATTTGTGTAACTAGCCTCAAATGCATCATCTTGTATAGCGCACGCAACAATAAGATGACTGAGGTATACAAGCGGAAATGGTACAAAGAAAGCAGAAAACTTAAGACTAAACCAAGTCGAGTGAGCCTTGATCCCGAGCAGAAACATTTCAACTTACCATTTACTCTTGATATGAAGCGAATTCTTAAGCTTGTTCCTCAGGATTGTGATAGTTGAAGCATGCTTCAGCATCTTGGTATCTGCTGGATTTCGCATCACAGAGAGTAGAATATCTCTGTAGCGAACCTTTCCGAGAGTACTAGGCTGGAAGCCACCCATCGCTGAGAGGAGAACATTGGCATGAAACGCAATCCGCATTTTCATATCGATTTCTAACTCGGCTGCACGCTCCCATAGAGTTCGAAGAATGATGATAGCATCTTCAGCTGTTGCTTCCAGCTTCTCAAATGTGATTTCCTTTGAGAGGCCATGTTCCGCTGCCAGGTTAGACCAAACCCACTTTCAAGAAATTAAGCAATGAGGATCTCGACATTTGTGAGAGTGTAGTACTTACTTTAGAGATTTCAAAAACACTAATGGATGAAGAAGGTGGTTTGGCATTGTAGTTGCGAAATCGAAGCCTCGATTTATCGTCTGAAGTCGGCTCTTCCTGCCTCTTGTCCCTTAAAACCATAAGGTCAGCTTCTTTGATCAAGGCACACCATGCGGCAAGGACTGTGCTTGCACTGTTAAGCATTCTCTTTTCTTCATACTCTTCTGGGCCAAGAACCATGACTCTTCTTATGGATCTTTCGAGATGATCCGAGAGGTAGGCCTTGCTCTATACAATTGCTACAGGATCTCCAAGGCAAAGCCCCTGCCAAATCGAATTCGGGTTCATATTGCATGCATTAAAGAACCTTAAATAATGTATTAGTCTCCAATAGCTTCCTGGAGTATGGTTTTGCTCACTCATTCCAAGTTCTCATAAGCCATTGACGATGGGCTTTACTCTCATCTTCGACAAGAATATCTTCTTCGACTGGAGTGGCCAAGTATTTTTGAACTTTCGCAAGACTCTCTTCTATCAACCTTTCATTAGTCTGTGATTCAGGGCGTCTAGCATTAGACAGTCGTTTTAAAGAAACGAGGCTTTCAAGATACGCGTCCATAGCTGTGATAGTTTGAGAGGAGTACCAAGAACACCAAGGACTATTTGAGTGGGAAGGCAGTCATTTATAGCTACAGTAAGGAGTCCATGCTCATCCATTGCTGACAAGTTAAAGGGGGGGTGGGGGAGGGGGTCATTTTCGGACCCCCGAGGCTGAGCAGTCTGGCCGCAGAGATATGCATCCACCAAAGTTTCTAGAAATAGGTTGTTTCAAAAATTGGAGGAAGGTATCATACATGATCTGAAAAATAAGCTAAGCAATAAAAATTACAAGTGGCGTAAGCGGTTCAACAAAGTCGATGTTGTCGCAAGTATAGGTTGAGTTTGCATCAACAAGGCAAACAAAGCCGAACTCTCGCACGCTATCAACTCCATGTTTCGCTGGTATCACAATGCGGTGATATGCTACGTCTACCTATCAGATGTTTCGACGGCTAAGCGGAAAGCAAGCGATGAACCCTCCGAATTTCCTTGGGAGCCAGCTTTTCGAGTCAGCAGATGGTTCACTCGGGGATGGACGCTCCAAGAGCTTCTCGCTCCAAGTTCAGTCAAATTCTTCTCCTGGGAAGGCAAGTGACTTGGTGACAAAAGTTCTCTAAGTCAGCAAATTCACGAGATAACGGGTATTCCCAAGTTAGCACTTCAAGGAGCACCTTTATCTCAGTTCAGCATCAACGAGCGATTATCGTGGATAGAAAGCCGGCACACTAAACTAGAAGAAGATAAGGCGTACTCATTGCTCGGTATTTTCAACATCTACATATCGCCTATCTATGGCGAAGGGACGGCGAGGGCATTCAAACGGCTTATGGACGAGATTGACAAGCTGGAGAAATGTACGCAAGACTTACGCCTCACCGATCCCCGGGATGACAAGAAGCGCATTGAAGACACTAAGAGTGGGTTGCTAAAGGACTCGTACCCCTGGATCCTCAAAAACTCCGACTTCCAACGATGGCGTAATGACGAGCAAAGCTGACTATTATGGATCAAGGGCGATCCCGGCAAGGGCAAGACGATGCTGCTCTGCGGTATTGTCAACGAGCTGGAGAAATCGATAGCTAAGACACATCTTCTAACCTTCTTCTTTTGCCAGGCCACAGACTCGCGGGTCAACAGTGCCACAGCCATACTGCGAGGCAGAGGAAGCCCACCATACAGTGTTCTCGAGATCGCTCCAAGTCATGTCCAAGACGCTCCGATGAGACATGTACAGCTTAGGTGCGCTAGGGTACCCTGCCGAGCAGGTAGAACCGCCAGCCCCTGATCCTTTGACGCCATTACGTTATTCGTGTATCTACTGGGTCGATCACCTCTGTGATTGGAATCCCTGCTCTTCTGCAAATCATAGGGTTGAGCTGCACGATGAAGGCGCTATTCACACTTTTGTACGGAAAAGATACCTCTACTGGCTAGAGGCCCTTAGCCTTTAAAAGAGCATGCCGGAAGGTGTAATCGCAATGACGAAACTTGAGGCTCTACTCCAGGTAATCCTTAAATTGGCAATGCTATCTATGTAAGCCATGCTAATATAACCTAGGGCAGAGCAGACGCATATGCATCGCTCCAGGTAGTTCAAGATGCGCGCCGATTCATCATGTACCACAAGTGGGCAATAGAGAAGAGTCCACTTCAGACGTATGCATCTGCACTCCTGTTTAGTCCAGCGAGCAGTTTGATAAGAGGTCTTTTCAAGGAGGAAGAGCTAAAGTGGATCACGATAAAGCCGGCTATAGGAGATAAATAGAGCGCCTTCTTACAGACACTTGAGGGCCATAGCGATCGAGTCTGCTCGGTCACCTTCTCATACGACTCGGCACGGCTCGCATCAGCGTCACACGACTGGACGGTCAAGATCTGGGATGGTAGCAGTGGTGAGTGCCTGCAGACCCTCGAGGGCCATAGCGGCAAGATCTGCTCGTCGCGTTCTCACACGACTCGATGCGGCTTGCATCGGCGTCGTCCGACCGGACGGTCAAGATCTGCGATGCAAGCAGTGGCGAGTGTTTGCAGACGCTCAAGAGCCATAACAGTGACGTCCGTTCGGTCGCGTTCTCACACGACTCGGCACAGATCGCATCAGCATCAGCGGATTGCACGGTTAAGATATGGGATGCAAGCAGTGGCAAGTGCCTGCAGACGCTTAAGCGTCATTGCGATTCAGTCCGCTCGGTCTCCTCAGCGTTGGACGACCTCAGAGTCAGGATCTGGGATGCAAGTAGTGGTGGGTGCCTGCAAATGCTCGGTACTGGCAGAGTACTTTTCATCATTTGACTCCATTGGTCCATATCCTTACACTGGAACCGGCGCTATCCTTACTAGCGCATCTTCAGTCTCGAATTCAATGACCAGTCTCGCGGAGCCGCAGAATCTTGAACTTGGATGTTGTGGTTTGAGTCCGGATAGAGCTTGGATAACATATAATTCAGAGAACGTGTTATGGTTACCCTCAGAATATCGACCGTCATGCTCAGCTTTGTCAGGGAAGACAATTGGCGTTGGTGTTGGATCTGGAAAGGTATGGGTATGCAACTTTAGGCTTAGCGAATCTTAGGGACTTAGAGGCATGTATGTAGAGGGACTTGATAAGTGTCTTTATACTTTATATTTCAATTATATCTCTATTTGTAGAGGGGTTTGGGGATAAGCATGAGCATGTAGCTAGGAAATTTGCCACGACAAAGCTTCGAGAATCGTTTGTCCGATCCGCGCTTTGCGTCGAAGAGGCCATCGTAGTCGTCCTTTCCTCCAACCAACCCGACACTGTGAAGATCGCAATGGTCGACCCAAACATTGGTGGCCGTCTCCAGGTCAATTGCATCCGACTTCTTTGGCGGACTGATTTCCAGATTCCAGATGATCACGTTGTTCACGTCCTTGAGACGGAAGCCTCCTCCAGACAGGCCAGAACCCTTTCCTACTCCGAGGAGAGAAGTGTTGCTTGGTACGCGAAGGACACCGCAGCCGGAAAGCTTTCCCTTGATCTTGATGACGCCGCCGGTCTTGAGCGCAGTCGTCAGGGCGCTGCAGGAGTCGACGGTGACACCGGCACCCGAACCACCTCCCGTAGTGCCAGCTCCGAAGCCCACCAATTGATCCACAGGCGCAGCCCGAGACTCGAGAGGAGCAGCCATGGCAGAAGATCCGGCTGCCAGGCCATATGCGAAAAAACTGAAGAGTTGCATGATGAAAGAATGGTTCAAAAGAAGGGACCGGATTGAAGTGCAGATGAAGGAGTGGAACAATGCTTCTCTCATTAGCACCTGAGGACCATTATATATTCCTCAAGGCCATTACACATCTCTGTCCCTAGATCACCCCCTTCATATCGCAACTCCTTGGTGCTGTACATCACGCCGGCGCACCCATGCACGAACTGACAGTGGAGCGGCTCCCGACTGTCTTTCTGGTAGCGAAACAGGTGCATTCGGTATACACGATACCGCATTACGACTATTCCCCGTCAGAAACATGGGTTATTGATGAAACATATCTGTGGGGAAACACTTGGCGGTCCGACAACCTCTGGAAACGCCATCGAAAAGTTGAAACTGCACTGTTGTTGCAGGATCGGACGATTCAAATTGCACCAATGGAAGAATTTGCCGGGCTCCCCGTCTTCCATGCCCCGGATACCAAGCACGTGCTGGGCGAGTTGTAATATCCCAAGTGTGTTTGGATACGCATGTCGGAGAATTGGTGTACTCCATGTAGGAGCGTTCACAATCTGAGTAGTGTGGTGGAGACTTGAAATGCGCCAATCAACAAGTATGCGCTCTACAGAGGAAGCCCGGAGGCTAGTGCGGAAACATCTATTAGGAAGTGATCGAAGCTTCCGCATGCCGTTGCGGCTTGATATCTCCTTGGTCGATTATCACTTCAAGGCGGATTTGCAAGGAGAAGACACTGCTGAGAGGGGAAGTCGTCCTAGTGTTGTCTTGTGTGTACTGGCTGGTGGATAATACGACTTGTCAACGGCGCCGACCTGTGCTCTGCCCGTGTTCTTATAGAGATCGCTGAGATTCAATGCTCGAATGCTCGCTATTCTAGCAGATGCATGGCTCTGGCCCTAAAAAGGGCTTCCAGTATCCCCTTCGTCCTCTCTTACGGCGCAATTCCCAGTAACAACCCCTCTACCACCCAAATCCTACACATCATCCTCCACCTCCTCCACCTCAGGCACTCTATCCAACTTGACCCCCATAAAACGCGCCACTTCCCTCACACACCCCACCAGAACCTTCACGTCCCGCATCTCCATCCCGATCCGCCTCGCCCCCCTAATATGCCAATGCGTCTCCAACCTCAGATTCTGAATCATGATCCCCACCAACACCACAATCTCCGTATCCCAATCATCCAACGCCTGCCGATCCGATAAATAAAGCCCATACGTGATCTCCGTAGAAATCCACGCAAAATCCCGATGCGCGTCGAACAACTGGAGCGTACTCTCGAGGTTCCCCGTGTAGATCTTCTGCATCCACTGCATCCCCTGCTCGTGATTCTTGTCGTCGTTCTTCCAGTTCTCACGACTAAAACTGTAGTCGCGATCCTCGGGGCGCTCGACCTTGGCAATGGCTAGGATGGCTTCAATGGGTTTGCAGACGCCGATGATGGAGATTAGTTTTACGAGTGCTTCGCGCAGGCGGCGGACTAGCGCTTGTCGCGAACTGGATGTTTGGTAGGCCGGTTGCGAGATGAGGTGGAGGTAGAGTTGGTCTGCTAGTTCGGGCTCTGTGCCGCCGACGAGGGCGGCGAGGACGAGCAGGTACCATCGTTCTTGCCCTAGGTAGGTTTTCGAGAATTGGGACTCGATGGTTTGGAAGAGTGTTACTAGGTCCGGGCGGACGGACTGTTTGGTTACGGCGGTTGGAGTCATTGTGTGTATCTGAGGATTCGAGCCAAAGAACGCTGCACACTTCAAAGCTGGGTTTGGGGGACCATGAAAAACGTGCTTTTAGGATCCTGGAGACAGTCGCACCCAGGGATTGGAATGATGCCCTCGATAGAATATGTATGAACGCCGGTTACGGAATATCACTAAGCATGCCTCTTGTGTGATTGCTGCGTCATATATTGCGCAAGTAGGGTCAGCAACACGCTTCAAAACGGGGAAACCACATTAACGAAGATCCAAAAAGTCCGCAATGCTTCTTTAATTCACACTGCCTAGGCATGCGTAGTAAACCACATTGGATAGCACGTGTGGTTCACGTGATTGATACATTCACCGACAGGTTTCCCGATTGAAACCTTGGGAGCCAAGAAAAGAATGTTAGGGGATGATGTTGTGTCTTGCGAATCAAGAAAGAAATATCCAGATATGTTGTTTCAAAGGGCCGTAACCTGCGGTATTTTCCATGCAATAATTGAACGACTGAAAAGTACTACGATGTCACTATTACGATGTCGAAGCTGTAGGCTGTGGGAAACATTACGCAGTCAACAAGAAGCGCTTCCAACTTTCTACACAACCTTATTCGTCCTTTGAGAGAGCGTGCACGATAACAGAATTAGCTACTAACGTCTCCTCCGAACTGTATTCAAATAAGATTCAAATGCATTCCTTGGCAATTGATCCATATCTAGATAAGACATTTCCACGAGTGATTCGGCGAGTGAGCACTCCCTTGGAACAGCAGTGGTCTAGAGATACATGGCTCAAAGTGAAGAGGGACCTATTACTGTGTAATAAATCATCCAATAATCCTACCTCGGGAGTAGGCCTGGTGGACCCGGCCCCGGTTGTGGCTTGCGAAGGTCTCAGCCACATTTCCATAGCTCGTCCAGACCGGGAGCCAAACATCAACAACACTCTCCTCTGACGAATCGTCTCGGCCATAACGGCGCAAACAGCGCATATTATACCCAATCGTGGATGAAACTTGTGTTCTCGCTGGACCTTGATATACTTGCTCAGAGCTAGTAGCTGCACCTCAAGAGCTCCCATCCAACATGGCGCTGAACGCCTACCTCAATAGTAAGTATGTCGGCCATTGAGCGTGTCCACTAGCTACCAGTTCGATCTACAGAAAAAGTTTCGATCCTGACAATCGACGGCCGCACCATGGTCGGCACCCTTCTCTCCTGCGACAATTCCATGAACCTTGTCCTGCAAGATACCGTCGAGCGCATCATCCGGCCGCGCGAAGAGGAAATGCCGAGCGAGGAGGTCCCTCTGGGAGTCTACATTGTGCGAGGCGATAACGTGGCGGTATGCGGGAGGGTAGATGAGGAGCTTGACGAGCAGATAAATTGGACAGAGGTTCATGGGGAGGTGATTGGGACAACGAAGCATGTGTGAAGCGCGCTGCAGGATATGGTTACTCGAATACGCTGGATGGGCACGGCTTTGCAGGCATAGAAGGAACTTGAACAAGCAAGAGAAGGAAGAGAAGTCAGGAGAGACGGCGTCGAATGATGAAAAAAGGGTCGGGGTTGGGAAGCTCACGCCGCGTCGGTTATATGATACCCGAATGATTCCACAGGAGCGAACGTATGTTGAAATCAGATATTATAATGTCCCCTCACTGACACAGTACGCAAATGTAGACTGGATATCGCTTGCTTGTATATGCACCCAGCGCTGAAATAGCCACAGAACGAATTCCCTTCCAGTGATATGCGACATTTTACGGATGCACCCCATCTGCCTTCTCCCTACTGTATCTGCCTTCCTACGCCCATCTCCGTACCCACGATAGCCTTATGATCCTGCGGATTCGCCGCTGCCTCGTACAGCACGCTAACCGGCTCCTTGTTCAGCTTCATGAAGTCCCCTTTGAAAGCCAAGTAGCTGATACGCGTAACATCCTCGTCGCCACCGCTCCAGTTGTCTTCAAAGAAGAGCGCCAAGCTGCGCGTCGTGTTGAAGTATGCGCGTTTGACCGGAATCTCCTGCACTTCCGAGGTCCGCGAGATGGTGAGCTCTTGCGTGGGCGGCTTCTCGCTCGCCGTCTCGAAGTCCATATGATCGGCGTTGACGAAGACCTTCAAGGTGCGGGGGGACGAGGGCGAGTCCGAGGTGCGAATCAGTATGCTATGAAGACGAACTTGGCCTGTGAAGCTATGCCTTGCGTCGGCTATATTCTGCTTGCAATGTCCTGGCAGTATGACTTACGGGACTATCATAAGCAGCTGCTCATCTGTGCTGCTCTTCAGCTCAGGCTCGGGAGTCATTCGCTGTTCCCATGTCTTCTGGCATATTGCGCGGCCGCTGTTGGAGTCTTCCTCGTTCAGCGTATGCAGTTTGCTGAAGTCGATCTGTTCGTAGAGGATGTTTTGCAGCGCCGGGGTGATGTCATCGCTGTGGTCGTGAACGTGGTTGTGCGCCTCTGCGTGCTCTTCGTCGTGGTGATGGTGATGATGGTGGGGCATTGTGATGTGGTGTTGTTGGTGGGGTAGCGGGGTAAATAGTTGGTGTTAGGTCGAGTTAATGAATTGCATGTGCGGTGGGCCCCAGTTGTGTTGTTGGATCGAAGATAACACGTTCAAAGAACTCGTGAATGTAATGTCTGGACCTACGAACGAGTGGTCAAAGCCACACACAGATCGAGGCAAACCGGACATTACCAGGACGAGTGAATTGCGCGTCACATGCCGAAACGTGGTGTCTGTGGGTGGATTAACAAGTATGCTTCTTTGACCTATAGTAAGGTCTAGATTCCTGATATCAAGATGCTAGCCTGACGGTTGTCATCATGGCAGACACCGAACAACATCAAATGTCCTCCAGAGCCTCGCTGTAAAGGCTCTACAGGAGGAGTAAACGCCGGAAATGCAAGTTCATGCCGCCATGGGTTCAGCGGCCTGGCCAGCAGCCCGCTCCTGTGCCCTTCGTCTTGCACGTTCCTTTGCCCGCGCTGCTTTCTGCTCTTCAGTTAAGTCGATCCGGTTTCCGGGTGCTTCAGGTAGCTTGACGCCTGATACTTCGGCTTCCAGGGCCTCCAGCTCATCTTCTACTTCATCCTCGTCCTGGTTGGACATCTTATTCGCTAGTAGCTCGCTGATTTCCTGTTCCAAGTCAGCACTTGTGTTCCTAACAACCCAAAGCTCGGGAGAAGTACCTCTTGATAAGCTCTTGCCTCTTCACTCTCACCCAGTAGCTTCTCGACATTCTCGATGCCGCCCATCTCCCTGTGAATCTCCTTCAGGACCTGCGTGCCTTGCTGTATACCAAAAAGCACATCCTTCTGTACCAGCGCGAACTCGACATCGCTGGTGAGTATCTGCAACTGTGCCAACTGCGCATCCGTCTTCTCCAACAGGCTCTCCTGGTATTTCTTCCGTCGCAATGCTAGCTTTGCGGACCGCTCGTCACCCCGCCGTAGGCATTCCTTTGCAATCTCCTTCTCACGGTTGGTTATGACGGATATGCGCTTCTGGTACTTTTCCAGCTGGTCACGCTGGACTTTCAGGTCCAGAATTGCCCTGGGGGAATGTTAGTCAGAGGAACGAAGGGACCAAAAGGCGCAGGGTCGAGTGAACACACTTGTCTCGGGGCGTTATCTTATTCGTACTACTAGAATTCCCCATGTCGACCTCAACTGCGCCATGAAGCGTGTGGGAATGACCTCCGGCGACATTCCGAGGCTGAAGTCTGGCGGACTTGGTCAACTGCGGGCATGATGCCTTGATCGCGGGAGATCCGTGCGTCAGCCAGCCCTTATCGATAAGGTTGGCTTGGCAATGTTTTTCTCCCCCACTGAAATCAGCCCTCGGCCCAATACTCAGAATTCAGAGACCATCTTCCTGCTCTCTTCGGACCTCGATTTGCCCTGTACCATTTCCCCATGTCGCGCAGTCGTCTACAGAATAGCCTCGACAGAGACGTCTTCCAAATCGTCAGGAGATACGCAGACGAGGCCACGGACCTGCCTGCGAGCAGAATCCGGCCTAGTGCCATATACGATTGGATCAAAACATCAAACTCGAGCCTGAGGCGGCGACCCAAGAAGCAGCTCGAGGACAGCATTGAGCGCGTGTTGGCTGTCTTACAGGAAGACGAATGCGGAAACGACGACGAACTCGTCCCTTTGGAGGGCAACGTTGGGGAGGAACTGGAAGTGGAGAAGCCGTCTGTCGATATCATGAATCGACAGATTGTTAACGGTTGGGCAACGGCTGCCAAATCCGGAGCTGCGACCCCCTCGACAAATGGCCAGAAGACGCGGAAGAGGGATGCCACCAGAGCGACCGAAGAACGGGAAAGTAAGAAGCAAAAGACACTGGACCTTGTGCCTCCGACTCATGTCAGCTTGAAAGATGTTGGTGGGTGCGAGCAGGTCATCGAACAGTTGAGGGAGCATCTGGTATTGCCGTTGCTGGATCCAGAAGAATATGTCAGGAGACGATTACCGATACCGCGGGGTATCCTGCTTCACGGTCCACCGGGATGTGGGAAGACCCTGATCTGTCGAGCGTACGCAGCCCTCGTCGGCGTGCCCTTCGTCGAGATACTAGGCCCTTCGATCGTGTCCGGCGTGTCCGGCGAGTCAGAGAAGCAGATCCGGGAGATATTCGAAAAGGCGAAAGAGGCCGCACCCTGTCTGTTGTTCATCGACGAAATCGATGTCATCGCACCCAAGCGGGAGAGCGCCCAAAGCCAGATGGAGAAGAGAATCGTTGCCCAACTGCTTGTCTCAATGGACGGCTTGGCCATGGAGGCCAACGATGGCAAGCCGGTCATTGTGCTCGCAGCCACGAATAGACCGGACAGCCTCGACCCTGCGCTTCGACGAGGCGGCCGTTTTGACACTGAAATCAACATGGGCGTGCCGAACGAATCGACAAGGGAGAAGATACTTCAGGCGCTGACGCGCGGCCCTAAGATGGCACCCGATGTCGACCTCAAGGCGCTAGCAAAGGCTACGGCAGGGTTTGTGGGCGCCGATCTGAAGGACCTTGTCAGCAAAGCCGGTACATGGTCGATGGATAGGTACCGCCGGGCTCTCGAGGAGCAGGCGGCAGAGCTGGAGAGCGAGATGGAGGTCGATGGCGACCAATCCGAATTTCCTAACGAGTCGGTCAGGAGATCGTATCTTCTCGTCAAGCGTTTACGGGCGAAGGGAATCCCCAGACCAGATGGGCACGATGACGCAATCTCGATGGAGGCGTTCCAGGCCGTGCTGCCCACCATAACGCCATCGTCCAAGCGAGAGGGTTTTGCAACGGTGCCGGATACGACTTGGGAGGATGTCGGGGCTCTGGACGACGTCAGGGAGGAGCTTGAGCTGATGATTGTCGAGCCCATCAAAGATCCCGAACGGTTTAGAAACCTCGGTCTTCCTCCCTCCGACGGCGTATTGCTGTGGGGACCCCCTGGGTGTGGTAAGACACTGCTTGCGAAGGCTGTGGCTGCGGAGTCAAAGGCAAACTTCATCAGCGTCAAAGGCCCAGAGTTGTTCAACAAGGTATCTCTATATCGTGCCGTCTGCCATTTGCAGTACGTGCTAACAATATCTAGTATGTTGGCGAGTCCGAACGCGCAGTCCGCCAAGTGTTTATGCGCGCCCGTTCCTCTGTCCCTTGTGTCATATTCTTCGATGAAGTGGATGCGCTCCTTGCACAGCGTAACGAGCAATCGGAGGCCTCAGCTCGAGTTGTGAATACCATTCTCACCGAATTGGATGGCCTCAGTGATCGCGACGGTATCTACCTCATCGCTGCCACGAATCGACTGGATATGATTGACGAGGCGATGTTGCGAGCAGGGAGGTTTGCGCGTCTCCTTTACGTCGGACCACCAAAGCCGGAGGAACGAGTCAAGATCATGCGTGCGCTGATGAAGAAGACGCCTCATAATCTCCAACTAGCAGAGTTCGCCAGGAGAGACGACAAGGATGGATGCAAGAACTTCTCTGGTGCCGATCTCAGAGCGCTTCTACATAATGCGGCGAGGCATTGCTTGAGAAATCAGCGAAGGGAACTGGAGCTGGTGGACTTTGAAGAGGCGGCTAAGACTATGGTGCCTAGTATTCGCGATCTTCAGAGGTATGAAGAGCTGCGAAAGAAGTTCGAATCGGTGGATTGGTTACGGAGATAGGTCGAGAGACTCCCTAAAGGCAAGGCGCTACTTTTACTCTCTTAGAGTCAGCAGTCTTCGAAGATTTGACGCATGGTTAGATTTGGTGATATTCACACCCAGTACCCAGTAAACTTGACTAAGCAACCGATTGAGACACGTGATGGTGTTTGTCGCTTCCAAGCTGGAGGTTGGAGAATCCTTCACCGCTAATTCACGCTCTCGCCAACGCCCTCAGAAACATGAATCGTTATTATTACCCAGCAGCCGTCCGCAACTGTTACACCCTCTCTTTGTGTGTCTTCCATATCAGAACTCACCTGCCTGAACCGTAGCCGAGCCTGTAGTTCATCACTCCGACAGCTCACATGTGCTACCATAACTACACACAACACAATGGCTGCGGCCACATTGGCGAACGCCATTCCTCGCCCTGGAAACTCTGCGCAGAAGCTGAGCGGCGCCTCGTCGAACTTAGAGGGCCCTCAGCGATCATGAGTCCTCCCCTGGACCGCGCAAATAGCACGCCCTTCTTCTCTCAGTCGCGCAATCCTGGAAAGCTGAGCAAACGCTTTGCGTCGTTTAGTCTCTCGCGCTCCGGCACCACTGCCAGTTCGTCGTCTGCTACGAGGCGCGCTCTCTCGGGCCCAGTCTCACCGGTTTCTTCCTCCCGCACATCGACGTCGTCGAGGTTCTCCTCGTTGGGGGAGAATGTGGTTTCCGGGCACGGTATCCCGGATCATCAGTTTGAGGCGGTGAGGTGTAAAGGGGATGCCGTTGAGGTGAGGACGACTGTGACCTCGGATATGGAGGTATGTAAAGAGTGTAAGATCTGGATAGGAGAGATGCGATTTATGATTGAGAGGTATGAGAAGACGGGGACTATCAAGGGGACGATGGCGTTTGAAGAGTTTTTGAAGTGGAGGGGAGAGTGGGAGCGGGATGAGGAGCGGGATAGATAGATGGTTCCATGGCATGAAAACTTGAAGACTTCAGTCTTTGTTACGACATCTGTGAGCTATCTATCAGGGACGCTTTTCTGAGCTCCAGATTGTATGTCCTTCTCGAAACGGTGCTCCCGTGTATCAATCAGCTCTTATTGCTGGACTTTAAACGGCCCATCATTCCCAAGCCCTGTAAACGTTGGGAAGAGGCATCGCCACAGCCTTCCCGTTCCCTTGAATGATCAATACCGCGCCGGCGACGAGGCACTCGTAGATGTTCCACCAATTCCGACCCATGACGCAAGCCTGCCGCTTGTCCTCGTCTATCGACTCGTAGATTGCAGTGTAATTCATCGCCATGCGGTCCAATTGCTTCCTAAGAATCTCCCGTTCTTCAGCTTTGAGCGGATTCCGATTGTCCTTGTCAGCAGAAACAAGCACGTCCATGGCACCGGCAAATGAAGCTCCTCCGAAGGATATATACGCATTCTTCAAAGCTAGCTCAGCAGCCACTTTTGATACCGCGTAATCAAAGTACTCCTCCGAGCCGAGTGCGAGCAGCTCCCCGGCGGTGTAGGATGCCACGGCTCTTCCTGCCGAGGCGGCGGCAGCAGCATATCCGAAAGTGATGATGGTGGCAGCAAGAGTGATAGTATCTAGGGTAATTGGTAGCCAGTTTGAGCGGCCTCCAGGCCCAATGACGAGAGGCGTGGTGTCCGGGTCGGTCTTATCCAGTCGCCAGTCATCGGCTGCAGGATCTTTCAGAGTGAAAGACTCTGTTGAGTCCTGTACGGTGATGGAGAAAGATTGCCATGAGTCCCTATTCTTGCAACTGAAGATGCGCGCATCCATCTCAGCAGTGAACACGGAATAGGATGACTTCGTTGGCGCGGAACCGTCGCTGGGTATCCTCAATCTGGGAACGACTTGAACACCGGTCATAGGCGCTTCGAAACCCCGCAGAGTGGGAACTCCCATCTGTGCTTTGAACTGTTGGAGATAGTCGTTGTATGAGGCGTAATCGTGGTCATAGTCGTCGGCAAGACTGCTCGATTCCCAGGACTGGAAATAGTTTTGTAGGTAGGACGGGGTAAAGTCGTGCTTGATGCATTTCTCTCCAAGGGTGAAGTCGATCGTGGCGGGAAATGGCGACATATTAATCACAAGGAGAGAGACCTGGACGCCGGCGGTGGCCAGTTTGGCCAGGAGGGCCGCGGAAAGGAAGGCGGATTTGAAGTACGCAGTCATTCTGCTAGGACATGAGTATTTTTCAGGGAAGACGCAACGGTAAAATCTGAATTCTTCGACAGATGGGAAAATGGTATATGTAAGTGGATGATGAGCATGGAATGTGAAACTTGGTTCATCAAGGGATCATGTTGTGAGGAATCTCTGATCTACAAATTCCTAGACTACTGCTTTTGGTGGTACCGACCGACCTCTAACCTGTCTTCTTGAACTCTTCAAATGTGACTTCGTAGAGTAGCCGCTCCATTCATGGTTTTCTGAACTGACTCTCAACTGAAAGTCAAAGACCAATTATAGTCGACCCTATCACTCAAACTGTGCCAGACGAACCATTTCAGAGTAATATATGACTCTAATCCTCACAGCGCGTTGCTAAGACCTCGAAGCTTACTATTGCACTCCTCCATCAGCTGCATGAGATTTTCGACCTGATGCCTCAGATCCATCATGATCAGATTGAGTCCCTCAAATGACTGACCGCTTTCGATGGCGGTCAACCATGCCGCTGGCATTGTTGGTATCCTCTGTAGATTTATCTGCGTTCCTGTCCTCGTCGATGGAGAAGGGTTGATTGCCTGAACCCTGCGACCCAGCTTGCTCAGTCTCCTCAAACGGCACTTCATTTCTGTTGTGCCTGGTACGCTTTCAGTGACTCCACTAGAACCACATTCCCCATTATCAGTTTGCCGCTCCGAGGCCTGAGTTTGAGGGACAGAAACATTCTCAGCACCCCTTCTTCCTTCTTTGCGGAACTTACGCAGCGCCTTCTTGTTCATGACAGGACCGTCATGCGTCTTATAATCCGCCTTCACACTGGGGCTCATTGCAAAGACATGGCCGGAATCTGCGGCGCCTTTCAGTGCTTCTTGAAGAGTCCTATTTTTCATTTCATTTGGATTCCTCGGGAGGCGCTTGTCTGTGCTGTCTTCTTTGGGTCTTTCCTTGACAGGTGACTTTGGGTCTGCCCTCCCTTTTGGCCTGCGGGGCATACTGGGGACTTCAAGGTTGGAGTTTTGCTATTATCGCAAAATTGGCGTCTACTGTGTTTGTTGCAAAGTGCGAGGTGTAGGAGACCGCAGGTTTCTCTGAGCTGCGGATTTGAAAAGATGTTAAAGGAGCAGAGAAATGGCTAAGAAGTGTTTATATGCTTTCTGCAGAGGCAGGACCGGCGACTAGTCATGCGACCAACGAGCAAAGAATGGCTGCGTTTGCTCGATGACAATAGAAGCCCAAGCAAATTCAGGAAGTACCTGGCAATTCCATTTGTGTGGTAAATTTCAGGACTTGAGATCACGATGGACACTCGTCCCACCTGATGTATTAATACAGTGGAAGAGTTATTCAAGGATGAGAAGTAGTACTGACGTTGGGGTTGCATTTATTGGGACCTCGGCTGTAAATCGATGGAAACGAAACAGTGGCCAGAGATGGATTGCGTCAAAATCGAATCTCGACCAAGAATTCTCTGGCTTTGGTGCGATGAGTCCAGAATCACCCAGCAGGGCGATCGAATTGGGAGATGCGTGGTTCCTGCTCATCAATATTCTTCCTGTCCTCTGCTGTTATCCTGTATATACCTTATGTACCCGGAAATTCAGATGAAACTATTTCTCTTGCGAAACAGCGCTACGCTGCAGACACGGAAGTCAATAATACCTACGTAAGCTAGAAAGTAACGTTTCCCTGGATATTCCAGTTCCCACCGTTTACTGTTTTCCCACCACTGTGTGTTGTTTGCGACCCGTATATAATACTGGCACCTTGATAAGGTCCAGGCTGTGGAGGCGACTGTAGGTGTCGTGCATTTGTAAAAGGCGCATAACCTTCTGCCCACGGCGGATCATTATATTCATCGATTGGCGGTGGAGGTCCGGGAGGGAACATTGGAGAACTTGGTCTTCTGCGAGATTCCTCATGATGCCCCAGTGTAGCTGGCGAAGGCTGCATTTCTGGTGCCGATTCGATATATTTTGGCTCCGGAGGCGGAGGTGGCCTTGCATAGCCGACCCCAGATCTGTATGGTTCATAACGTGGAGCTGACCCATGTCCCTGAGAAGCTGATCCTCCATATCGATACATGTCGTGCATGTACTGCTGATGATCTCGAGAGTCCTGGGAGTAAGGTGACGGTTGTCGCGGAAGTGCACCGTAAGTATGATCTCCTGCACGGTCACGTTGTCCCGGATGAGCGAATCCATACTCATTCACTCTCGGATTCTCGTGAGCCGCCTTTGCTATTGCCTTCACCCATCGTCGAAGTTCTCCGGACACAGACATATAGCCTGCATCAGATGCGTCAGAAAATTTGGTCATATCCGTATGGTTTGCCCGAATTCCAATGGCATTGTACGATGGAAGGATTGCTGAGTGCTTCGGCACTATCTATAAAAGAGTCAGTGTGCTTTCTATCGGCGTTGCAACCTACACTCACTTCCCCAACGGCCCTCACAGGCAATTCCTCGAAGAAGCAGGTTATCTTTAGAGGCGGTTTCCTTTCGAATATCGGTCCCCGCAGCATGGTGTGGAATTCTCGCTGGACCCGAGCAAGAACTTCAGAGTCGGTTTTCAGGACATTGACCAGGTCGACATTGGCAGTCTTGATCGCGTTTACCAGGTTGCCCATTATGCTCCCCCACCGTGCGAGATCTGAGCCGCAGTGAGGAGTACCCAGGAAACAGATCCCCACTACGCTTTGCACCAGATCCTGCAAGTGCTCTTCTGCGCTATTTTTTGAAAAAAGAAGTGCCTGACCGCAGTGAGTATAGCAGTCATTTTATGCCCTTGACTGGGGTTTACTGACATCTTCCGTCACTGTTCGCAGTCAGTAGATATTCCTTGCGTTCACTATAGCTCACTGACCCAACCCTCCCAGAGAATGCGTGACGAAGATCACTGGTCTGCTCTCCGTGTCCGTCCGCTCGCGGATTTGAGTGATCGCATTCACGAGATTCCCTGCATGTTCGCCAATTCTATTCTGGGATGCGGTTGCCACGAAGTGAGCTATGTCTGCATCGTAGCCATAAGTCATGATGCGTGTCTTGGGCAAGTCTTTGGGAAGTATGTCCTTCGGCCAGAAGACCTCTTGACCCTTGTGCGTCCACGTGTTGTGACGATTTCCAGTAAGACCATGTACGAATACAATACTGCTCGTCGTGAGTAGGATACTGCCACCAAGGTACGGCAACTGACTCTGCCACAGCACCATCACCCCCATCGTGACAGATGGCTAATCCGTACTCGCCCCGGGTAGAAAGAATGTCCTGTGTTTCGTGGTCATTCTCAACTGAGTTATCCGGTGATGCGGCGGCCGATTTGCCGAAGAAGACCATCTTGCGAAATTGTCCTGCGATAACAAGAGAACCCAGAGACTTGGGAAGGGCGCCAGACGATGAAGGGTACTAAGTTATGTTCCTTCCGAAGGATTGAGAGGGAGGGTTAGCCAGGCTGCCAGGGTCGTTCCCACCCTGGGGAAGGGTTATTTTAAGGCCAGCTGCGCAAGGCTGAAGCAGGACAAGTAACCCCCCGACGTATGATGAGCTGAACCCGCTTTCTATCATGCGATACCGCCAGCCTTGTGCATTCCGACCGCTTTTGGCCCCGCAGTGACTTCCTCGAAGACCTCATATTCTTAAAGGGAGGATTGGCTTCAAAGACTGTCGCTAACTGTGGCCAAGGAAAGCAGAATATCCTCCCTATGTACGTAGACAATGTCTATTACTGTATTGCGATTTATTGTACATCGCGGGGCAACCTGGAGAACTACTGCGCCCTCTCACATCCGACTGAACACCCCCTTGTACTGCTGCTCTGGGTTAGATTACCAAATTCAAGTATTTCAATTGGCTACAGACGATGTTTCAAGGCTGATTATACCTGGAAGGAGGCGCTGTCAGGCCAATTACAGCATCAGATATACCCCTGCGACCCCCTGTCTGTTCAGTCGGATGTGAAAGGGCGCAGTAGGGTGGGCTGGGCCGGGAATACGAGGTCAAGAACACGTCCTGTTGGTGAATTTTGCCGTATGTAACACAAAAGCCGGACGTGTGCTCTTGAAAGGCTGTCTGCAGCAGGAAGACGTAACTAAATTCTTACTCGTTACACAGCGACAAAAGCCACAGCGCTTCCCGATATTGCTCGCTACCAACCACCTCGTGGCGTCGAATCCAACCATATCGCATATCCCTACACCAAATCGGTGATCCCGGAAGACCTACATGTTCAGCCGTCCAGAAAGGCCCTGTCCCTCCGGGGTACCCAGTTTAATCATGAGGCTGAAAATCGCTTTACAAGACGGACCGGACTCCACGTCCCCCTCCAGACACTTCAGCCTCTCTGGAGAAACAGTCTATCTCGAGTGCAGGCCATGTCGTGCTGCTTAGAACTCCTGACTACTACCTCCATCACTACTTCCGCCCCCACCGGGTGTAGTCAATGGTAGGTGGTTTGCTAGATGGCTAGCATGGCCTCCACAAAGCACTCGAAAGGCCATATCCATCAGGCAGCGAACTACCTTCACGGAAAATTCGAAAACCATGGTGTTCAATGGAACGGTTCAAATGTCACTGTATCTGGAGATGTCATCTTCAATAGTACGTCCATTCACTCCGTGGGTGTGTATTGTAGCTTATGTTGGCAGCTCCACATCTCGGCAGAGATGACCAGACGTTGGAGCGTGAAGCGAGAAAGGCGCTCTGCTATAATTTTAGGGACCCTATAGACGATCGACGGAGTATATTGAGCCGCAAGCCGCGCATGATTACGGCAACTTGCGACTGGATAATCGACGATCCTCGTTACAAGCACTGGAGAAATGTCCGAACTCGCTCGCAGCTCCTTTGGGTCTCAGGCGGACAGGCCCGCGGGAAGACTATGCTTGCCATCTTCCTCAGCCAGCAATTCGACAAGCTAGCACAACATGCCAGCGAAATCACTGTGCTGTACTATTTTATCGAAAGACAAGACAACCGGGACACCGCGTCTCATGTGCTAAGAGGACTTATAAGACGCCTCATCGCGGTTAGAAAAGAATTGACAAAGTATCTGGTCGAGTACTATGAGGATTCTGGGAGCGATCTGTTCGGGCCGAACTATATTGAAACGCTATGGCGAGTATTCGAAGAGATGATAAGGGACCCGATAGCTGGGCAAGTGTACTGCATCATCGATGGCCTAGACGGTTGCAAAGAAGAATCTCTTCAGCGGCTGGTGGGACTAGTCAGAGACTTCTTTCTCGATGAGCCGCAAGTGGTCGTCGACGAAGGGGTTCCCACTGACAATTACGGAAGCAGTAATGTCCCGAAGACGGGGAAGATTGGACAGAAAACGGGCTCGGGCCTGAAGATGCTTCTTGTGAGCAGGGAAGAGCCAGAATGGCTTTTGGAATATTTGAGAGATTTCCCGCGCATTCCGATAGGCGGAGGTCCCTCCAAGAAGGCGGGCAAAGCTGGCGTTTCCAGTGCACAGCCTGCAAAAAGGCCACCCAGACTGAAGGAGGTCGCTTCAACCATAATTCGAAAGCAAACACTACAGAAAACAGAAAAGAACGAGACTGTTGCAGAGGGATCCTCTGCAACATCATCAAACAATCCACCCAGTACATTAGCACAGGTCGTGCCGACGGTGTCATCACCCGCGCCTCCATATTCTGCATTAGCAAGCCCGCTGGTCGGCACCAACCCGCCGTGGCCTGGGAATAATCAGCTGGTCTACAATAGCGGTGCGCTCGCGCTGACAAGTGGGCCAATTCCAACAAACGAGCAATCAGCCACACAGGCAGGGAAGTCCTCTGGTCAGAATCTCGCTCTAACACTACTTGCCTCCATGCCAACAGATGCATCAGTCGCGCAACAGACGCTTCTTTCATCTCTCTCATTACAGCCGGCCGTCTCCACATCCTCCCCGCAACACCAGCTAGTGTCGACTGGAGCACCTCTTTCGCTCCCTTCAACTCAACCCATTACTACCGCTTCTTCTCAGCCTCCAGGCGCACTCTCGGCGACGCAGTATTCTGTTGAAACGGTGTCTACAGCGTCTTCGGGAATATCAACGTCGACTTCGACCCAGTCTGCGACTACGTCTCCACCGTCGATCCACACCTCCGGGCCATCATATCAGCAGTATGGTGTATCCATCCCAACAGACCTCTCCCATGCCGCTGTTTCAGCTCAGCAGCAGTCTACAGCAGCAAACCTAGGGCAGCCTAGCTTCACGAACGCTGCGCACCCTGACCAGGTCACTTCGAAACCATCAGATACTACACAGAATGCCGCTTCTGTAACGGCATCCAGTTCATCCGCTGCTGTCTCGACTTCAGCATCATTGTTTCAAGGGGTTCCCTACACGACCGAACCAGCTGATTATATTGATGAACGACCCAGTGCACCAACGGAACATCAAGAAGCGGAAGAAGTGCACATTGCAGAGGACGAAATGGATGAGGACTATAATCCATCTTTAAGGGTATACATCGAAGCTAAGATAGAAGAGCTGGCCCAAGAAAGGCAATTCCCCACCGAAGTGCAATCCTTCATCTGTGCAGCTTTAGAGTATCGTGGTGATGGCACGTTCCTATGGGTGGACTTCGCTATTGAAGAAATAAAGAAGGTGCATGTCGACAACATGGAAGAGACATGCAACTCTCTCCCTCCAACATTGGAGGATATGTACGCCAGGATCCTGCTCAATATTCCCCAACACCTGGTCGACCTCGCCATCGGCCTACTTCGATGGACCATTTGCGCACGACGCCCAATGGATCTGATGGAGCTGTGGATTGCTCTCAATCTCTCGCATTACAGCTGTCAGGATGCAATAGAGTACATTAAAGCAACCATCCTCGCCTGCGGAAACATGTTCAGCATCCAGACGGAAGATCATACGGTCAACTTGATCCATCAGTCACTCGTCGACTTTCTCACTAGTGATTCTTCAGTTTTAATGCACGACCCACGTCTGTCGAGATTCCACATTATCCCTTCACAGATTCACGGTGACATCACCACGTTTTGCATCTCATATCTGGAGTCTGGCCCTTTCAACCACCATCCGATCTGCCAATTTGAAAACGCCATGGTTTACAATCAGCATATCATGACTTACCCATTTCTTCCCTACGCCGCAAGCTTCTGGCCTGATCACTTGAAAGAAGCATCGAACCCCTACCTCAACCTCTCGTCTCCCTTCTTCCTTCCCAAGTCAATAGCAAGGAAAAACTGGTGGATTACATATTGGGCTTTCACGACGGGCAAAGCTACCCTATCGGCCCCCAGAAACTTTACGGTGTTGCACTTAGCCGCGTACCTTGATTTGGTGGCAGTGGCTCAACAAGTTTTCCAACGCGGGGAACTCAAGTCTCGACTGAACAAACGGGACTCTCACGGTAATGCACCGCTCGACTACACCGTCGCCCGTGGAAACATTGCAATGTTCCAGTTTCTCCTTATGCACAACGCCAAGCAGGAGCCGCTGGGGGAGACACCACTGGAGCTTGCTGTGCGCAAGGGTCAGAAAGAAATGGTGGCGCTTTTATTGGACATGGGGTGGGATGTCAATCTTCGTGCGAAGCAAGAAACACCACTTGGCAGCTTGTGGACATTGGCAAGATGGCTCCCGGGTGCCTACAGCGAGGGCCTCGACCTCAACGTCGATACATGGCATATGACTTTTCGCGACATTGGTGCACAGGCAACTCCATTGCACAAAGCGGCCACATACGGCCACGTGGGTGTCATGGAGTTGCTGCTTGAGAGAGGAGCGGAGGTTGAGGCGGGCACAACAAAAGGCTTTACTCCGCTCCACTCAGCCTCCTATGTCGGTGCCTTGGATTGTGTGGAGCTTCTCCTGCAGCATGGTGCTAATCCAAACTGGCTCACCACGGAGCACTGGCTTCCAATGCATTACGCTGCTATGCGAGGCAAGCTCAATGTAGTTGAACGCTATCTGGATCTTGGTGTTCCTATCGACGCTGTAACGATCAAGTCCAAAACGGCCCTTCATCTCGCGGCTTATGGCGGTCACGCTGAACTGGTGGAATTTCTCTGTCAACGTGGAGCCAGTCTTGAGTTGAGATCGTACAAAGGAGAAACCCCACTTCACCTTGCGACAAGACACGCAATACCACAAGTAGTCGAGATGCTCCTTTCTCTGGGCGCGGATCGCAATGCCATGAACAATGCGGGATTCACCCCTGCGCAAGTCGCTCAGACTTCTACCCTCATAAATTCCAAGGAGTGTCTGCGCATTCTCCAAACATTCGGTATGGAAGGTTATGTCCCATGGCAACCGCCTCAGCAGCCAAATATGGCTGAAGACACGCAAAACCAAACTCCTGCAGCAGCCGATGAAGCATCATATACTTACGTAGATGAATCGAGCGGGCGAAGAGCATCAATGGCCACGCCACCCGCTCCAGCGACAAGAACGTTTGCAAATACAGCGATCCCTCGGGAGGACCCCTTCAAAAGGTTTCAGGCCAGCATATCAGTGCAGGTTCAGCCACCGCAACAAGGTTACCCATCCGGTGGTCAACAATCCACAATGCAACCTACACCAACAGGCTTGTCCACGGGAATGACACCTGTTGCTCAAACAAATCCCTATGCGGCTCCTTCCATACCAGGACAGTCAGGCTCAAAGTTTTCCTACGACGCTAACGCATATCCGAACCAGTATGGGGACGAGAACGGGGTTGCGTTTGGTTCGATGTCACCACCTTCTGTCCCACCTCCGCCGTATAGTGCTGCGGTGGGGAGCAGCCCGCCTCCCGTATTCCCAGAGAAGTCTCCTGCATGGACTACATCGATGAATCAGGGAAGCCAAGGATCATGGCAGGCTCCAGCATGCGCATCGCCTCCAACACAGAATGTACCGCCAGTGCAAGTGACACCACCCACGCAACCGGCCCAGCAGCCTCAGCAGCCTCAGCAGCCCCAACATATGGTAAATACCTCCACCATGCCAGCAACCCAAGAAGCAGCTACTGGAGCTCGATCAATGCCGCAACAGTCCACTCAGTCAAGCTTGGTGGCGATGCTAAGCTCTTTCGCGATATCCAGCACTCCCAGTCGTGCTGCCACACCAGGGATACCTGAACGACATGCAGTGCAAACTTCTCCTCCGCAGGCTGTGCAGAGTGCGCCCCCAACTCTCCTCCAAACGCAACAACCAAATCAGCCTCCTCCCAGCCCAAGCCCTCAGTATCAGGCGCAACAGACCTCCAGCGTGCAGGCAACGCCGACTACCACTCCCTGGTCCCCATTTCAACCGACCGCTACGCCCATCTCACCATACCAGACTCTAGCCACACCCGTTCAGTCAGCACCTCCTGCTCAACAGCCGTATCAAAACCCGACCACACCGTATCAGAATCCCGGCTATCCCATGCAACAACAACAACAACAGCAACCAATCTTTTCAACGAACCCTATCCCAGCTCCAGTATCCATCCCCTATTCCTCCCCTCCGATCCAGCAATCACAACCGCAATACCTCAATCCCGGCGTCCCCCAAACTCCCTACACCCAACACGCAGCCGCCTTGCCCTTGCAATCTCCTCATTTCTCCGGTAATACCACGGCCAGCACGTACAACTCTAGCTTTGAGTACAGTGCGCCTCCTCCAGCACCTTACAATCCACACTTGGACCAGGGATTACAGGCTCCAGCGCAGATGCCGATGCAGCAAGGGTGGCAGGGTCAGCTCGCAGGTGGTCAGGTGGGGTATCCTTCGGCTGTGCCTATGCAGAACGGTGGAGCGATGTTCGGGCCTCCGCCTCCGCAGGGAGCAGGAAAACGGAAGAGTTTTCTTGGAGGGTTGGTGGGTGGTCGGTGACGGATTGAGACTTTCTTGACGGTTCTGGGCGTATAATGGTATTGGGGTATGAGATTATTCTCGTTTCCGGTTTTGCACCTCGGACTGCTGCGATTTTTTGCTAGATAAAGGTGTTGTTCGTCTGACTTGTTTATTATGTTGTATTTACGCAGACCTGCCTGCCCATGAATTATGATGATCGAATGAAAACCGCATGCGCGTCCCATTTGCTCATACAGTAATCTAAAGACGGGAAGCTTACCAAAGCTCAGAAGAGCTTCCCCTGAAGGCAGACTCACTCACTTCTCAATCGCTCAATCCCGTGAACCCTAACAGCCCACCACACAAACCCCACAGCCCAGACGCCCACCAATACAGCCGCCTGCACAGGCGCAAACAGGGCCCCTCTCACAACCACAAACCCGCTGATCAGTGCAAATAGCACAGGCACCACTAGCGGAGGCTTGATAGGACGATGGAGGTCCGGCTCCCGGAAGCGGAGGATGATGGCCCCGGTCACAGTGAGGAAAAAGAAAGAGTACTCGCTGAGTCCGTTGAGGGTGAGAAGGATGCGCATGTTTCCTAGGAGGATGTATAGGGATGAGAGCAGGGTGTTGAGAACGAGGGCATTTATTGGAGCTTCCCCCTTGTCCATCGCCTCGTTTGCTGCTTCGCTTGCAGCTCCCTCATCTTCATCGGAGTTTTCGGCGTCTACAGCACCGCTTGACACCTTCCATCTTCCAATTTCGCCCACACTGCCGAGGAAACCGGGAAGCCAGCGCTTGTTCGCGGCGGCCACGGTCATGCGGCCTGCAACGAAGGAGTTGCCGAGTGCAGAGCCAGCAATAACGAGGCAGATGAGTATCGTGGCGAAGAAGGCTGGTCCCTGGCCTAGGAAGTGGGATATAGCTGTCTATGGGGCATTAATGACTTCGCGTGCAAAGGAGACCATCTGCGATCGTTATTATACGTACCACTGCTGCAGCATCAGTAACAGATACGACGTTCCACGGAAGGAGGATGTAGTAAACGGTGTTGGCAGCCAGATAGCAGAGGATGATGGTTGGGATGGCTGTATTGACGGATAGTGGAAGCTGCTTGCTGGGATTGCGTAGCTCTGCTGCTACATAGTTTGCCTGGAGCATGTAAGTTTTATATAAGCCAAAGAAGGACCCCCTCGAGAGACTCTGAATCAGCCATACCTTATCCCAACCGGAAAACGACCATAGCGACGCATACAGCGCCGTGCTAAAGAATCCCAACAACTCCCAAGCTCCCACCTCGCTCCAATCAACCAACCTCCCATCAGGAAGCACGCTATCCCTTGCTGCAAACCACCTCTTTTTATACCAATCTCCTCCCCCGAGATCTCTTCCATGCTGCGCAACAAAGACCCCCAGAACGGTTAAGCCCGACAGGATTAGCAAAAAGATAGTCGAGAACTTGATAACGACAAAGAAATCACCTAAACGCGTACTCGTCTTTGTACTGATCGAGTTGGCAATAGTCACAATTACCAACACTAGCACAGACCACCCCTTTTGCGCCAATCCATCACGAGCGCTGTCCCACCCAAAAGCAGAATACACACTCTCAACAAAAACGATACTCAGAATCGCCAACGTCGCCGGCATCGTGGCGACGATCCAGCTCCAGCCGGCTAGGAAGCCCCACACCTCGCCATAAATGTGGCTGAGGTAGGGCTGGATACCGCCCTCGCCAGGAATGGCCGTGCCTAGCTCTGCCATGGTGAGGGCGCCGGTCCAGGCGAGAAAACCGCCGAGCAACCAGACCAAAAGTGCAACGCCCGGTGAAGGTACATTGGCATCAACGGGGCCGGGAGAGCTGAAGACGCCTGATCCGATGACGATAGTGGTGATGAGGACGAATGCGTGTTTCGCGTTGAGTCGGCGGGCGAATGTGCTACGGGTTGTATGGGCGACTTCTGGAAGGCTAGAGCCATGTTGGTCTCCCTCGTGTAGCAGAGGGGTTGATTCGGACGCCATTGTACTATTCACACGCGTTTGGTTTTGAGATGGATGGGAAGGTGACGAGATGAAGTCAAATCTAGGTGATTACATAATGCACCGAAGATATTGCGTGCTGTTAAACGGTCATGTGATGCTTGTATTGATGCGCTTTTTGTAGAAGTTTGGTAGTATAAAGTCTAATAGGCGATAATATAATCAGCCTAGTTTAGTTGAAAGCGTGTTGTTTCCAAGAGATATGGACTTTTACATAGTACATGGCGTTCGGCTTCCCCTCTCAGCTGCGGGACCGCGCAAGAAGATCCCGAGGTAACTTCGTCTTGTCCTTGCAACCAACCTGTCAAACCTCATCAAAGATGGAGCCTCAAATCGCCATTGCGCGTAACGCCTATAGTATCGCCGGGCTTCTGCAATATGACGCCTCGCCTGTACTTCAACGAGGCGCATCATGCCCTCCGATGTCAAGGTCATGGAATTAGGAAAGATTGATGACCCTACATCTGCAATAGGACATATAGCGGACATGTCTATGCGCAGACGGTACTGAAGGGGTTCTTGCTCCATGTACGTATTGATATGTTTGAAGAATACCAGAGTCTCTCTGAAACTGACAACTACTGCTTCAGATCATCACCGGATAGTTCAATCTAGGAGGAATCCGATCAAGCATGATTATTCTTGCACACTCGGAAAAGTTCAAGGATAGCTACAAGTACTGCACACGCACAGTGGCCGTGTTCCAGTCTCCAGAGGCCGGCACTGATTACTGGTAACTGGAGTTCTCCGTGCTCTCCATTATCTTTCCCATTATCATGGAGTCCATGGACTGAGCGACTGTTTACGGAGTATGTGCCTGTCTAGGCGTAGTCGCGAATTGCGCGATTGATATTGGTCAGCAGTCAGCACATCTCTATCCTATCCAGAGAGTAACCCTGACGAGACACGTCCAGAGCACAATACCAGCACCACGGTAAACCCCAACCCCAACACCGATGATTCCGACACAAGAATTCCACTGCTATCTATAGGCAAGTGGTTTTTGTGCCCATGTCCAAGCTCGCCCTTGATCGTGTTCCCATTACACTTGCCGAAGAAGATGGAGCTTTCGTACATCTACATAGGTAAGTATCCTTAGCGCTCGCTTGCAGTTAGGCGGAAAATGTCCTCATTCAAACCTCTATCACGCAATGCGGGACCGACCGGCATGGGTAAGGCAAAGCTTCTGGATTTTCGACCGCCAAGCCAATGGAGATAATCCGCGATACGGATTCAAATTCTCGTTCTCGGAATGCATGAGTCGGAAGACGGGTGTATGATATGTGTGCGACTAGATGGTGGGGGTACGGATGGAATATTAATATCAAAGCTCTTCTATCCGTATGTCGGGAAGATGTACTCGTTGCATCTCATCGCCTAGGTTGCGCACAGGTTGTGAAGACTACTGGAGCAAGAGATGCCTGAAATACAAGAGAATCATAAGGCGAAAAAGGACAGCGAGGTCCAGGCCGGGGAAACTGTCTTCAAGCCAGTGTCAAGATTAACAAGATGGTATCGAAGTCCACTTTTCAACGTCATCATGGTTGGATTGATCTCCTTCACCCAACCCGGCATCTGGAATGCCCTCAACAGTGAGCCAGCCTCCCCTTCAGCATACTCCTTAGAAACCCCTCTACTAACAAAACCCAGACACGGGCGCAGGCGGACAACAAGAGCCCTACCTCGTCAACGGCGCCAACTCGCTCACCTTCGGAATCATGGCCTTCGGCTGCTCCATCTTCGCGGTCCTATCCAACAAATTCGGTCTCAAGACCGTGCTCATCCTCGGAACCCTAGGCTACGCCCCCTACTCGGCGTCGCTTTACGTCAACAACCGCTACGGCACCGAATGGTTCGTTCTCTTCGGCGGCGCCACCTGCGGGATTGCCGCCTCCGCGCTGTGGGCTTCTGAAGGCGCCATCGCGCTAGGCTACGCAGACGTCAAGGAACGCGGTCGATTCACGGGGATATGGCTCGGGCTGCGCGAACTGGGCCAACTGATCGGCTCCTCGATCCAACTCTCCCTCAACGTCAGAGACGGCAAGCGCGGAAAGGTAGGCTACACGACCTACCTCGTCCTCATCGGGATCCAATGCGCCGGCCTCCCCCTCGCCATGTTGGTATCACCACCCCAAAAGGTCCTCCGCGCCGACCGCCGCAAGCTCTCCGACCCAACAACAAACACCAACCTCAAGAAGGAATTCGCAAAATGGTGGCGCCTCCTCCGCACCAAGCAATTCTTCCTCCTCATCCCCATCCTCGTCGGCTTCAACTGGAACAACACCTACCAAGGCATCTACCTGACAAAGTACTTCAGCGTCCGGTCGCGTGCCCTAGGTGCCCTGTCCTCCGGCCTCGCCGCCACAGCCGCAAACATCTTCTGGGGCTGGTTCTACGACCTCAAATACTTCAGCCGACCGCAACTCGCAAAACTCACCTGGTCCCTCTTCTCCATCGTCATGCTCGCCCTCTTCGCGTGGCAGGTCGTGAACGAGAAGAGATATGCCGATGCTGCGCCAAAGGTCACGCTCGACTGGGCGCAACCGGGTTTCGGCCGCGGGTTCGCCGTCAATGTGCTCTTCCGGTTCATGAACGAGTCGCATTACATGTTTGTGTATTGGATCCTTGGGACCTTCTTTGATGATATTGAGACGTTGACGCTCGGGGTTGGCCTGGTGAGGACGTTTGAGTCGGTAGGATCGGCTATTGCGTTTGGTGTTGGGGCGGCGAAGGTGAAGCCCATGGTGAATTTGATCATCGCGTTTGTGGCGTTTGTGGTGTGTATTCCCACTACGTTTGCGGCGGTGTTTTTGGTACCCGAGAGGCCGGTGGATGTAAGGAAGTTGGAAGATGATGGCGCGGATTCCGCGGACACTGACAAGGATGTGACGCCGGGGAAGGAGCTCGTCGAGAAGGCGTAGGAAAATGTATGACAAGCAGTTGAAAGGGAGGACGAGGACGATGAGGAAAGGGTATGGCATTTAGAATGGCTCTTAGCCGACGAATTTTGATCGTAATCATTGACCAATACTATAGCTTTGGAAGGCTGTCACCGAAGCAGTGCTCTGAATCACTGAGTATACAGAGCCGTTCGTCCATCAGAGGATTCAGATGGCGTATTATCAGAACTATATCTCTGCGCTGCCAGGCAGGTTCAACGCTCTGACCACTGGTTCTCGATATCTGTGGTTACTGTAATCAACCCGCTTCGAGGATGTCTGACTCCATTCCCATGGCTCGCAAATGCGAGAGTGCTTGTGTCGATGCTCCCAGCCTCATCATCATCCAACTCTTTGAATCCCTTCGTATGCGTGCTCCTGTTTGTGAGAGGCAAAGCTCCAGTTCCATCCGCGCCAGACCTTCCGGTTCGATAACCTGTGCTTTGAGAGCGACCGTGACCGCCTCTTCGGGGTCCCAAAGGGCAAAGTAAGGTGAAACGCTCCAGCAAAGGTCGGTAGGACAGGAGGCATGCAGAAATCAGATATGATCCAGGTTCGACAAGAGTCCAGAAAATCAACTCCACTGCATCCCAGGTTGTGTCTTTGAATAAGTCGGTATGTAAAAATGTCTGGAACCTAAGTATGGAAGTAATCAGTCCGCTTAAACGTACGTTAGTGTGGATGTCTGTAATGCAAAATATCTTCTGAGGTTGTAGATCCAGCTTACCTGCTCCCGACGAGAAAGGTAAATGTGAGACCAAGCTTGATGCGCAGTGTATTGTGGAGGCCCCATACAACTGGTAACGGAAGAGCCAGCATGATAATGTCTGTTACAATGTTGGGAAGCGTCGCCCAGGTGAAGAACAGTTCCCTATTGATGCAGGTAGCCCCGGGAACTATTGGGTTGTAGTTTGCTTCGAAGGGCCGACACGCGGCAAGCAAAACAATGGTGTTGCAAACTATCTGGCCGACAAGAAATGCCGCTAAAGCCCACGACATGATCCGGAATTTGCGCGTGGCAAAGACGTGGTGATAGAGTACCAGGATAGCCAACTTGGGGATAACAGACGCGAAAGCGTATATCACTGTTATTGCCAGCAGGTATTTGAACCAAGCGAAAAGCTTAGCCGGATCATGGACTTTGAGATAATCGACATGGTATCCAACCCCAGCTTGAGGGACAGTAGCTGCTACTTTTTAGTCCAGTTTGCCTTTGGAGGCATGATTCCTACTCACCGACTCCGACACTCGAGAGGATGATCTGAAGTACAAGAGACAAAAGAACCAGGGCATCTTCCAACGTGTATTTAGTACCAACAACAAACCTACGAGCATAAAAACGTAGAAGGACAGCGATAGTCTGAAGCGGGATAAACACGGCCGTAAAGATAACCAGTTTCCACCCGATGTAATCAGGCGAAGTCGAGAGGTCTGACATCCTGTCGAAGGTTCGATCCTATGAAGCGCGCAAGTTTGACTGCAACAAGAGAAATGAATGGCGAGGTATATGCATACACTGGGCAGGCAATACTCGCCTCCCGCTGAGTCTCGGGACCCTGTAACAGTCGCGGAGGCGGACTTCATCAAACCTGCATCTTGATCCCGGACCGTTAATTCAATGGAGCTGTGGTGGGTTCAGTCTCACCCACCCTGGGGTATTATTAAACTTCCGCTTGAGAGGAAGTAGAGAAACAAATCTTCTCCTGGAGAAGGATGCGAGGCGGTTCACTGCATCTGCCGATAGGTACTGCAAATCCACTTGCGTGCTGCAATACCCTTCACAAGGGTTGGTTTTAATTGCCGTTGGCATCCTGGATCAACGGGCGGAGCTCGAGGTAGTTTGCGTCGGACCTTGTCATCATTGGCCGCGCGAACATCACGGAGTTGGGGAACTCGGATCGACCCAGTCCACGCCACAATCAAATGCTTTCTAATCCTACGGGTAAAGCATTTTTTTTGTTGGCTAGGCCTCAAAAGTTGTTATTCTCGTCCCTGCATCAATGAGTTTGGTACGCTTTGCATCCTCTCACTCCCGAGGTCCGTAGCCCTGCACTACGCCGCACATACAGATTCCCCTGAAGCGTGCCATCCGCGGGGGTTGGGGCCCCCTTCGCCGGGCCGTAGATCTTCAACTGTGGCTACAGCGGGCAGACCCTGGAGCAGTTCAATGTTGGACGTCTGAAGGATGCGAAAGTCCGTCTGGACAGCCCTTACATGAATCTAGGTAGTACCTTCCAATAAAATGACGGAATTGTCCACGCCGTATGCCTGATGCCTCAGTTGCCTCCAGTTGGCTTCAGCTTGCCTAATACCACACGGTACCCTTGGTCCACGATTAATCTCAGTCCGATTGTTAACAGGATTTATTGTTCTGCAACCACGGCGCTTGATATAAACGGAGGTGGCCCAGCGTGCCATGCCACTGGGCTGTGACACAAGGACCAATCATCTGGGACAATGTGAAGTCTTCAAATAATATCGGGTATGTCCTCCTCTTTGGCCTCCCACGGCCTTTCATACTATCTCATCGATCTCGAACTTCCATTCAGAAGGTATTCACCAGCCCGTCAACTACCGGCAATGGCTACAAAGCATGCGCAACTTTCCCAACTGGCGCAATGAACTTGTGCCTAACATTGTTGACTATTTGGCCAAAGTTGTATTACATCCGACCGATTTCGGAACCGCAGTTGATGGGCCTGCTCGATTTCTATTGTAATTCGCAAAGGGCGAGAGGGGGGAAGAGATGCCAGACGGTTATTGGGTTGAGGGGGTCCCGTGGCACTTCAGGTTCGTCGTCGGTGATGCGGTCGCATATATTGGATCAGCCGCTGTTTAACGCTTTGCGCTTCGTAGATTCTACCAGTGGATCTAGCAAATCCGAAACGTCGATTGCACAAAATGCCGACGAGGGGGAGACGGAGACATTGTCGAAGAGGCTAGCCTCCGTAACGTCACTGTCAGCGCAAATAGACATGGTTTTAAAAGACTTCCGGCGCAAGTTGTCGTTCGAGTTGGGCGTCGAAGAAGAAGCGCTGGATCTGACGGGGTCGAGCCACGACATGGGCGTCGACTCGTTGCTGGCGGTGACACTGAGGGGTTGGTTTTGGAAAGAAATGGACGCGAATGTCAGTGTTTTCGATATCATGGCTGAGATTAGTGCTGAAGAGTTGTGTCACCGCGCACTCGACAAGTCTCCACTTCGTATCAGGACTAATGGTGCGGTGTGATAGGAGGGAGGACTGCAGCACGTTACTATAAAATGGACTTCAAAGAATCAGTGATTAGGCCCTGACACTGCTAAGGCTGTAATACGCAATGAAATCCCATGCCGCAAAACAACGACGGGCTGGGACTTGTTTGCAGGGTACTATCATTTTATCCAATACCTAAAATTCTCGATCTGCTTTCCGTAATGACACAGTAGAAATTCATACGTAGACTATAGTTTCTATTGTCGTCTTTCCCACATTCCGTCCATTTCATAGCCTGGTAATAATACCCCCGTCTCTCCAGTACCTCACAAAACAGCGAAACAGTCCCATCTTTTCTCGATCTATTACTACTATCTTCTAACCCCTCACCACCTCTACCTCATACACAGTATCCCCACAACCCCAAAGCCAGGTCCAATTCCCAAGTCCACGCCACAAACCCAACAACCCCCAACCACTCCTCCCTCCAACCACTCCCGTAATCGAAACCAACAACAATCCAAACAACAACCAAAAACAAGGCGCCGCAAAGCATGCTGATGGCGCAGTTCCCAATCCCCCGCCTTGCCAGGAACAAGTTCCAAAACGGGCCTTACCGGCCCATGAATGTATGATGATGATGATGTCCCACTCCAGCCTAAACACCCCAAGAACGCCGGATCAACAAGAACAAAATCCCCTTCTAGAGCCCAGCAAGGACCATCTTACATCTCGCCAAAGCCCACCCCCCCCGCAAGGTTAGCGCGGCTAACGCCAGCAGTCCCGAACGCTTGACCGTTAAAGCCAGAGTCCACTCGATACCAAATCACTGACACGTGAACCGTGACGATATCTTCGCATCCAGAGAGGAGATAGCTCAGTAGCTTCAAAATGTGAAGCAGCAGCTCCAGCAAGGGGTCCTACACTCTTCTCCTCCCTCATCGTAACGCCGCCGGTTCCGACTTCTTCTCCGCATCATTACCCGCAGCCACCTTGACCTCCGTGATGCGGCTCCCACCCATGGTCCGAATCGTCTCTTCCAGCTTCCCAGCCTCATGGAGCGCGGCGATGTCGTCGCTGCCGCCGATGCTGCGGCCCATGATGAGGATGTTCGGGACCGTCCTCCGGTGCGTGCTCTCCGCTAGGGTATCTTGGAGTTTGGCGCCCAAGGGGTGGTGGTCTAGTTCGACGACGAAGGGGGCGGGGGATATCTTGTATGTCTCGAGGAGGAGCTGTTTGGCTCGCTTGGAATAAGGGCAATAGGATTTGGAGAAGATTATCACTTGAAGCGAAAAACATCAGCATAATGACGCTCGAAGAACAGAGGAATCAGTGCCCTACCGGGACTCTTCTTGAGAATCGCATTCAACTCAACCTCGACCTCATGGTCCTCGAGCGTCTCGTGCTCCAACTCGGATGCATCCTTCTCCCTCGTCCGCCCCCCTTGTTTCGCAACCCCGAGCTTCTTGTCCCCGCCCTGCTGCGTGAGCTTCACGCGCCCCGCGACGCTCTTGTCGTCCTCGGTCGTCCCCTCGACGGATTCCAGGTACCGCTGGCTCTTGTCGTCGGCGGCCTTTTTCGCGGCCTCTTCGGCCGCTTTTAATCGCTCGCCTATGTTGGCGGCATCGCGCTCTTTGGCCGCTTCCGCGTACTCCTTTGCTTGTAGGGCCTCCTGTGTTCTGGTGTAGTATTCTGACGAGAGCGTCTCCTCTGCTCCGCGCTTGACATATACGATGACGGCGACAACGAGGAAGGCGGCGAGCACGAAGAGACGCATTCGGGATTTGGGCATGGCGGGCAGTACTGTGTATGCACTGCGGCGTGTGGGATCGGAGAACCGGGGATATTACTTCTTTCCTCCTCCTAGCAGCGATTGTAAATCAAGCCAACCTTATTCCCAGGATTATCGGTAGCACCAGCTCGTGAGTGTGGCCCCCGTCGCAATTCAACAAAACGATGGGGGGAGGTGAAGGTAGAAAAGGGGAGGGAGGAGGTGGGGATGTGGTTGACGTCGATCTACAAGTCTGCCGTGCCGTGCCGCGGCTGCAGGAAGGCGCGTGCACTTTTTCTGGGGAAATCAGAAATCAGGGCACGGACGCGGGGTTCGTGGTCTAGGCCAAGGGGGACTTACCTACAGTGAACGACATCTGCTTGTAGGTAAAGTGCCAATTTATCTTTAGATGGCTCGGCTTGACTCCGTAAACAGACACCTAGGTGAATACAAGCTGTCATTCCCGTCCAACTCCTGCTAGTAGATCCTAGCAGGCAAGGTAAGTAGCTTCTCAGTAAGAAGTTCGTTCTACTTAGGTCTATCTATACTCCAAGCCGAAAATTATCAGACATATTCATACACATTCCCCAAGAACTACCTAGGTAGATAGTTTCTATCATATTTTGGCACTTTACCTAGATACTGTACATCATCCACGTAGTTGGCGCGGCTGTCTGTTACCGTTGTGTTCTCGACATTCACTCTTCAAAGACAGATAGCGAACAAAGTCCACGTCCTTTTTTTTTCTCTTATCTCTTTTGATTCACACCCTCAGATGCCGGGCAGGATTGTTTTGCTAGTAACTTTTATACCACACAGTATACTCTACGTCCATAAAGTAGAGAGACGCCTGACATTCCACCTCATTACCCAACCTTCCACTCCCAATCTTACCCTAGGTCTGCCGAACACACGCGTGTAATAGCGGCAGGAATATCCACCCTAGCTAAACCGTACAACAAGAACTACACCTACGACCAAAGAACATCCTGCAAGAGCTAATGATGAAATTCAAACCCAAAACGAAGCAATGAGAATCAACAAAAGACGGGTATCCTTCACCTCAACCTATACTCCCTCCCTCCAAACTCAATTTGCGCAAGCCCAACCACTCACATCTCCCTTCTTCCATTCTTCCCTTCCCCATCACCCATTAATTACCTCCTACCCCCCATCCATTTCTCCGTCTCTCCCCCAAAACCTCCCTCTACTTCTTCAACCCTACCACCGCTCCCCCTGCTCCACAAACCCCCCACCCTCCAACGCCGGCACACTGAACCCATACCCATCCGTCCTGCCCGCCGGATCCCCCTGCCGAATCTCCACCCTCAGCGTGACATCCAGCCCGTACGGCCCGCACAGCCCCGTAGCCGTCAACCCCTGCGCAGCCGGATGCTCGGTCCCTGCGCCGTGCTCCCCCGCGTGAATCGGTTTGCGGTGGTTGTACCGTTTGTCCGGGGGCGGGGACGAGCTGTGCGTTTGCTGTGCGGAGACTGCGCCGGTGGAAGCGTTAGGCTCGACGGGAGTGGGCGCGGCGCCTTGGGCGGGAGCCGGGGCGGAGGAGGACAGCGTGGGAGTGGGATTCGACTCGGCGATGATGGCGTAGTTGCGCGAGGGCATGGTGGCGTGGTTCCAGTCGCTCGTCTTCCTCGATACCTTAGCCTCGTGCGCGACGGCGCCGTTGGTCACGCCGTTGCCGTTTGCGCCGTGCGCTGCCCCCTTGCCCGGGTCGCGGTTGAAGATCTCCAGCAACGTCTCGTCCGTGTCCTGGTCCAGGTGGTGGATCTTGTTGCGTCGAGCGAGGAGGTTGGCGATCGCCTGCGGAGGCGGCTTGTTCGTGATGGCCGAGCTGATCACGTTGGGCATGTACCGGAAGTCCTGCTCCGCGGGGATGCCCAGCGTGGGATTCGAATAGAAGCGTCCCACGGCCGCGAGATGCACGTCTCCCCCCAGAATCGTGATGCGCACGCTGTGTGTCCTGGACAAGTTCTGCAGCATGAGCACGAGTTCCCTGCGCTCGCGCTTATGTTGGTGCGCGGTATAATGGTCATCCAGGTCGTCGAGCAGATCGACGTTTCCGTCGAACTTGTTGAAGACGGTGCCGCCGAAGCCGAAGCGTCGGTTGAGGAACTTGATGGGCGCGATGATGGGGCTGGAGAAGATATTCTCGAGCCACTGGAGGCGGGGGTAGGCAATGGGGACGCCGAGGAGGAGAACCAGGTGCTTGATGTCGCGGTTCGCCGAGAGTTCTCTGTTGAGGCGGCCGAAGATCTTTGCGTACGTTTCTGGGTAGTTGATTTGGTGGCGTGTGCGCTCGATGCGGGCGTCGATGCCGCAGAAGGCGATGCGCGCCCCAAGCTGGCAGTAGATGCTGCGGCTCTTTTCCTCCACATAGGGTCCTTTCTGATCGCCGATGATATACGAGGGATCCTCGACGTCGTTGGTCATGACGAAGGTTCCCTTGAGTTGAACGGGGTCGGTTGAGCCGTCAGGGCCAACGTCCATGGTGGTTGGCGCATCGGTGGTATATGTGCTCTTGGGCGGTGCGATATGATGCTGGAACAGCATGTAGTATTTGTGCGCGACACCTCCAATGCCCCTGAAGACGGGGCACCTCATGAAGTGATCCGTATACGAGCCAAAACCGTCAATGATATCATGGTCGTCCCAGATGTTGATCTGCGGAATCTGCCCATTCGCGTCCGCAAACGGCTTCTTGCCGTACCAGCGCACGTAGTTCTGGTAATAGTACTCGTCGCACTCCTGGCGCAGCTTCTCGGGGAAGGGGAATGTGTGGCGCTTGTGCGGGTTGCCGATATCCGTCCATGGCTTCAGAGGCCCGTCGACGCGCACGCCGTCGTTGTAGATCTGGTCGCCGCCACCGATCATGACATGGAAGGGTTTGACCTCATGCATGCGCAGGACATCGTTCCAGAGCGCGGGCCCAGCCCACGACTCGACGTCGGTGCCCACACTGAATCCGTTGCAGGAGTGGAACAGAATGCGCATGGACTGGTCGACGGGAGGGACGGCGAAAACCTGCGGCTTCTGCGGCGTGGACTCTGCATCCTGATCCAATCCTCGGAACCTGTATTCCCAGCGCGACTCGAATTTTTGAAAGGGTACGTGTATGAGGAATCGCCAGAAGGCCTTCCCAGGATCTTCGTACAGCTTCTCGCCTTTCACGACCTCTGACCAAGACCCCGAGAACGACGTCTCAGGCTCCTCTGCGCGGACGGCGCCCGCAGGCGCAAGTGTCAACTCGGGTTGGCGCTGTCCGGGTGTGGTGACGACGAGGACGCTGCCGTGCCAGTTGGGACGTCCGCTCTCGACGTCGCTCATGTGCTTGTAGTTGAGGAGTGGGCCGCAGATGATATCCACCTTGTGGGGCGTGTAGTCGGCCGCCGGGCCGGTCCCGAGTCCTTCGACTCCGGCTTGGGCGTGCTGGGTTTGAGGGAGGCCGTCCATTGTGGAAGCGCGATGCGTTCAAACTGTATAATTGATTGCGAAAGTCGACCTTGTTTCTGTGAAGCTCAACGTCAGGAACATGTCAGCGCACTGGACGCAGTAAACATACCTCCTTTCCACCAGAAGTCGTGGCGCAACAGCAGTGGAGCTGAAGCGCTCAGCAAGAGCTACAGTTCGCGATTGAGCCAGCCGCACGCGGCGAGAGAGCTCTCAGAAAGCGAGGAGGATGAGAGCTGAGCTGATCCTTCGGGCGCAGGCAGAGCTCAGTAATTGTATATTTCGTATGCGGACGGATCGACAACAACAAGGAAATTGGAGTCCGAGTGTTGTCACTCTCATCTTATGCCAAGGGGGCTGGGGATGGGGATGGGGGAAGCGGCTAGCCGGGCGATGACATCGTCCTGCATGCAGCGTGCGGAGAAGCTATGGATCTGCTGCTTTTAAAAGGAGACGAGCGATGAAAGAGGTAATTGGTGCTGTTAGCCTCTCTATTTATTGGATGTGGTATTTCAATGACAATTGTTCTTTCTCGTCTTCTATTATTCGGACTTTCAATGCTGCTGGTCCCTGCGTCAACATAACACAGAATCCTGGAGCGGATCACAGGTGGCCCAAGCTCCCGTTTCAACGACGACGGGACGGAAGTGTGGCGTCAGTTGGTGGCTGTGTGAGAGGCGGTGCAAATCATCTGCTAATCCAAAAGGGGAAACTTCCTAGAAGCAGCACCTGGGCAGGTCCACGTGTGAACTCGGGTACGAAGAATGCGATTAGGTCATTCCTCGGTGCAGGAAGTAGATGAGATGGATGGATTTCTTCTAGTATTGGCAGGAGTGCGTTCAGCTCCCATGGTGTTCGCTGACCTAGGTTGCGTCATTGTGTGAAGATGAATAGAGAGCAAATAGCAGAGGGCCCGGAGTTTCTATCAGCCTATCTACATCTTATCCTCACACGTCGAACCCAATGATGCGATAAAAGTTCTCCTAAATCCATTACCAAACGCCGCCCAATGCAACCGCTGAAAACCAAATCATATGGATATGCAACCCTAAACCTCCACCACAACACTCTCCCCCTTCAACCCCAACTGCACGCCCACATCCCTCACCACCTGCCTAATCGCCTCACAAGCCGGACTATCCGGATACGCCTCCAAAAACGACTCGCCATAATCACACGCCATCCCGATCCTCGGATCCAGCGGCACCGCGCCCAAGAACGGAATGCCTTCTTCCTCAGCCAACCTCCTCGCACCCCCCGTACTCGGCCTGAAAATCTGACTCTCATGTTTACACCCCGGACACACGAACCCAGACATATTCTCCACGATCCCCAGGATCGGAATTTTGGCCTTTCTACAGAAATCAATCTCCTTGCGCACATCCAACAGCGACACCTCCTGCGGCGTCGACACCAGCACCGCGCCGCTCACCCCGCTCTCCTTGAGGAACGAATTCACCGATAAATGCTCGTCGCTCGTTCCCGGAGGCGTGTCCACGATCAGGAAATCCAGATCCCCCCACACCACCTCCATGAGGAACTTCTTGATGAGACCGTTCTTCTTCGGTCCCCGCCAGATGACCGCGTCGTCCCGTCCGGGCAGCATAAACTGCACGCTCATGACGCCTAGGTTGTCGCTGACCCATACGGGCTCCCACCCCGCGCTCGTCACATGGATCGTCTCGTCCTCGACGCCCATCATCTTGGGGATGCTCGGGCCGCAGATGTCCGTGTCCATGAGGCCGACGGTGACGTTGGGGTCGGCCGCGAAGCCGTGAGAGAGCATCGTGCTGAAGGTCGATTTACCGACGCCGCCTTTGCCGGAGAGCACGAGGATCTTGTGCCGGACCGACGAGAGCCGCGAGGTTATGGTGGGTATGTCGGGGTCGGGTCCCTTTGGTGCGGACGCGCATATCTTCTGGTTGGGGCAGCCTGCGCACGAGTCGGCGACGCCGGCTTGTTGGGATTCGGGGCCGGGACAGTGTTCTGTGGAAGTGTGTTAGAGTTGCGCTGCGAGATGGCTAATGGAGAACGTTGGAGTATGAGGAACGTACCAGGTTCCGGTGCGACCAGGTTGGGCTTCTCCTGCAGTGGTGCATCAAGATCCACCTGCGTCGGCTCTTCCAGCGAAGGTGCCATTGGAAAACTTAATCAAATGAGTGTGCTATGTCGGAGGAGAGTGTTTGGGTGAGGAGATGGGTTTATTTTTATTTCCTTTCGAGGCTTGATAATCAAGTTCCCCGCTCTGGACCGGCATCTGCCAGGCCATTCGCCACCCTCATTCCGAGCTCGGAACCAGGGTAGCCCGTACCCCGCCACACCATCATATGCCATAACGTATTGGTAGCTACCAAGTCTACATATATCACAGTGGTGCGATGCCCGGCGTGCGATAACAATTCTATTGCTTGATGCCAAACTAATACTCATCTATGTTTATCTAAGGGTCCCTTCCCTTAATCCAAGGCCCTAAATCACCAGTCCCGTCTTGCAATCGTAGAGGATGCTCATACTCGCCGCCTGACCATGACATACGGAACCTCAACGTCCTCTCCAGTCTGATCTTCGGCCGTGATCTCGAAAATGACATTCTTCTGGTGCGCTGGAAGCGGCTTCTTGGAGACGAGCTCGACGACCTTTGTCATGCTGCACATGGTTAGCACAAGTATCGAAACGTCAAAAGGACGACTTACGGAAGGGGCAGGCGATCCTGCAGCTTGGACGGCCCATAGAAGGATGCATATAGCAAGCTCACACCAGAGCTGACCATGGTGACATCGAGTCCCCGCTCCTTAAAGTGCTCCACAAACTCTTCCAGAGTAATGTCATCCACCTCGAATCGATCCCACAGCTTGTCAATCGTGACCTTCTCGCCGTCCTTGCCGATATAATGTCCCTTGGGGCTGGCAATGGGCTCGCTGAAGCCGAAGAAAGGCAGGGCCAGGTTGACGAACCCGTTCTTGTACTGCTCAATGTCCGTCTTGCCATCGAGGATCTTGTACAGCTCCAGGTTCACTAGACCAGTAACGAGCGCCGTGGTTGTGGCAATGGCGGGAATAATCTTGCCGGCGATGAACTTCGTCTTGTGCCGATCCGCTGGCTCAATCTTGTAGTTTTCCGCACGGAGATTGCTCGCAGCTGTGATGAAATCGATGTGATGATTCGTGTCATCGTCCTTCTCGAATTCAACAGGCTCGAGTCTGAAGCCAGCTAGAGACTTTGGTTGAGGCAACTTGGACACAATGTCGCCCAGCGCATCACCATCTTGAGTGGCACCAGTAGGCTGGGGCTCAGGGTCGGCATCGCTCGCCTGGATTTTGACCGTTGGATCGGGATGGAAGTCCGGGACAATCATATCATCCAACACTCGCAGATAGTGCTCCTTGTCAACGCCCTTGGAGTTGATACCGTAGTTGTAGGCATGTAGGATGGCAGCAGCCTCAATGTAGGTGAAATGCGTAGGATTGGAGGCATCGAACTTGAGCGGGTCTGGCGCACGCTTGGGTCCCGACCAGAACGGCTGGCCAGAGCTAGTCATTGCGTCCTTGGGGAAGTTGTACAGCAGCTGCTGGATGGCATGGTTGTAGTTCTTCTCGAATTGCATGCGAGCCCAGATGATGCAGTCATCAAACGTGCGTGGCTTCTCCGTCACCAAGAAGTCCCGCAGCGTCTCCAATGTTTGCTTCTCGTTTCCGGCCTGTTTCAGGGTAGAGCTGAGATAGTCGGGCTGCGTCAAATACAAGTTGACGGCTTCGGGGCCCTTGACAAAGAATGTATCAAACGACTCGCGCGCCCAAGCAATCGTGTGCTCGATACGGTTGGGGAAGCTGCGCAGCGTGCACATTGGGAACGACTTCTCGGGAGGATCCTGCGAGGACGAGTATGACTCCGTAATATGCGGTATAATGACTTGCGTGTTCCCTTTGGTGCCCAGGGTTCCGCTGTCAAGGAGTGGCTTCCGGAAGAATACACACCGGCGGTCGACATATGTACGTGCTTCGACGTTGTCCAAGGCGTTTGTGACCGCGTCCAAACTCTCCCAAAACTCTTCGTTGAAGATATCCTCTGTTTCGGGCCCAACTTTGTCCTGCAGAGGGACAATATGCCCCTTCAGATCAGGGTTCATTGCCACGACAGCTTTCGCAGCCGCAGTGCTCTTGGGATTACCGACATCTGCCGGCCTGAAGAGGAATTGGCGGTTCAGATTGCTCTTCTCAATCGAATCGTTGTCCGTCACGGTAATCTTACCGTTCGGCCCGGTTCCCAAACCCATCATCGCCCAATTCTTCAACATCTCGCAACCAATGGCGCCCGCACCAACGAGGAACTCCTTGACGTTCGCGATCTTTTCCTGGAACTGCTTTCCAAACACGGCAATCTGGCCGTCATATCGCGAACCGATCGGCTGGCAGTCTTCCTCTGAGCGAGACGAATTGGCAGGGAGAGATTCCAAAGAGTCGAAGTAGAGGAACTGTACGATCGGGTGGAACTTTCCGGATACAGACTTGAGCACCTCCTGTGCAGCCATACCTCCGAAAAATGCGGCGACCGGGCTGAGATCTCCACGTGCTTGGTAGCTAAGCTCTGTGATGAGTTTCTCGTCAAGTTCTACTTTGTCTTGTTTTTGCGAAGCGAGTTCACGAGAAAGCTTCAAGACCTCAGCCGCGTCTTCAGCATTGTGGGGCCGTGGAAATTCTCCGTTGTGGGCCTCTGCAAATGCATGAAGGGCTTGGATACCAATGTGCAACTGGTCTGGTCTATCGAATTTAGCAAAATCTGAGATGACATGGGTGGGCTCCTTGAGTTGTTCCCTATAGGATTGGAAGTCGATTATCTTCGGCATCTTGACCTGGATGTATTGTCCTCCGCGCTTGTACTCCCCAAGGTCGGAGACATCGCCAATGGAGAAGGTATAAGGGCCCTTCACTTCAATCTTGCGCGGCGCACAACCATTCAGACCCTCCATGCCTTCAACCTCGGAGAATGTGACATAGTCCCCATCTTCAAGCCCATGCCGCGTTTCGTCCAGAGCCGATACCAGGCCGTCCGAAGTGATTCCCGCAACAATCCCAGTGTTGGCATTCTCGCCAGTGGGATCCCCGACGGTGAAGTTCTTGCCGAAGTCCGTGAATATATAGCCGAACAAGCCAAAGGTGTCCGTGATGACAAGGTAGATACCGTTCTCGTGGCAATAATCGGCAATCTTGATCTGGTCCTTCAGCGGAGTGTCCGTAAGGACAATGCACTCAAACCGCTTCAACTTGGAGAGGTCCGATGTTAGGTCTGGTTCAGACAACTCGTGAACGGGAGTATATGGATTGAGTTCAGCGACTCGTGGAACGGTGACGGAGGCGCGGGGCTTCCCTACATCCTCGGGGGTAAGAAAGAACTGTGAGGATAGATCTGCGAGAGCCGCAGGTTTTGGATCGTATAACGTCAACGACTTGACACCGGCTAGAGCAATGTTCTTCGCGATCTCAACACCAAGACCTCGCAGTCCAGCAACGAGGACGTTGGAGTTGCCCATTCGCTTCATGGCTTCGTGGCCAAGGACATAGAGCTGACGGCTGTAGAGAGACTCGTCGATCTCGCCTTGCGCATCCTTGAGCCGCTCGGCCGCAGCGGCAGCCGCCGCTGGATTGTCGAGTTGCATGTTATCCTGGTGGAGAGGTTAGCGACCCTTCGACGGAGTGAGTCATGCAGAGGTTTGGTTCCTCAGGGTGGCGGATGTTTATGAATTCACTCTACAGCAACAACAGCAGCGACGCGGCCCGTCGAGCTTCTGCCTGCGGAGCATGTCCGACTCACCTGCATGATCTTCTTCTGCGGACTGCCTAGGTCCTCGCCGGAATACCTTCTCTTCCCCAGCTTGCCGACGTTTATGACGCTTCCGAACTGTGATTCTATCCTGCGATTCGGTGCGGGGCGGTGATGACGTTGCAGTGTCGTTCGTCAAGGTTCAATTCCGTTCGGCAAGAGATGCAGGCGGTCGAAGAGAGCGTTGCCAGTGGTCTGGTGGCAGCAGACAGGAAATAAGAAGAATGATGGAGGCGAGTGTTTGTTGCTTCCCACCGCTGGCTGAGTGAGCGGGGAGAAGGTGCTGGACAGCTGCCTCCCAGAACCGCGCTAACTTTATTAATCCTCCATAACATAATCCAGGCCACTTCTTGGCAAGGCGCAAGCGCGGTCGCGCCACGCCAACCTTAGACTTTGCTCACAGCTTTCGTCCCCCACAAGCATATCTTATTCCCATTTCTTTTACCCAGGAAGAGGAGTGCTCCGCGGCCAACGAACATCACCTCTGTTAGAGACGCGCTACCCAGAGCCCTCTGTAGCAGAGTTCCATGATATCTGCCTTAGTTACAGGTTTGGGAGGTAATCCTTATTGATTTTCAATTCATACAGACATGAGGAAAACGATACGATTCATTGAACTTCTCTTCAAAGTCCGACTTCGTTGTATTTAACAGTCCTGTGCCGTTCATTCCATCGTCTACATACCCATAAGTCATATTTTTCATTCGTCGCGTAACCGCCATGATCTCAGTCCACCATCGCTGCTGCCACTTTAACGCACCCATTCGAGAAGTAGTCCCGAGCGCCACCGGAGAGAAAGAAAAGGGAGACACGGAAGAAACATCATGCGCCATAAGAGTCATGCAGGAAGAAAAGTCGTAATTACAAGAAGGGGTACTTGTACACGGAGAAGAGAGCATGGGCATCATCGCCGTGAAGAGTGTCGGGTTGGGCGTGTATGGCGATCGGAAGAGCTTGCGCTGCCTATGAAGACTGTTAGGAGGATGCAGGATCATGGCCATCAGAGGCTGAACTCACTCGTACTTGTGTAGTCGCTGTAATATGCGGACGATCCGGAAATCGTAGTGCTCTTGTCGTCGTGCTTGCGGTCGTGTCTGCGTTTCAAGCCCAAGGCCAAGGCAAGACCACCAAGTGCGGCACCGATGCCCAGGGCATTGCCAAACCCTCCGCCCTTCTTCGGCGGCGGGCGAGCTGGACGCGCAGCCTGCCCGTACCAGCGACGTCCGCCGGCAGCGGAGCCGCTGTGGCTATGGCGATGACGCTCTTCAATGTAGGTCTCTTCGTGAGTATGCCTCCGTTTCTTTCCGAACCCGAAGATGGCCATGATGCTGTCGAAGAGAGCCTTTGCGCAGCAGAACAGGCAGAGGAAGAGCAGCAAGAGGACACCGGCAATGACGCCGATGACGATACCGGCAATCGCTCCGCCGCTGAGGCCTCCGCCGCCTTGCTGTGGAATCGCAGTCCCGCTGCCGGTCGGGATGGGAGTCTTGAAGGGTACCGTTCCTGTAGGTGTGCCGGTCGCCGGAGGAAGCGGAGCGATGCCGGGTGACGAGGATCCTCCGATCAATCTGCACTCCTGGGTGTCTTCGTTGGAGCACCAGTATCCGCTGTCGCAGCAGCCTCCTCCACATGGCACTCGAGCGCCTCCGCAGCTGTTGGCCGTCGGCGCTCCCACAAATGAGCTGTATACGGAAGTCCTCGTCACCGTACCCGTCTCGATCCACGTCGAGGTGAAGAACTGCCAGCTGCCGCTGTTATCGCCGCCGTTTCCCGATATTGGGTCGCAAATGGCCTCGTTTTTTGCGTTGGTGCCGCATTTGGTCCCAGAAGGACAGCATAAGAAACCGTTCCATCCGCACCATAGGGCGCAATCTTGCTGCCTTTTGTCGACCAGGGACTCGTTGTGCAGCTGCCGGTAATCTCCAATATGGACGGGATATGGTTTCGCTATGGCTGCGGGTAGGAGAACAATTGCGACGGAGAGCGCGAGGGCGGGGGAAGCCCCATTGAGAGGCCGCATGGTGGGGAAAGGGCCGTGGAAGGCCGGACGGACTGTCGATAGCTGCTGGAGAAGACAACCACGCTGTCGTCGACGCAGGTTTGGCGGTGAGGGGAGCCGGGTGAAGGTGAGATGATTGAGCTGGCGGGGTTGCGCAAGGGCGGTGATTGGCCGGTTGCGAGCGTGCAACTTTCCTGTCGGCTTCGATGGTGGGAATGAATAATGTCCCACGACCTTCAAAGTCAGCAAAGGAACAGCCTTCGAAGGTGCAAAGAATGCGTAGGAGAGAAGAATGGAAGTGGAGCTTTCGCGGTGCACAAGGAAATGTCTACTTGGATTTGTATGGTGAGGCTGGGGAGTTCTGCTGGTGGCTGGGAACACCAGCCCAACCACCCACTTTGTGTCTCACTATCGCACAGTCCCGTGCGCTCGCAAGGTTGATTTCTTGATGTGGAAATAATAATAGAATTGTTACTGTGTATGATTCCGTACCTGAAAAGCAGGATGCCTCCGTACCTGCATACTCGAGGTTGGTGTTGCGGTGATGATGTCCGTCTGTCCATAAGCGAGTGATTGTCCCAGCAACCACCCCTTCACTTTGTCGCATCCCTCAACCCCACCTCCATGTCCTCTACAGCTCATACTCTGCAATCAGCTTGTCTGCGGCCTTTTGACCGACAAGGTAGGCAGTCGACTGCGTGTGGTTGCTATATCCGATTAGCATCTCGGCAAAGATCTACACAGTTCAAGGAGAACTCACTTGGTAACCACTGGGCAAATCGAAAGATCCGCCACCCGAAGCCCGTCTACACCAAACACCCTAAAGTCCTTGTCCACACATGCCAGCGCATTCTCCTTCTTCCCCATCATGGCCGTCCCATTTGCATGCCACACTGTCGTCACGGTATCCCGCATGAATTCATCGATGCCTTCATCCGAAAGGCTCTTGGGACCGAAGAGGCGGTTCTTGACGTGTTTCTTGATTTCGGGATTCTCGAATACCTTCGTCCAGGTCGCGCGGATTGCTTCTCTCATTATGCGCTTGTCATACGGATGCCTCAGGTACGCCAAATCGATAACAGGCTTGTCCTCGGGGTTCGCTGAGCGGAGCGTAATCGATCCCTCTGCCTGCTCGTTCATCAAGAACGCTATTGCGGAGAGGTAGCTGCTTCCCTCTGGCAGCTTCGTTCCCGGCGGGACCAGGACGCTCTGTACAATGAACTCGAACGTTGGTGTCGCATCCCGTAGCAGATACTCCTGCATTCCCGGGTCCAGCGCCTTGAACTCTTCCATGTCCTCCAGTCCAGGGAGCTTGAGAAATCCACCCCACAAGGCACTATTGTAAAGCGCGAGATTTCCAGTCTTGTCACGGGCCCAGTCTTCCTCTGCCTTCTTCATCAACTCCTCGCTCGTCTCGAAGGCATATCGCTTGTTGTGGCTGTCCTGCACCTCTACACAAAGAATTGTCATGAGATGATCGCGCAATTGCTTCCCCACTCCAGGTAGGTCCTTGACGACCTTGATCCCGTGAGCTTCCAGTTCCTTTGCAGGTCCGATGCCGTTCAACAGCAAGATCTTGGGCGTATCGATGGAGCCACCGCAGAGGATGACGTCCTTGTTAGAAGTCGCTACTTCAGTTAGCATAGAAATTGCTCAGTACTGTATCCAGACAAGTCACCTTTCCGGCCGTCTGCTCTCTCGATGCCTACGACCTTGCTTCCGTCAAACTGCAGACGATATACCGGCTCGCCCGTCCAGATTGTCAGATTCCGAGGCGGGTTCAGCAGATGGGCGTTCGCGCTCGTCGTCCGACCGTCCTTAGAGTACGACGAGGGGAATATGGAGATGCCGATGGGATTCCCAGAATTAGGATCAACATTCAATCTCTCGCCATGCGCCAAAAGGGCCTCCATCGTGGATGCAATGCCCTCTTCTAGCTGAGGCGGCAGCGACACCTTAACCAATCCATCCCGCCCATGATCTTTCACATCCGGCATCGCTAGGTGCGGATAGTGAGACGCGTGGTCGAAGTCGTACTGCTCAATGGCCTGGAACGATTTTTGCACATGTTCCCACTTCCAACTCTTGTCGCCGACCAGATCCGCCCAGCGATTGTAGTCCTCTCGCGACCCGTGCAGGTATACCGCGAAGTTCATGATGCTGCTGCCGCCCAGCCCTTTACCTCTTGTGTAAGGGATCGACCTGTTGTTCAGCTCTTGCTGCGGCTGGGACGAGTAGCCATAGTCCAGGTCCGGACGGAGGGTCGCCGGTGTGTAGCGGTGGAAATGTTCGTATAGGTATTTCCCCTCTGGGCGGTCGCCGGCTTCCACAAGCAACACTGACGGTGCTGAGGGCGCGTTTGCTAGTCGGTACGCAAGGCGACATCCTGCGGTTCCTCCTGTGCGAGATTGTTAACGAAGATGGCGTTAAACCCGGATTCAGAGATCAACCTAGACGAACCTCCAACAATGATGAAGTCGAACGAGTCTGCCATTTCTTTGCGAGCGATGAAAGAGGGGTCTGGTTTGCACAAACTACTAGTCTTCGATGAACATAGCAAAACTATTAATGCGCTCAACAAAGCGGAGCTTGTACTTGCTTTTTATATCATTGCAGGCAACCCACATCTACTTCACCCTCGTACATGTGCATGGGACTAGATCATCACCGACCGACCTCTGATGACTTGGGTTTTCCCGCCGGTACGTACCGACCTGAGTGGCTTCCCCGAGGGGAACTCCGCCGAGCGATCTCCAATCGCCCGCATTCCAGCTTAGGTTCTGGTAATGGTGCTCGTTTCCGGTAGTCGCTAGTTGGCTTGGGGCTTACTCCGTACACTGGAGGGGACGCTTGGGAGGGGCTGGGGACGGATGTTATGGCACGGCTTTGAGGTGATGACGGACGTGGAACGTAGGGGCGCAAGCGCTTACGCATCATAGAGCACAAGCTAGGGTCCTCTACGGTAACTAGATTGCTCGGGCGCGGGGTGGCGTTGTGGAGTAGCTTGTGGTATTTCAAATTATGGCATGGGTAGGTACAGCCTCCTAGTCTTCTCTTCTGCGACAGCCAACTTCATTAGCGCTTCTGAGGTTGATTTCAAATGTGGCTCAATATAGCATGGAGAGGTTACTCCTTCAATAAGCTTTCGCATATCTAAATCTCCTCGGTCTTTGATCGTAAGTATCCCGGCCTGAGGCGAACAATCAAAATTAGGCGCAGAGTGGGCGACCCAGAAAATGCTCCAGGGCGGTGTTGTTGATTTTGTGGGGTGCGGAGTTGCGGAGTTTCTTACTGAGCACTCCGCAGGAGGCTGGGGGTTACGCTAGGATGTACGGGCAGGCGGGGTGACTAATGAATGAGAGGAGGGGTTTTGGCGGATGCTAGTGTGAGGGTATAGGGACGTTTTTGAGAGGGTCTTCCTTCCGAGTTCGCACAATGGGAGGAATGGGTGTATATGCTAGCTTGGTATATAGGCATGTTAGCTAGCGGACTGACTGCAGTTGGCTAGACTCTATGTTTTCTGCAGCCTAGCACATTCACGGATGAATGGGGAATCCGTCCTTTCGTTCTTTTTCTCTTCTTTGTTCCACTCTGCATCTGACGACATAAGGTTCTTGTTTTCTGTTCTCTGTGACAGTATGATGTGTTTAAAATGTGTAACAGGAAGTTAATCCACTCCTGCTGACTCCCACTGGCCTCGAGAGCCGCCTCGCAGCCACTTAGCTGAGCGTCAGGTTTAGAAATGATGTAGAATTCATGCAAGAGTTTGAGAACCGTGAGGATACTCTGCAGCGTGATTCTTAAGTAATAACTCCCGCCTGCGATTTCTACATTGTGTAGTGACGCCCGGCTTTCGATTGTCTCAAGGTACGTTAGTGCCTAGCCCCTGGCATCGCGATCATTTCATCGATGAGCGGAGATGAGTCTTATATGGCGGCTTTCATGATGTGGTATCTGTTGTTGTCACAGCCACTGACGATGTGAGGTGCTCAATTTGTTTGGCTTTTGCATCAGCCGAGAAGGGCTCGTGTCACCTCTTTCCAATCTGATAGGATCTATTTCACAGTTGGGTAGAGAAATATCCTATGTGCCAGATTTGCTGCGAAAAATATCTTGTTTGGTTATAGGTTATTACCATAGGTTATTACCCGAATTTCTGGGCTCCCAGCTTAAAGCGATCTCTCGTAGGAGTCTCATGTGTCTCTCATACCTTGTCTCTCCGACCTTTATATCGGTATTTTCAAACTCGCGCACCCAGTCTTTCCAAGATCATGGGCTGGAAGTCGTAAGTCAGGGCGACCACTGTGTGATTTGTGATGTCTCGCTCGAGGCGGTTTCGAGATGCACTGACCTCGAACTCAACTGAATCGATTCTCTGCTTTCTGTCTCACTCACAGAACTGAAAGAAGCATATATTGGTATCTCACGCTCTATTGAAAGCTTCCAGCCTCCATTACAGGTGCTCGCTGGAGCTCATCAACCACGGCACGTGACTGCGTCCAGCGTGCCTTCCTCGAGAGCAAGCAGCTGCACAGGCGCGTTTGTCTTTTACCTCCTACACTGAGACGCCAGAATTCTCCTCTCTTACTCCTTTGCAGTCCATTTTCTTTCTTACACCCTCTCCGTCTCCGCTTCTTCTTTCTATCTCACTCCCTAGACGCATACACCAATCCCTACTACGCACTCATTCATCCCAAGCCCCGGCTTGAACCACGACCACTAAGACGACGGCGAAAACAAACGATACCCACCCACATCACTTGCCCTCCCCATTGCCTCGACCTTCACGATAACCATGTGCCTCTATTGGCGAAAACAGTACACATGCGGCTGCGTCTCGCACATCTTCCGCGACCGCTGCGCCGACAACGTGCGCTCCGGATCCGAAAAGTGCGAAAACACGTCAGACGAGGAGCAGCTTCGGAGCTCATACTTTCAATGCTTCACTTGCCTCGTACTTGAGGATAGAGAGGAGAAGGCTGCGGCTGCGGCTGCGGGGATGCATATCAATGAGTGGAGGAGGAGGAAGGCGCTGCAGGAGCGGGCGAGGAAGAGACAGGAGGAGGAGAGGATGGCTAGGAGGAAGACTGAAGAGGAGAGAAAGGAGATGGAGATGCAGGCGAGGGCGGAGGCGGAGGCAACGGAAAAGCATGTGGGGAATGATGAAACTGTAACGCAGACGGATTCGAAGGCGGGGCTGGAGAAGGCAGGGAATGAGAAGGAAGAGGAGGAAAAGCTGCGGAGGCAGAGAGATATCGAGACGGAGCAAGAAAAGATAAAGAGCGACGAGGGGGTTTGGACAGATGTTGGAGCAGGGAGGAAAGGGAGGAGGTGGAGGGATCTGAAGACGGATGCATCACCTCCTGCGTCATCCGTGGCCGCGTCACCCTCCACAATGATGCCGCTATCGGTCGAAAATCCGTCATCGGCTACTCCACCGTTTTCTTCTGCCACCATGCCACCGTCGAGTACAAAGCCATCGTCTTCTGCCACCATGTCGTCGTCGAATCCAAAACCATACTCGTCTCCCACCATGGCACATTCGAATCCAAAGCCATCGTCTTCTGCCACCATGTCGTCGTCCGCTCCCAAGGGATCATCTTCAGTCACCATGTCGGCGCCCACTCCGAAGGCATCGTCAAGACCATCATCGATTGCTATGCCACCGCGAGTGTCACTTGCGGAGTTGTCTATTGCTATGGCAGAGGAATTCGGCTTGCCGTTGAGGACGCCATCGCCCACAGTGATAATGCCATCATCACCTGCATCCTTCTATCCCGAGAAAGCGCCAGGAGAGTTCTTTGGCCCGCCTGTTAGTGCTACTAATGGTCGTTCTGTGCAGGGCACAGCAGGACCTGCTCAGCATCAACCAAGCATCACTAGTGAGAATAGGCGCGATGGAGTGCCCAAGTGGAAGAAGCGAAGCCTTAACGTGGCCCAACAAACCGAAGGAATTGTTATGCCCGACTTGTCCCTGTTTCCAGGAGAGGATAACGTTGGGCCAACGAACAGCATCAACGAAAATGACAAGGTCAGTGACAAGAGTAATCCCAAGGGCAAGGGCAAGGCCAATGTTAAGTACAGGCTCAGCTCCAGCTCCAACCAAAAAAGGTCACCATTCTCAAGCGAGACAAATCTGAAGGAACAAAAAGTAATGCCTCCAAGGACGCAGGTCGGAGCGGGTGGAACCGTGAGTGAGTCGGCATATCCCCCTCGCAAATATGTCTGTCCAGGCCGGCGTATTCAAGAGTTCAATGGCTAGTGAGAGTATCTGACCTGAAACCAGGAGGGACCGTTCAGCCGAACCTTGATGCGATCAAACGTACATTTCAAGAAAACACACCACCATAGGATATGGTCATTTTACCTCTGGCATGGGGGCCTTTCCAACAGACTATATGCGGTTCAACCTGATGATGAGTCCATCATTATGCGCGTCTCCCTGCCGCTGTTCCTTTGGACAAGCATGCATACGACTCTGGATGCAATTCTCGGAGTGTGGCAAGCTCGTATAGTGGAATCAGGTGGGGTTACTCGTGATAGACTGTAGAATGATAATCACATTGCTTCCAAATCTATCTTACCTTTGTCAGCAAATGTATATGACACCATGTGGATAGCATACTGCCAAACCTCTAGGCATAACATCAACTTAAGAGGTGGGGTCGGAACGGCTCCAATTCCAACCCTGCAAAAACATAAATAATGGCGAGAAAGCAAAATTGCCATGGGAGTTGCATTCCCAGCACGTTTTAGGACACTTCTAGCAGACAGCCAGGGGATGACAAGATACTGTCAGATTGAAGTCAAATCGAGTTACGTTCGGAGTCTATGCAGGTTCTTGAGGTTATTTAGCTCCGGAATGCGCATGTTTCGGCAAGATTACCTGATGACGATTGCTCCGTCGAGCACCATAGCCCTCCTATTCTGAATCCGCGCTATCCAGACCAGAAGGCTATGCTATGGTAGACTCGCTTTCCTCATCCTCGCCAATCATATCCTTCCGGCCATGAAAATGGCATCTACCCACTCTCTCCTCACTGATTATGAAGCTTCGCGGATACCAATCCATCTCCTCAGGTGAGACGCCGTGCAACATCTGCACAAGCGCCTCCGCCGTCTTCAGGCAGAGCACCATCCCATGGCCATTAAACCCCGCTGCAACCCATACATCCTCCATGCCCGGCACGCGTCCTACGAATGGCCGTCCGTCCGCCGTGGCGCCCATGATGCCTGTCCATTCTTGCATGATTCTTTGATCCGCGTCCCCTCGAGACTCGCCCCAGTTGTGGACACCAAAATAGCCTGCCAGAACACCGTTAAGATATCGCGAGATGTCCGGGTTGAGCGAGGCGTCGTCCACAATGCCGTATTCGGAGAGTCCTTGGTTGGATTGACGGCCTAGCCCACCTCCAATGATGATGTGTTGGCCGCCGCCTGAGCTGGAAGGAAGAGGGCGCGGGATCATGTACTCGTAGCCGGTTCTGTAGATGAAGGAGTAGGTGGTTGGTAAGGGTGACGGAAGAAGTGTGTTACGGCCCGGTTTCTGAGCGGTAATTTGCCCTCGTAGCGGGACGATTGTGCCTTGTAGTTGTGGGAGCAAGTAAGGGGTGTAGCCGTTTGTGGCGACTATCACGGTGTGCGCCAGGATCCTGCTGTGGTCTGTTACTACGATGTTGGAAGTAGTAGGCCCAAGAGCGCCGGTGGTTCTATCGATCTTCCGCACCACCGTGTTTGTGCAGATATCCAAACCTTTCTTAACGCACTCCTTCAGTAACCCAGTCGTAAACTTATAGGCATTGATCCGTCCAGCGAGATACTCAAATGCACCGACCAGCTCCTCTTTCTCTTCCACTGCCGGGTTCGTATTCTCCGAAGCAGCGTGGAACCTTGTTGCAGCTTCCTCCGCCGAATAGATCTTATACCACGCCATTCCCCCTTCTTTCCTCTCCTCCTCAGTCGCATCCGCCCTCAACTCCCCAATCGCCGCTTTCCCCACCTCAAAAGTCTCGCTATCATAAACCAAATCAACGGTATTGCACATCTTGCTCTCGCACTCGATCCCCAACTCCGCGGCCATGCGATGAGTAGCCAGGATATTCTGATACTCCATCCTAGCAATACTCAACGCCTCCTCCTTTCCCAACTCGGCTTTATGCTGCAAATACGTCCGATAACTCGCGGCTTTCGTGTGCCCGCCATTCCGACCCGTGGCCCCGCTGCAGGCTTCCCTGGCTTCGAGCAGGATGATGCGAGGAGAGGGTTTGTGGCGTAGGACGTTGTACGCAATGGATGTGCCGGTGATGCCGGAGCCGATGATGCAGTAGTCGTAGGTTGGTGGTTGGGATCTTTCAGGCGCGGGCTCGATTACGTTTGCGAGGGGGGATTTGGGAGTTTGCCAGTATGAGGGGAGGGGGTTGGAGACCGGGGGAGACACGGGGATACGTGCTCGGTCTTCCATGGTTTGGTGGGCGAGTTCAAAGAGGTCAGAAAAGATTATGGTGGACAATCTGAGTAGGAAGCTCGGTTATGGTTACCGTGATACAATCTAGGCGATGCAGCGTTAACGGTCACACGAGGGAAACGGCCTCAAGCCAGATACTTGACGCTTTCTTGAATATGACCACAACTATCTCTTTTCTGTGGGTGTATGCGGCTGGATCCCTGTCCTGATTTACTGCATGGCTGTTGGCTTTCAGATTGTGTACCCCAGCGTAGGTTTAGGTCACCCTGGGGCAGGGACGGAGATCAAGCTGAATGACCACTCCGACTTTGAGAGAAATCGGACGTCAACGCAATCTCTCCTCGCGGCGATGATCGCAGCTTTCATAGGGCATCAATTCGTTTGCTCAGAAATGGAGGATGTCTCCGAGGCGAACAGAAGCTTGGAAAGAGACCAGCCGCAGAGAGCAGTAGCGATATTCTGCGGGGTTATGAGTCAATGTCATAGGGGTATCAGGAGCTCAAGCTATTGAGATCATCACAAGGACGCAGAATGTGAATGTTTAATGAGTACGATCGAGTGAGGTGACCTTGATGCGATGACTAAGGGAGAAAAAGAAAGCTGCCGTGCTCAAACGTACGCAGCAGCAGGAACAGATATCCTCTTGTTCAGGTTGGAGAAATCTGTGAGCTCGACGTAACACGCAAATAGTCGTGGATGTGGCACTATGGAAGTGGAGCTTGATAATAGTGTGCATGCAGTATGTAAGCTTGAGGACCCTAGATTCAAACCGCGGTCTTAGCACATCACAAGTACACGGGAGCGAGCTGCGGACACTGCGATGCACAAAGTACAGAATAGAGTACCGCAAAAAAGAGTTCATTGAAACCTGCTTGGAAAACATTTAAGAAGGCTTCAGCGGACTTCATTTCCTGTTTCCTAGATCCTGTCCTGGGCCGCTTCCTTGACTCCCCTTCCCATATCACCACCGGCCATAAGTGCGACAAATACGTCCCAGCTTTCACCAAACCTCGCGTAGAAACCCGATGTTAGATCCGTCACAAACAGAAACTTGGCCTGTTGTTTCATCTCCATAACCAAACCCTCGATCTCCTTTCGAGGAACGGAGTGCAGAATATAAGAGCTCTTCTCTCTATCGCAAGGATTCGTAGCTAGCCATCTCTGATACTCCTCCGTACGAAATCTTGCATACGACTCCTCTACAACCACAATGGCGTCTGGTCCGGTGTTTGCCACACGAGAATCAACAGACGTGCCTGGATTATGTATGACCTGATTTTCCGAATACCCTAGTCAGCTTGAGAACATCTACACTCACTGCAGAACACTTACCATCCTTGCCTCTCCAAACCCCTGAGACTTCTTTACCCTTTCCGTGATCTTGCTTAAATACTCCCCTACCTCCTCCGACCACAAGTTTGGAGTCTCATCGAAAAATACGCCAGCAAGCCGCACTCCTATCGTGCTTTCCCAGTTCGCATAAGCGTCCACATCGGCGAAAACGTCGTTGATGGATCGTTTGCAATACCCAGTGGCTACATAACCTAGCAGACGCACGTTGGGGTAGGTAACCAAGCGGGTAAGCTCACGGACGTAGTCGGCGTTAGGCCACCATGGGGGTGAGCCAGGACCGCTGTTGGGGTTGATGATTATGGTGAAGGGAAGAGAGGAATGGGCTTCGATTCTGCCGGTTCATGGTTAATGTTTCATACTCAGAATAATGAAAACGTTACCGCACGTTGGGGGTACATCAGGAATAACTTACGCTGCATAGAGCGGGTCCCATTTCCCTTGGTCAGGGAAGATGTACAGTGGGAGAAGGATCTCTGATTGCTGAGAGTGCTGTTCCATTGTACACCACAGAAAGGCACGGATGGAAGCTATATAATGAACCTATTTCCAAAATAATATATTTATTGCTGACTAATCGCACTCTGGCCAGGTGGCCGTATTTCCTTGGACATGAAACAGATTCAGTTAGCGATTTAGCATCCATGAATGGACAATAGCCTCAAAATTAAAATCGTGGAGATGCTATATTACCAAACCATGTTTAGAAATCGTTCAAATGAACCCCCCCCCCAAAACCCTCATAGACATCCTCCTCCAAATCAGTAGTATAGATAAATCGCAAGTCCTTCTTGAGGTCGTTGATGAGCCTCCTCAATTTCACGTTACTGATATACTTTGGAAGCGAGTGTATCAAAACACCGTAGTTATCTCTGCTTCCAGGTAGATCAACTAGTTGCTCCTTCATAGCGTCTCGATCCGGCACGCGTTCATATCGACCTTCAAAAACGATCGTCACATCGACATACGAGCTGATCATCTCGGGAGCAGGCACCTGTCCAGGGTTCTGAATAACAACTCTTGGTGCTGAAAACCCATCAGAGTGCTTGACCGTCGCAGTGATGTTGTTCATGTACTGAATATGTTCGGATGGATTGTGGAGCGGTGTTTTATCAAAGAATACTCCATCGATGCCGAGTCCGCATTTCTTGGACCACCTTGCATAGGTTTGGATCTCTTCTGTGATGGAGACGTTCGGTCGGTGGCCGGCTCAGTGTTGATATATCCGACGATCTTGACATTCGGAAACGCGTTTAGACGTGTTATGGCCTCGATGTACAGGGTACTTGGCAGTGGAGGTGCGCCCGACCCACAAGAGGGGTTTACTATCAAGGTAAAGGCCTTGTCAGGGTGACGGACGACACTGATGGAACAGTCAGCTTCGATCAATCCTGGCGCGCAAGGTTCGCTTACGAAGTGAACAATGTCTCCCATGCTCCAGGGTCTGGATGGAAATATAATGGAACAATTATGTTGATTGGTAACTGCCGAACGTATTTCGGTGGAAGAATAGCAGCGAGGGGAACGCCAATTGCGAGTATCAACAGAAGAGTTACCGTCACGGCTTGTGAGATTACTCTGTCCCACTCAGGCTCGGGCTTCCGACGACCAGACGGTAAGGCACATGGGTGCTGAACCAGTTTGGGGGCAACTGAGATATACGTTAATGAGTGCATCGTGAATCTCTCATGGATGGTTACTGTTGGGCTCCGAACCGGTTGTTCTTGGGTTATCGCCATTGCATTCCTCGCTTCCCAGGGTTCCGTAGCAACATCGCCGACAGCCTACCCGAACAGGAAAGTAGTACAAATATACATTCCGGAGGGTAAGTTTTGGGGGTAGATTGATATCCTTGCGGAGTCACTCGTCGTGGAAGTACCGGTAAGCGTTTCAAACTGTGATATCTGCCTAGTGCAATCGAGATCCACGTTGGCTACTATTAATGATGTCACACAACTATGAGAGCTTATATCCTGCGAGCTTCCACGTTTGACTGAGCAGCTAGGGGTCGCAGATGTATGAGAAGCGTCGGGTAGCCTAGATGGAAGTGGAGCAGGGTGTCGAAACTCTGGACCTGAACGCTGAGGGCAAGGGTAAAAGAGAGATAACATCAAGTGATGTGGGGAACGCAGACTCCATGGAATTTAATTGAAACCAGTTACCTATAGGATTCTCCACATATGGAAGCTGTTGAGGCGCAGCGTCTCCCCTGAGCATATCAACGCTTGAGGAAAATCTCGAAGCAAGACGGTGCAAAACAAATGGTGAGGCCACCTTACATTTAAGAACTCTCAAGTAGTCTTTTGCTGTGAGTAGAGATGAACTGCAGAAGTGCCGTGCAAGCTACAGAGTACTGTGTGGTAAAGATCCCCATATCCTGAAGAACCAAGCAGTAGCGCAAGAAGCATGCTAGTTCCATAGCACATGACAGCATTCACGGATCCATAAACCGTGTAGGCCCTTCAAGTCGGATACTTCTTTCACAACCCAGCAGACACCGCGATTGCCTCATCCCAAGAGGCCCAAACTCACGCCTCCGAGCACCGATATCACACTGCCATACCCCCAGTGGTTCCACTCTCCCTGCCCAACAGTCGCATTAACCACCCATCCATCAATACCCGCGCTCGCACCCGCCGCAAGCAAGATTACGCCGAGGCTCTTCCTTGTACCAAGCCATGCCGCCGCGAAGATCGCCGTGCCCATAAACAAGTCCTTGGCACCGTATAGAACGCAGAAGCTGTCGAGGATCTTTTGTTCTGCTGGAGCAGTGGGATAGGGGAATCCGAATGAGGAGACAAAGGCTTGTTGGGGGTTGAAGATATAGTTGAATCCGAAGGCGGCAAAAATGGTGCCGAAAAGGCTTGCAGCGATGGGGATGGCGCGGTGCTGGGAGAGAGGCATTTTGGGGGTTTATGTTTTTCAGGTCTTGTCCCCACAAACGGTGACTGACTGCAGAATGGGAAGCTTTTGGAACGTGGAATCCGAGTTGCAGAGGAATTCAGATTGACATCTGGGGACATAGCATGACTGTCTCCTCTTTTGTATTCACGCCAAGACGTAAGCAGAGCGGAGTTAAGACGCGTTGGCGCGTTAGCACAGGATTTCGTGTCAGTCCCATTTTCGCGTGATTACCAAGTCCGGCGACGCGTTCAGCTGAGGTTTGAAGTCAGCCTGGTTAATGCCATTCTTTGGCGCAAAGCGTTCTCTGTTTGGAACGGGGGAAATGCCTTTCTAGACTCTCTAATATGAGAAGCGTTCGCCATGTGGAACATTTAGACGCCGCGTTGGTTCTTTTCGCATGCACGCATTGACAGAGCAATGTTGCTATCAGTGGAGAACCAAATTTTACCTTCTCGTTAATACGTAAAGGGTTAAAAGTATACTATTCTTAACCTGCTGCATTGTACGTAGCTCTAATATTGTAGTTGCTTGAAGCGTCCTGGCTGCCCGGTCCTATTCTGAATGGCGAATTTGGCCATAGTAATTGCGCGAACGAAGCACCTTCTCAACGTTGGTGTTTGCATGCTTTATTGCTTACATTCAATATGACAGAGGATCTACAACTCAACCTCATTCACCATGGCTTCCCCTCTGAGACCCGCCAACAAGTTCCTCGCCGACTCCGTCGCCATGTCCACTCTTGTGTCAATCGTCGCGGACCCAATATGTGGCAGCAAAACGCATCGAGGCTGCTTCAATATTGGATGATCGGCCGGAATGTTCGGCTCGTTCTCGATCACATCCAACCCTGCTCCAAAGATTTCCTCCTTCTCGAGTGCCTCCACTAAGGCATTGGTATCAACAACCGGCCCGCGTGCGATATTAACGAGAACCGCAAGCTTCTTCATTTTTGCGAAGAAGTCCGCATTGACTAGATGCTTGGTGCTTGGAGACAGCGAGCAGCCTACGATAACGACGTCGCTCTCGCTAGCCAGTTCCTCCCAGCTCTTTGCCGGTTCGGTTGGGACCGAGGGTTCTTTCAGTAGACCGTAGTGATCGTCCTTCGCAGGTTGGCCGGCTCTGGATGTCAAGTAGAGCGCACGGCTGATACCAAAGGGTATGAGACGCTTCAACGTTGCCTGGGCTATTCTCCCAAACCCCAGGAATCCGACAGTTGCTCCGCGTATTTGCGGTCCCACCATGAGCAGTGGATGCCATGGCATTGAACTCCACTCTCCCATCGCCACCTTCCCCATCGCTTCTCCACCTCTTCTTTGCGCCATCAAGATAAGCATGACCGACAGATCCGCAACAGCATCAGTCAGACATGTCGGTGTGTATCCGAGGCGGATGTTGCGCTTCTTCAGAGCCTCGCGATCCACATGGTCGGTCCCAACCGAGAAAGATGCAACAACTTTCAGTTGTTCCCCCGCTGCTTGCAATAGCTCATCGTCGCACTTGTCTGATAGCATAAGCAGGATGCCAGATGCCCCTTTCACATTCTCCAGCAACCAAGATCGATCGCATGGCTACTCAACATCAGTACCTGAGGGTGTATGTCCTTCAGGAGATGCCATACTTGATCGCTCTTCCATTGGACAATCTCCAATGAGTTATCAGCTTCTAGTAGTTGTTGTGCTTCATCGATCAGATTGCGTGTTACTACGACTTTCGAGGTCGTGTGGGGCATTGTGAAGGTGGAGACGGCTCCGAAGTCGGGGAGAGACGGGAGGACGAGTTTAAATTTGCGCAAAGCAATAGGCACATGCGGACAAGAGCATCAACTGTGTATGAAATCTTCAGAATATCGGTGGAAATCGATTCGATGTCTGCACTGTACCGTTGTATTTGAAGGGGTGTCGTCCAAATTGATGGAGGGCCCCACTCGCGCTACCATAATATTGGCCCGAGGTATTCGCCAATAAGCGTTATAAGCTTTCAGGGAACAACGCAAGTACAACTCTCCATGTGCATCGACCGCTAAGCCATCTTTGTATCCAGTATGCGAGCCATGCAATCTCCAGCATTACCAGAGCAGTCTGCTCTAGCATGAGAACAGGGGACGGGGAGCTCCCTCACTCCCCGAGGGTCCTTACATCTTCAGCGTCCCTGTTTTGACCTGCTCCCCCACCCACATCGCCGGAAACACATTCGAAAACTTCTCCACATCCGCCTTTGCCTCCTCGCTTCCATTCTGCAGCGCCAGCTTGAAGTTCTCCAGCGTATCGAAATAGCACGTCGTCTGCACCAGGTATGGCGGCGTTTGACCGGACAACGGACATGGATTCTGGAACTCGTTGACGTGCCACGATTGAAGTCCGTAGGGAGCCCAGGCCTTCTCGATCATTGGCAAATGGGTCGTAATGTAATAAGACATATCGAACTTGAGCGGCTCCCCTGTTTCGGGGTGGTTGGAGGGGTAGCTGACTACGACAGTGACGGATGGCATGCGGGTGATTGGCACTGAGGTAGTCGGGAAATCGGCAGAGGTGCAAGAGGAATTGGCTGCGTTGGGCGAGGGGTGAACCCTATCCTGTTTCTTGATGGTTCTTGTTATCACCTCTCGATTAAACGAAATGGTCTAGGCTCAGAGATGTAGGGATCACCAATGACGCAAGATGCGGAGTTGTACGACCTCGGTTGCGGGCACTCCTTCTCTACCTGCAGATGCTCCAGAATCCAGGGCTACATTGGATGGACCCTTGGGTAGCACTCCCGTTTCAGCCGAAGCCGCAGAGGCTGAGGCCGTTGACGCTCCTCTTGAGGATCTGGCCGCCGACCCTGCTACTCCCGCCGGCGCATTTGCTGAGCCATTGGGGCCAGCTTCGTCATGTATCGAGGATGCAACCCCTCGGTCCACATTGGATAGACCCTGAAGCCGAAGCCCAGTCAAGGGATCGGCCAGCACATGTGTCGAAGAACTTCCGTGCGTGACATGCCGATATCCGGGTAAGCCGTCTGGTTTATCAGCACGAATTCATGCAAAGCGCCCAGAGTGACGTGACAGTGGATTCGTGAAAAGCGAAAAAAAGGATCAATATTATCTTTGATCTTTGGAATTTTGAAGCTGATCTATGAATCCCCCTTTCGTGCCCTTTCTTCAGATTGTTTGCATTACTCCTCCACTATGAAGATTGTTGATACCTACCGGACCGAAGATATTCTTCCGGGCGCAAACCATATATGGCCACATGGGAAACGAGACAATCAGGGATCCTCGAAAACATTGCGTTCAAATGCATCTTGACTGAATTGTACCAGGTCAAGGGCCGCCTCAGGGTCGCGTTCTTTCAGTGCCGTGAATGTCCGGTTCAGCATAAATTTGCAGGCCTCATACCGCTCCCTTATCTCCTGTGGCGTAACATCGTCAGTATCAAGCGCAAATATTCAAAGGAGGGCATTGTACTAACAATTTCGGACAGATCGTCATCGCTATCACCCTCATCGTCATTCAGCGAGTTTCCTTCGTCCTCTTCTTGATGCCCATCCTCAACTTCCGCTTCACTGGTCCCTTCTTCGGAGAGAAGACGAGTTATCTCTCTGTCCAAATCCATGTCGTCGTCGTCGTCGTCGTCGTCCGTGCTGTGTCTATCTTCTTCCACAGCAGAATTTGCCGCTTCTTCTGCGAGCTTGAAGTTCACCCGTTCGGCTTGGGTAGGTCTCATAGGGATCCGGCTAATGGCCTCATAAGCCTCCCTAAGGGCATTCAGGGACATGAGGTCCATCTCGACGAATCTGGAGGAGATGCCCTCTTCCATGAAGACATATGCCGCTAGGCTAAGGGAAGACGACAACCATAAACTCCTGCTTAACCTGCGTCGCAAATCAACAAACGGAAAGAATAGCTTCATCTTGTGTAATTCCTTTCGGGAGAGATTCCATCTTCCATGAGTAGAGCCATCGACAAGCTCGATATTATTAGAGGACGTGATTGAAATCCAGGTTGTAGTGAGGGATTTGCCTTCCACAGACTCCCCAAACCGAATTGATTGCCCATGATATAGTGGACCAAGGTCGACTTCTTTGGCTAGTTCGAGCGAATAAGAAGCGAGAATCTCGTACGCCCTTGCAGACGCTTTCTTGATGTGTTTGGCGACTTGCGCAATGGAGTGAGACTTGATTTCGTTAGACATAGTGCTTCGGGTGATGGTGTTCGGTGGAGTGATACTGTAAAGCCCATGGGCAGTGTACGAGTTTTAAGTTTAAACCCATGAGCGTAGGATAGCCCTTTCACTCACATTAGTTAACGGGAGATAAGAGGAAAACGATTACGCTTCACCGTTCACCGGGCAGCTAAGTGGGCCGATGAAGTGAACGGCCACCGCTGTCTCACTGTTACGGACCAGATGCGACTACGGTTGCCTAACTGGAAAAAGCGCCTCGAGATTTGCTCTGGGTTATCATGCATTCCGCTTTTGATCATGAACTATTGAATAATGTACTATATAAATTATAATTATAGAAGTTCTATCACCAACCAGAACATTATCCCGCCCATGGCGTCGTCGTCTAGCCAGCGACTCCACATCACACCATGAGGTGATGGTGTTCGAATCCCGCCTGTCCCAAAAAGTAAAAATTCTGATCTGGTGATGTGTTCCTTTGAGCCCGCCTTAAGGATCAGAGTTTCTCTTCTCGACCGCGAGTTTCTTTTTTATTTTTTTTGTGCCCACAATTGTCACTGTATGCTTTGTATTGACTTATGCTTACTTAAATTCCTCTTCGTGCGACGGGGTGGGAGTATTACGTCCGTCAGTGCTAGGATATGGTGTGTGATCACGTGATACAGAAACACATAGGAAGAATGAGAAAGATAGAAAAAGCCCGTGTAATACGCCGACTGTTGCTATCTTACGCCGGATAGCATCAGACATGGTTACTGAAAACATAACTTCATCAAAGAGTCAGTGCATCATCTCTTTGTTTCGGGCAGAAATCTTGGCGGGCCACAAAAGAGAAAGCTTGAGCAGGCGATGGCATTGTTAATCTTCGACTGCTTTCAAGGCCATTGAGTCGATAACTGGCAGAACAAATAGTCTATCCTCAGTCTGTGGCATTCCGTAGATGAGGGAACACCAAAAGGTTTCCATAGTAACGAACAACAACGCTAACCGAGAATCTTACCATCCATAGATCCCCATCACCACAACCTGGACTACTAGTCCCACGACCATTGCCCCCAACACCATGAAGCAATAATGCCAAGAACTAAAAAGAGGGCTTCCCGCTCCAGCACCAGCACCAGCGCCAGCTCCAAAACCCATCGCCACGCCCCCTTGAAGCGCCCAACGTCCAATACCCAAAAACGCCTCTGGCAATTAACACAGCGCTACCGACACGTGGGGCGCCCGCTCTCGCAAAGGAGTTGGGTCGGTTGCGACTGCGCGGGTGCTTGCGAACCCGCTACCTGCAGCTGTTTGCGCGATCAAGCGCCTTGCCGCCAATCGTGTGTTTGTGGGCCGACATGCGCACATCAATTTCCAGTGTGCGAATGTACGGATGGATGTGCGGTAGGAGGGGAGAGGAAGAAGTGTCCGTGCTACCAGATGCACTATCAGTACCGTGAGGGATGTGGCTGTTTCTCCACCGAGGGGAGGATATGTGACGACGAGAACGAGTTGCCCAAGACGGAGGTCAAGGAGTCGGAGATTCCGAGCGCGGGGTTAGGGCTTTTTGCGAAGGAGGATATTGAGAAAGGGAGGTTGATTGGGGTGATGGCGGGGGAGATTGAACCAAATCCTGAGGACCCGGATTTCGACTGCTTTGAGATTGCTGACGGTGCGTATGTGATTTAAAGGCTGGGTTCACGCTGGGTAAATGCTGATGGAGTGGTATAGGGATATCGTTGCGGTGCTCTAAGGAAGGGGTGTACTATGCCCACGAGAGGCATCATAAGGATGCCAATGCGGAGTATCGGTATATGGAAGGAAAGAGGAAGAGAGAAATGGTGTTGAGAGCGATGAGATATATTGGAGAAAACGACGAGATAACGGCCCAGTACCGCGAAAACGGAAAGTAAGTCCAGCAGTGATATCGGTCTTGCACATTAGAGAGGCAATAGCTGACGTTATCACTCCAGAGATCCTTGCTTTGACATATACCCAGTGAAGGGCGCCTATGCGATGATCTTAGGCGACACTGATGGTGCAAAGGAGCCTTGGGTGGGGAAGATCCTCTCTGTTGATGAGAAACAGGGACTTACCGTACAGTGGCTTCTCCGGAAGGAAGGTCTCCACTGGATACCCAGCCCTATCAGGGAGAAGATCGAATTGAAACCCGGAGAGCTCATCATGACCAAGGGATGGGTCGATACAGTCGACTGGGAATCGTTCATTCGGGTCGTGTGGGTGAACGAAGAGGAGCCGGACGGCGTGCTGAATAAGAATACATGGTGGTGGACAAGACGATACGACGCTGTCAAGCAGAAAATGTTGGATTGATATAAATGGATTGGGATTGGAAGAGGAGTACAGTGGATAATACCCCTTTTTTGGTTTGGAGCACTACTGCCTCTGTTTACATCCGATTGAACACACCCCTGCACTTCCTCTGTACTGCTCTTTTCTACATCTACGTCAACCCCTTGCAGGTAACAAGAAGCAACATCCTTCACCAGTGCTCCGCCTCACCGTCAATGCTCTACTTTACATTACGCATGCAAGTCTGCTACCCCAGAAAGGCGGCGTATCTACAGGTCTACATTATCGCAACATTCAATATGGCATACGCAGAACCTTTCGCCGTCGGAAAAGAGGGGACATGATGACAGTCTACCGTTTGGACCATCCAAACCGTCGAGAAGACCATGTGCGAAATCATCAGACTACCTCAGGAGAAGCAAAGATAACGAGGCTATCGAAGCAGCAAGATGGTGGTGACGTATCCGGAGGGAACACTATGGCGTCCAACTTGGATCATGGGCGGTTATAAGGTTCGTGGATATAAGATTGGCCGTGACAGGATGTCGCTATACGTGTGGGGAAAGAGGAGGAACTAGGTCAGAAAATTGCCATAAACCCGTGTGTGTTAGTGCTTTGGTGCGTTTCTGGTCCTCAACATGCTGCATCTCCGAAGGTGATCACTGAAAGGGGACTCTTCACTTATACTGAAAGCATTGGGAAAGTCCGTGTACGAGAACACGCCAGCTTTAAAACAGACAGCAGGTGTCATTCGTTCCAGGTCATCAAAGTCTTCAACGTGGGTCGACCTGGTTGAATCGGCGTCTTCCCTCCCCTGACTGGACGTCGCTTCGGGGAAACAAGCGGAGGTGGCAGATGGAAATCATCTGGAACAGACATGAGAGTTGTAGACGCGTTGACATCGTCTAGTGATCGGAGAGTCCGTTCCGGATCGGCATGAGGGACAGTTTTGGACGTCGCCGTGTGATTGTTCAGTTGGACATCTTGGAGATGGCTGCTTAGCGAGGTATCCATCCCTTTGTCACTAGCAGAGTTTGAACCTTATGGACTCGTCTGTGTGGCTATTGTCTTTTCGTGCGCTTTTGGTGCACTGTGTCTCACGGCCAACCTCTTCGGAGGAGACCCCGAAACCGTGCTGGAGGTTTGGCGGTGTCGCTTTTGGGGGGATCTGCTGGGTTCTCTAGCGTTCCCTGCCATCGCCCTTAGATGAAATGACCGTCGGGCCTTCTGAGGCTTGGGTCGGCTCTGAGGGAGTTCGGATATCAGTGATATCCAGTGTTGGGATGAAAAGAAGCGCCACTCGGGCCCAAATATCCTGTTGATTGTTTCCTGGTCCTCAAGGGTGCCGTCAATGCTTTGTATTTCCGGCGGATCAGATACGACAGGGTAGGGTGCGGCGTGTAGAACGCAGATGGAGGGATCACAGCCGTGGTACTCGATGTGAAGGTCCTCGAGCCACGCGCAGCAGTTGCGGTTGTGAGGTTGTGGTTGTGTTTCGCTCATACTTGCAAAACCAGGCGATGTGCGGGTTAAAGTGTAATTGAAGGTCGGAAACCGGTCGGCTGCTGCTGTGTGAAAGTATGGCAGCGTGAGTCTGAAGTTGAGGTCATTAAAAAGGGAGTCCGGGCCGACACTTTCCCCGCGCGGGCCTGCTGCGTCCTTTCACTACACCGCCACTCAAGATACAAAAAGCCCTTACCGGTACCCGCTCAACTTCCTCTCCTCCTACTCTCTTCAACAATCAACTCCAACAACCTTATCAACCCAAATCCGAGTACGCACAACCCTCAATCCATCAACATGAAACTGCTCAAGTTCATCATCGGTCTCGTCGCCTTGGCCGACACAAGCCTCGCTGCTCCAACCAACGTCACCGTCACCGAGGTCGATCTTGCTGCTCGCGGACCCAACGACCACCATGTGAGTGACTTCCTCAATCTTGGACTTTCCAACGAGCTAAACATTCATAGGTCATTGCTTGCGACGTGGGCCATCGGGAGCCATGCGAGTATTTGCCAGTGTATGCGGGACAAGGCAATTGCTGGAGGATCACATCCGGGAACCAAGGTGGACGGTAAGTTGGGACTTCTTTCACTTATTCCGGCCCTGGATTCGTGGAGGCTAATGATTTCATGTCAGCGTCGCTCGCCATGCCAAGTCATTCATCTTGCCCTCGTCCAACCCTTCGGCCTGGCACTGCTGGTTCTTTGCCCAAGACAATTGCAGGGGCAGTGATTCCTGCTACGTGCGCAGGACCCTGCCAGACTCTGGTTGTCGCTATGAGTATCAGTCCTACCAGTGCATCGATGACATGTGAAGAGCGATTCGATGGGGCGGATCTTGGATGGTACAAGACAAGGATATCAGGGGACTAAATGGAGGAATCGGTATGGAAAAGACTCCGGGTAGAGGACGGCTCTATGACAAGACTGGGCTGGGATGGGATCGCGAAGGAATGAAGGAAGACAAATGACACATCTACTTGCCTGTGCCTGTGTGACCTTGACTTTAAGCCGTGAGAGTCCCTATTCGGTGCTGCTAGCCCGGTAGGAAAACAGTGGGATGGATCCGTAACGGAGGAAAGTTTTGTCTGCTCCTTTGGCTAACTCTTCTGTGAGTCGGGATTCAGAGTGCGTCCAAGGCGAGTACAGTAGCGGTCAAACAATATACATATAATATCTCTTCCAAGCCGCACACGGACTGCAGTTCTGAGTTCTGCTGCTCAATCGGAATGTGAACGATGAAGTGATGTTGATGCCAAGACAAACTGCGCTAACCCAAATTCTCCTAGGCAATTGATTAGTAATCTTTCTCTCTCCGTCCTTGGAGAGAACATCGCAGGGCTATCTACTACAGCTGTATTTAGACTGGCGTTGCTGCGCTCGCCGGAAGTCAATAAGCCTTGGGCTGTTTCTGGATACAATTCCGCGGTTGCTCTCGTCGGCTTCATTGTGCTCTGCCTCTCACGCTTTCCTCCGGAGACAAGCAGAAGATTGGAGGGGTAGAATAATGCGATCGGCCGACTACGATGGAATTATCAATGCCGGGCTTCGCGGACATCGGAGAGCATCTTGTCATTGCCGCCTCTCCATAGCGGGGATAATCCAGGAATACCGTCACGTCATTTTCACGCCCTATTACACTGGACATGATGTTGTACTGCTTCTTTTCACATCTGACTAAACACCCCCATGCACTTCCTCTGTACTGCTGATTTCTAGGTCTAATCAAACAGCTGGCCGGCACAGCAATAAAGCAGGTCTTGCAATTAGGTCTCTTGCACGCCTCTATCTGCGCATAGTAAGTTTTCAAGGAAATTCTACCTGTCGCATTTGTAGGGTGTAGCTAATTGACTTGCGCTGGGTAGGTAATTCCACCTACAAAGGAAGTGCAGCTGGGTGTTCTACGACCGCATTTCCCCCGCCTACCAAAGATTCTTCGAAGGCCTTACGGCAACCTTCACGGGCGAGTGCTTCCTCCGCGCCGCAGCCGCTCTAACCCGAGTGTGTCAAGATTTACGAAGCGCAGCGCGGGAATCCAAATAATGTGGGGAGGGGACTTAGGAGAATGCATTCTTCACGGTGCAAAGAAGGACGGAGTTAGAAAGATGATTGATTAATCATGCAATATAAGAATCTACTGCTGTTGTTGCTGCTGCTGGCCCCCCTCCTTCTCCTCCTTCTCCTCCTTCTCCTCCTTCTTCTCCTTCTCCTCCTTCTCCTCCTTCTTCTCCTTCTCCTCCTTCTTCTCCTTCTCCTCCTTCTTCTCCTTCTCCTTCTCCTCCTCCTTCTGTTGCTGCTGCTGCTGCTGCTGCTGCCGCTGGCGGGGGCGAAGGGCGAGGTTGGTGGTGGTGGTGGAGGTGGCGGGAGCGTTGGCGACGGCGGCGGGCGGGCCCCTTCTTAACGCCAGCATCGTAGACAACACACAGTGAAGGACAAGCAAGGTGTTAGGCATAGAAACGATGCAGGTTGAGAACCTACCGATAGGGGTGGTGGCGGAATTGCGCATTTCCGCGCTGTCGACGCTGCTGTGGCATTAGTCAAGGCTCAGTTTCTGGGCGTTGAACTGTTACATTTGGGCCGCCCTGCCCGCCGCCGCCCCCCTGGGTTGTCGTGAAGGTGCAATTGTGGAAGCGATAATTAATGTCCTACATAACGTTAGCACAATTTCAGACAGCCACGGACGACAAAGCTTGGGACGGCGGGCAAGGAGGGCAAAGCTTGACGTACATGGCCGCCCCGCCCGCCCCGGCCCCCCCGGCCACCTCCACGGCCTTGCACGAACGTGATAGAGCAGTTGTGGAAGTTGAGATTCATTTTCTACATAACGTTAGCACTAACCTACAGCCGACAGGCGGGATAGGCAAGGGATGGAGTTGGATGGGGAAGGGATAGGAAAGGGATAGGAGGACAAAGCTTGGGACGACGGGCAAGGAGGGCAAAGCTTGGACAGGTTAGCGGGGCGGAGACTTACGATGCTTCTTTTCTGCTTGATGGTGGTTGGGACTGCTTCAGTCTGCTTGCTGGTGATGGAGACCGCTTCAGTCAGCGTGATGGTGGTTGAGCCAGGGTATATTCCGGACTTTCCAATCCCAGTGGCTCCTCTCTTCTGAGGCTTCGGCGTGGTCGAGTGGAACTTGGAAGGGGACTTCGGGGGACCTGGGCTGGTTAAATACTCACATTTTTAGCGCCTGTTGCCCCTCTCTACGGATTGTAACTGCTCCAGAGGGCAGCCTGACAGGAGCGAGGGCTGGTGGGTTGCAGCAGGCAGGAGCTGCTGGGCTGCTGGAATCTAATCGGCAGGGGCTACTAACTAGACTCCCATGAGAGATGCACATGGGTGGTGGATGAACGCTGGAACGGGGCGGCAGTAGTGGGCACTGTTCCTTTGGTAGGGTTGAGACTGTTACAGCATGGGGTTTCTAATGAATATTGCGCATCTCCTGCCCACCACTGTAGATGTACAGCGGCTGTGCCCGTCCAACTGAACATCTCCTCGCAGTTCTTCTGTAGGTGAGGTTAGCTTCCTAGCACAAGCCTATCAGCTACATTCAATTAATGCAAGAAGTAGAACTTTGCTTTAGAAACTTAATACATGTAGATAAAGGCGCTTCAAAGCTCATTGCAAGATCCATAGAATTGCTGCACTTGTGCGAGGACTTGAGAAGTAACGGCTGACGCTGCATTTAGATTGGTATCGCTAGTAATATGAAACTCGCATAACACTTTTCAATGTTCTGACGGTCTCAAAATTCTGTGCAGTACTCCCTTTCCTGGGTTGTCCGTAGTGGGTGGTAGTCATCGTAGAAGTCATCTTCGTCGTCATCGCCAGAAAGGTCGCCGACATATATCCCAAATCAAAATCGCCAACTATAAGACGAGTACATGGCTCAGAGACATTAGCACCTCGTTCTTAGAGCAACAAGTTCGGTGTGAAAAAGTTATGCTCACGTGCAAGCGAGTCCGCCCTGGGAGGCTATAGCTACTCCCCTCCCACCAATGCGAGAAACTTCACCGCCTCACATCTCCCTACCCACAACCTTTTTGACCATTCTTTAAACCACGTTGTCTACAACAAGAGGTATACACCTGGACTCGCTTTACCATAACTACACAAATCCACCTGCAATCGCCGCCCCCTCCGCGGAAGGCGCACCATGAACGAAGTCCCCGACGAGACAGAGCGTGTGCTGCAAGATGGTGAGAACATTCACTCACTGGGCGTCGCGCAACCGGGACCGACGATAGGCTCCATGGAATTCTTCTCAGAAAGCGACTCGCACAATGGATCGTCACGGTCGGAGATATTTTACGAGGCGGCAGAAAAGATCGATACGTCGCAACTCACTGATCGCTCTGATGAAGAGGGTGATCGGCAAAACACCACCAGCACTCCCTTGGCAACTGCTACCTACGTACGCTCATTTGTCACACCAATCTCAGTCTACGATTTCGCCCTTCTGCCGGGGAATACCGTGAAGGCGACGGAAACAATCCATAGAACTGCACGATTCGGTTTTAGCACGCGAGAAACCGTGGTCGCGGCTGGGTCCTTAAGACGTGAAGAGCACGCGTGTGTTCAAAGCAGTGAGTATCTCCGCAATCATGCATATATCTGTAAACTATTGACCGTTGCTGATTGCGATCTCAGTCAAGCCGTCAGTCGACGATGCCAAACCTACAGAGTCGAACAAGGCAATGAACGCGCCTACGGTAGTCCAGTCCGTGGAAGAAGACACGGGAACAAACACTGGCCTGACAACCCAGAATGGAGCAGAAAAGAATAAGAATAATGTAGCATCTTCGTCCCACTCTCGGAGGTACCGCACGGCCGACGCATCACTGATTGACTACCTCACACCTGCTACACCACCGCCGACACGGCTCCGGTCGGGGAGGGAAATCGCGTCAGAGCCGCCAGTTCCCGCGAATGCGCAGCCCGTTCACGCGCGACAGCCGCAAGTCAAGGCACTAGCAGGCTTGCGCCGTACGGCAGATAACTCGTTGATTGATTACCTCACACCTGCCATACCACCAACAACGCGTCTTCGGTCGGGGAAAACACCCACAGTGGAAACACCAAATACAGCTGCATTCTGGTCGGTGCTAACAAAAAAGCGGACCGTCAAGATGACGGAAAGTTCGCATGTTCGCAGTGACCGGCGCCACTCCCTTCCAGTAAGTTTACTTTTACTTGAACCTCGCAGTAACATGATGGTGCTTCATTCTTACCACGCGCAGCATTCCCAAGTCGTAGGCGAACCCCAAGGCCTAGTGACGTTCGAAGATCAACAGCCGGGGGATGATTTGGGGCACTCTCAATATGCAGAGGGCGAAAAGCGAACGTCCGCTGCTATCTTGAACCCGGGAAGCCCACGCCGTGAAGATGAGAGACATCTCTCGCTTCAGCCCGAACCCGAGATCCACAAACAATCAACAAACCTGGAAAAACCGTCAAAAGCCCTAGTCGTCAAATTCAAGCTCCCCTCATCCAGCGTTCCTAATCCTCCCCCTCACCCCGATACCACGCTCTCACCCAATCCAAAGCCCTCCCTCATCGTCAAACTCAAACTAGATCCCGACCTCCTGACCGGTCTTGCCCTCCAAGAAGAACGCCGGAAGCGCCTGAAACGGGGCTCAGAGTTGCAATCGGTTCCAGAGTCTTCCTTTATTGATGATCAAAACACACGGAAGCGCAAACACAGCAGCCCGGATAATGCGAGGTCGGGAGCAAAGGCGGGAGCAAACAAAGTGATTGCTGGCCGTGCGGCAGCGCGGCCAAAGGAGATAAAGCGCCGGCGACAGGGCTCTGCTGCTGAGGGATTGCGTCCGTGTTTGCACGGTGGTCGTGAGGCCAAGGTTCGCAATATTCCGGACGAAGGTGACGAGACGGAATCCCAAAGCGAGTTTTCCGGTGAAGACATGCATCCCGCGACGGGCGACGATTCGTTCCTCGACGAGACCGCATTTGTCGATCTAACTAGTCGCCGCTCATCGCCTACCAAAATACACACAAGTAAGACGTCACGACCGTTCCGTATCCCTCTACCTCGCTTCCCAGTCCTACCCAAGCAGCAACATAATGCGCTCGCACACTTCACTCAGGGCGTGTGCAATGCGCTGGAAAATATCATAGAGGACTACCATCATGCGGTCGCTGCTGAGGAGGAAGACGGTGAAGATGATGACGAGGGAGGAACACCTGATATTAATATCCTGGACATTGTCGACAACTTGGAGGACTCCGTGCCCGAATTCGAGACGCCGCGGAATTACTACGACTATAGGCTTGTGGTGGTGAAGGGATGTGAGTGGGTGTATGCGGCCGTGAGGAAAGTGCTTAGGGAAGTGCAAATGGACGTGGAAGAGTCGGAGGATGGGCGCAGCGAGACGGGTGTACTGTGTAACGAGGGACCGAGCGTGGAGGAAGTGTGTGCGATTGTTGAAGAGGGATTTTGGCGGGCGAGGGCTAGGGTGGAAAGGAGGATGGGATTGGGGAAGAAAGAGGTGGAAGAGAAGATGCGAGATTTGAGGCGGGAATGGAGAAAGCCGGGAATGGCGCCGAGTGAGAGTGGGAGAAATGCGAGGGCCGTGGTGAGTGAGAAGCAATCCGAGAGGGACATTGAGGCCGAGTTCCGTGCGCTGATGGGGATGCAGAGCGCTAGGAGCGAGACCATCTTGGAAAAAGGGAGGACGGAAACGATGACGGCCGGGGAGAAGTTGAGAGAGAGGTTGGACAAGGTGAAGAGGATTGAGGCGCTGAGGGCGAGTATGAGGGAGTCTAGTTTGATTGATAAGTTGAGTGCGAGAATGAGGAGGAAGATGGAGGAGGAGACGGAGGTGGAGGAAAATTGCGATGAGGTGGATGGCGACGAGGACCAGTCAGAGAACGAGGAGGAGCAGTGTGAGGAGTGCGGGGAAGATGAGGAGGAGCCAGAGGAAGGAGAGCAGGACGTCATCGTGCTGAAGTGACATGGAGGCTCCAACAACAAGCAGCAGCACAAGTCTTAGACCTTGGCTTGGCAATGGAAGTGTCTGCTTCAGGCTATCAAAGGGAGCACAAACAGGAGGGGTGCGTTCATCGGAAAGGAAAACAAGAATGGCAGAAGGAGAGGTAAGTCTGCGGCCCCAGTAATCCATCGTATTGGAGGACCGCCGGTGCGATGCGGTGTTGGATGTCATCTAGTCACGTCCGTAAAAGAAATCTGGAAGCCTTTGCGGCACTGGACTTTTGGGGCCCTGCCCCGTAGGTATCACTTCACGGGATACTCTTATGTTCGGGGTCGAATGGGCCAAAAGGCTTGCCGTACCTAACTGCAAAACAATGAGTCAATAAAACCTAGGATATCGTTCATGTTATCGTATCCAACCTCATTCCCAAGTCCAAATACAACATATCATGAATCGAATGTTTCGAGTGACGCTGAACAAGTAAAATATGAAAAGCCGACAAGGCCAACAAAATCAATCGCTAAAGCGTGCGTCATGATCCCTGACACTTCTGCGCACTGGTCGCGCTCTTCGGCCGCCGCGGCGGAGGCAGCCCAGGCCCATATAGGAGCGCATGTCGCATCCTCCCCTCACTTGGGGACGGTAACCCTGGCACCGGTTGCGATGGCAGAGGCGGCGTGGTCCAGTCTGGAGCCATCTGCTGCTGGGTCTGAGTCTGGGCTCCGAAAACCTCTTGTGCGAAGGGACTAGATGAGAAGGAACCGGGTTGGGCGGGATATACAGAAGGAGGCGTAGTAGGCTGGTGCTGATGGAGGAAAGACGCTTGTTGGTTCGGATTCGGAACGCCCGACGGTATCCAAGCTTGGGGCTGCTGAAAGCCAGTGTGAGACATGATATGCTGGCTATTTGTATTTGGCGAGTTGCTCGCACGATTGTAAAGCTGTGCCAGCAGAGCTGCGGATTCGCGCTGGAATCGATCTCGCCAGTGGGTGAATCCGAAGCGGTTTCCACACTTGGAGAGAATAGTAGTGAAGTCGTTGATTGCGTCGATTGCGCGCGTCGTGGGATCTTTTGGCATGGTCTGATTTACCGATAGTACCGGTGAGGGGAATGGGGGCGGTGGGGCCTGGGCGGACGGTGCGAGGGGGTCGTCGGAGGCTGTTCCTCGGATCGATGATGCGGGTGGAAGGGCAGGTACAGGGTCAAGCAGGGCATCTGGGTTGCGTAGAACGTCGACGAATTGCCGACCGGTCATGTAGGCGCGCATGGCGTCGTAGAAAGTGATGGGAGGTTTCGTTGTGTTGGAGGCCTGTGAGATGAGAGCGAGGAGGGAGGTGGCATAAGCGATGCAGTGTTCGAAAATCAGTCGTTGCGCATATTCATGGATATGTGGGATCCGTGGGCTTTTTGAGAGTATGTAGACGTAGCTGTACAGAAGCTCCAGTTCGAAAAATGACCGTTGCGACGGCAATAGGCTGGTAGGTAAGTCTTTGAACCACTGCGTCATCTTGGCGTATGTGCTCCAAATGTACGGATACGCATCTACATACGCCCATGGCTCGCGGCCGGATTGAAAGAGTTCCATGTACCATTCGGACTGCAACTCTCGAATTTTGAATAGATCAAGGGCGGCACCGAAGGATTGCTGAAACATGGGTGTTTGCGGGGATGTATTCCTGGGTGAGGTAGCAGGACCGTTGAACGGGAGTGCAACGTTCGCAGAGTCATCCGAAAAAGAGAATGCTCTAGTCTGGACGAGCGATGTGGATCTGTCCAATGCGTAGACGCACCAGTATACTCTACGTCTCAGTTCGAGCTTGGCTTTCGATATCGCAAGACTGCGGGACGGCTCCTGATGAATGCCCAGATCGACCATCAGTCTTGATGCTGCTCCAATCAAGGTCCAGCTGTCAAAGTGGTGTGGGTCCATCATGGCATATTCGACAAGAAGAAGCAGGGCCTGGATACTGCCTATCCGCCCCGGATGCAGAACCTCCTCCTTGTACCGAAGTGCGGCGTTCACGTGTCCCACGGCGTCCAAGTAAAGGGTATCTCCTCGTTGCTCCGATTGGGACAAACAAGACACCGCAAGAACCATGCGGACGTTCCAGTGGTCCATGGCGGACGCAGTAGCGGTCGTGCCAGGATGATAGACAGCATCAACCGAACGAAAGAAGGCGGCTTCATCGAAAAAAGGAAGCAGGGTATAGATGTTGGTCAGGTAATGTTGGACCAAGGGTGTTGCTGCGAATTTTGGTGGGAGAGCTTTGGTCAAATCGTCAGGCAGCGGTTCTTTTGAACTAGCGGCTAGAATAAGGCGGGCGTATGTCATGGCAGAGGTGAAGCCATAAAAGTCTCGTGCAGTGGCATTGACTGCCCTGGACAGGGATCAGATTCGAGCTTGAGGCATTGAAGGAGGCCACTTACAAAAGACCGAAGGCAGACTCGAGCTCGTCCATGTTCATTGCTTCTTTGCGGAGAGCAGCACGTTTATTGACGGGCTTGACGGTTTCGGCTGAACGGGGCCTCGGAGTGGCAGCTTCTGAATAGTCGTTCATCAGGATGGTGGAGCTCTTCCGCCTTGCTCTCGCCTCGGCGATCTTCTTCTCCAGTTTCTCCACACGGGTTTCTAGAACAGTTACGTAACTGCGCTCCTTTCCCCTTGCAAACTGATCATTCGTGTTGGAACACTCGTGGTTATTTTTCTCGCAGGCTGAGCACGATGGCAGCTTTCCGTCGCATTTCACTTTCGAAGCACGGCATCTCGAACATGCAGCCACCGGCCTGCTCACCCGGAGCAAAGGTGTTTCCAGCACCATAAGGTCGTTCTTCGATAAATCCGAGGGTACTTCTGCAGACATGGCGTGTGAGTTGCGATCCAAACCTTGACTTGCGTCCAAAAAGAGTAGAGCGTAATCGAACACGTGAGTGCTAGAAAGGGAAAAGGTTGAGGGGTGACAATGACAGGGACTGAACCCTGAGAGACGGAAGAGCGAAGGGCAACGAAGCTTAAAGAAAATGGAGAACAGGAGGGGTAATCTTACTGCCTTATTATGTGATGACGGGCCAGGGGACACGACTTACCAGGCCAGGAACGCGAAGAAACGGTGAAAAGACAGTGGCAGGGACCCCTGAACGGCAATGGCGATTTGAAGGAGGATTATTAGCCTCGAGGCTGATGACGGCGTATTCTGCACAGTACTAGTGGAGATTGGTTTTCTGAGCACTACCTTGGTGTTGAGGGTCGGACAGGGTGTCAGAGGCGCAGCACATGCCCTTGCACCGCCACTTTCTCAGAGGGGCCCCTCACCGGCTGGTGAACCCAGGCGAGCAGTAGGGAATCCAGGCGATGTTCTCGATAACGAGAATGAACAGCGGTGAGAGATTGGCGAAGTGCATTCACCAGGCTGTGGGAAGGAAATGTCGATGAGAAGTCGTCGAAAGCAATCCGATTAGCGCTAAACCGCTAGGGGACGGGTGGGGCAGTTAGGGCTGCTAGAGCGGTAGATCACTCTTTGTCATCCACACTGGTTTCGATAAACACGATCCCATTGGGGTCGGGATGGCAATATTCTGGCGGATTTATAAATATGTACCACAGTACACCGTAATCGGGGTCCTGTATACCGCCCAACAAACCACTTCCATCACGCCTCCCGCAGAGGCTTCCCCAACGCTTTTTCTCGCTCTCTCCCTTGGCTGTGCCACAGCAGCGGCGCCCTCCAACAGCGCTGTTCGTGTGTGGCCCCTCGGAGCCCGCCTGCTCTGTCCGCATCCCGACGACATCGACTGACATCGGCTCTAGCGTGCATATGGAAGCTCACGCTATCTTTATATCCGCTACCGTCCTCTCCTTTCACGAGTAGCGACATCGCGAAACCGCTAGTGGTGTGCCCGGTCGCCCAGGATGGACATAAATGGCCAGCAGCGCGGTCCGAACAGTGCAACCCAACCCACCGAAGAGAAACCATCGCCAAACCGCATTGCTCATACACTGACAGCCTGCTGTCGCTGCCGTACCGTGAGCTACTCTTCTGCTCCCTTCCTTGAACCGTTGACTGAGTATTGGATATAGCGCAAGACTCGCTGCGATCCTGGCCTTCCCCGCTGCGGGCCTTGCGAACGCGCGGGCGGTGGGATTGTGTGCGAATATTACGATCCAGCTAAAGGCGTCAAGATACCCCGCAACTATGTCGTCCATCTACAGCACAAGGTACGCGATCTGGAGAGACAACTTGCCGAACTGGAGCGGGACGAGGGGGAACCCGATGCCGAAGATATGATGCGCATGGCGGCAGCAGTGAGGACACAAGAGTCGGACGAGGCTAAATATCTCGGGCCTTCAAGCGGCATAACCATAACGCGTCTGGTCATGCAATTGGCGAAACAATTTACCGCCTCCAAATCCATATCGGAAATTGTGCCGGATTCGCGGGCCAAGTCCATCAAGGCGACCTTCGATGAGGAGGACACGAAGCCGACATCAAAAGTCTACCCGCTGATTAGTGACGTTGCGGCCGAGGAGTTGCCGAATAGAGATCTAACAAACCTCTTGGTTGAGCTATTTTACTCGAAGATGCATCCAATGTACCCGATTTTCCATGAGAAGAGGTTCTTACAAGTAGTCGAAGACATCTACAACGGTTCCAAGGATGCCTACAAGAACTTCTGCATCCGCATGGTCATCGCTATCAGTCTGCAGAAGATGGACACCCAGTATGCCGGTCTTGCCGACAGTTACTATCTCGCTGCACTGAAGTTCTTCGAGGATGCCATCAAAAAGATGAACTTGCAGACTCTCCAGTGCTTTGCCCTGATTGCCGGTTACTCTCTGCTTACGCCTACGCGCACGGCCGTCTACTATGTTGTCGGACTGGGTGTAAGGCTGTGCCAGGCTTTGGGTTTACATGAGGAGAAGACGATTACTTTGGGGCCTGGAGGAAGGCCAGCAAATCCACTCGAGGTCGATATGCGGCGACGTCTCTTCTGGTGCCTGCTTACTATGGAATTCGGCCTAGCGCATTCCTTGGGGAGACCATCAGCCTTTCCACAAGAGCACATCGATGTCAATTTTTTCGAATTGGTCGATGACTCCTATATCACTAAAGACGGGGTTTTGAATGCCCCTCAAGGGTCGCTCAAAAAATGGGTTGCCATCCACTTCTTCAAAATGAGAATGCTCCAGCTGGAAATCCGGAGAAAGTTATACCAAAGGAAGAGGCCTGAGCCAAAGGACGACAAACACCCCTGGTTCGCCGAGATGCAGGCCAAAATGATCTCGTGGAGGGATAGTTCCCCGGAGAGCAGCGAGATCGAGAATGGAGGCCTGGACAAGGTCTGGTTCATTGGCAGATACAACACAATGGTTGTGTTCCTCTTCCGTCCTTCGCCGCAGGTCCCTCGCCCCTCCGCCGAAGCCGCCATCAAGTGCTACGATGCCTGTCAGTATAACGTGTATATGACGAAAAGGCAGATCGAAACCAAGAGCGTCGATCTTACCTGGATCTTCACACAATCCATCTTCATGGCCATCAATACGATATTGTGGTCCCTTTCTTATTCCGAGATCCGCCGACTGCATAGCCGAGAGGAGGTTGAAGGCCATCTGAGCGTGGCGCTTGAGTCTATCCGACTCTCATCGGAGAGATGGCCTGGTGTTGCGTCCGCGCTTGAACTGTATAAGAACCTCATTGCGGCGTGCATGAAGATCTATGAGAAGGATGGCGACATTCCAATCACGGCAGGCTCCCCGTCAGACAGCGCGTCAGTCGCATCAAACACCATCATGGATGGTATCAACCGGTCCCGAACGACCAGCCCTGCTACGGCCTCTACAGCGTCGGTTCAAACGCCGGCGCCCGAACCGCCATTCGGATATTTGCCAAAGCAGAATCAAGCCTTCTTCAACCCTAGAGCATCACAAACAGACGCCCCGAATCAGGACACTCCCTCAGCCTCTCGATCTACATCCGTTCAGACATCACCTCAACAAGCTATCCCTCAACCGTACATGGATCCCAGCCCTAAAACCTCACTAGACGCCCGCATACCCAGCTTCAGTTTTGCTGGCAACGCACAGTTCAATCCTCTCCCCACCACATTTGCCGAGCTCTCGCACTGGAATCCTACCTTTTCGATGCCTCCCCAGGACGCCCTCTCGATGCCACCCGTTTCGGAGGCGATAGCATCCCCTGCCTGGAACGAGGCCTATGCTGCTGACAGAGGCTATCCCATGACCGACTACCTGTACCCACAGTGGGGAGTGGAGCAGAACAGGGGCCTGGGTTTGACCCACGAACAGCAAATGGAGCTCATGCAGACGTTTGAGGCGAATGAGACGGGCAAGCTTGAAGCCATGATTCAGCAAAGCAACCAGTTGTTCCGGCCGCAGTATCCGACGCATTGAAGGGATATGGGTTTTACCAATCATGCTGCCGACCGGCGAAAGTATGGCGCTTGATGGGCGGGATTCCACCCTGATGCGTCCGTACCCCTTCCGAAATGCGCGTACAGTCGGGGCGAGGAGAGTGGTCGGAGACCGTCGTCGGCACACTTGTGTTCCATCAGGCCTCGATAAAAAAATACTCACACAGGTGAAACAACCTGACCAACACGCTTCGTGAGGGGAAAAAATTGGGGCGCAATCTTCGTCAGCTCGGCCCAAAGTGGCGCCAGTTGCTTGGGAGTTTGGTTTTATGACGTTTCCCATTTTGAGATACCTATACCTGTATGATCACGGGCCGGATTTATGGTTTTATGTGGAAAGGATGGCGTTTTGGGCTTTGGAGAGTCAGGCAAGGATAGAGGAAGGTCTGGGGAACCTGCCAGGGAGGTTTCGAAATACCGACTTATCCCGCAGCAGGACTGTTTGGATCTACACGAATCTACTCTTGTACGCTTTCTTCCGCAAGATATAGGCGACTCTGACACTGAGTCTAGCGTTGTGAATGATACAGTACAAATGGCACATAGATATCGAGGGCTCGGTTACAGTGGCGCAAAGAAGTTTCCAGCCACATCTAGTTTGCACAGCCACTATGACGCACTACCACCTCCCACTACCACCCTGCAGCCGAGGCATGCTTGTGGCAAACCCTGGTATATAAACTACCAGTAATCAAACCCCGAGAGTCTGTAGACTACCTGCATCCACCGATTTCATACCTGACTCTACACTCTCCTCAAGTCAGAATCATCAGTCCACCTTATACCTCGCTCCACTTCCCCTCCAACAGAATAACCAAACCCACAATGACTACCCCAGTCTCCTCGTCCGACAAAGACACAGCCGCCAGCGCGGGAATCATAGCCGGAGCGGGCACGGGCACGCAGAGCACGCAGCAAACCGGACAGACGGCTACTCAGCAGACACAGCAAACGGGTGGTTCGGCCGGTGCGTCGAAGACGAAGACGGAGGCAGAGCTCGAGGCGGAGAGGTTGTATGAGGAGAGGATTGAGGAGGAGTATGCGAAGAGGGAGGGGGGTGCTTAAAAGGCTTCGTGTGAACGGGTTAGGGTCTTAGGGAAGCCGCGACGGATGGAGTTATGAGATGATGAGGTGATGGAGGAATTTCTGGTTGGTTTCCTGTTGCTTTAACTTGGTGGTGTCCTGAACCCTTTCCTGTGGATTGAGACAGGTGGCGCGTTCCTGCGGTACCTAAAGAGAAGTTCGACGGTGTTGCAGCCAAGCTGCCGGTGAGAGTATGCATATCATAATACAACAATGCCAGTCCCACTGGATATATCATAACACACATTCCTTTCATGAACTCTCCTCACCTATCGCCAGCCCATTCATTCCCCCTCTAGCGCCCTTTTCACTAACCTCTTCCCCCGCTCACTCATCTCTATCTCTAAGGCTAATTCCTTCCCCTTTCTAGACATCTTTTCCCAAGTCTTTTGTAAGATCCCCACCATCTTCTCCTCATCCCCCAACTCCCTCTCAAACCTATCCAACTGATCCTCCAAAAACACAAGACACGCCACATCCTCCAACGTCTGCGCCTCCTCATCCCCCTCCCTCAGCCCCTCCTTGCGAATCAGCGCCGCGACGCGCGCGGCAATCTCCGCAGCGTACCCGGAATCGAGGCATATCGCTTCGACGAGCTCGGCTTGCCGCTTCTTGACGTACGTGCGCCAGGCGTGGTAGCCCGCGCGCGTCATGGGGTATGTGGATCGGGGCACTTCCCAGCGGCGGAAGTGCTGGGCGCGGATGGCGAGGCGGAGGGCTTCGCTGGGGGAGGGGCAGAGTTTATGAAGGTACGAGGTGCATTTTTGAGCGTAGTGGAGTTCGTAGGGTATTGTGGGGGTTTCTGAGGAGGGGGTGTCTGAGGAGGAGGTTTCTGAGGGATTGGGATTGGGGATGGTGTTCGGGTCGAGGGCGTGCGCCGCGTCGATTGCGGCGAGGCCGCAGTCGTAGGGTGTGCTCATGTTTGTGGGACTGTAGAGGAGTGGTATTGAGGAGTGTATGGGTGAGGGTCGTCCCGGCAATTGAGGTTGGAGGAATGCATATTTTCTTCTTTCCACAGTCCTATCGTTATCGTCTGATACAGAATTCTGCCCCACCCGTTGACCCCACGCGAATCCCACGCGAATCCCACGGGCCGTGCGCCAAGCCGATCGATCTATTGTATGCGTTAATCCGCAACTCCTTGGCGCGTTGCTTCGCGTCTAAACTCCCCTCTGTTTTCCTCTACCTACCTGCGCTGCAACAGCTACACAATAAGACAAGGTAAAACTTGCAGAATATTGTCTTCTTATAGAATTAAGCTTATTTTGCAAGTTTTACCTTATCCTATTGTATAGTTGTTGCAGTGTAGGTAGGTGCAAATTGCAGCTCTTGCGCAGCTTGCGTTGCTAAGAATTTAGCTTAAACATTATACGTTTAGGCAGGATACAAGATACCTACCTGCGCTGCAACAACAATACAATAAGATAGGTTAAAACTTGCAAAATAAGCTTAATTCTATAAGAAGGCAATATTCTATAAGTTTTACCTTATCTTATTGCGTAGTTGTTGCGCGCAGGTAGGTGCAGCAAAACGCTCGTAGAAAAAAAAGGTGTACCAAGAGCGACACACCAGCGCCAAGGAGTTGCCGATTAACGCATACAATAGATGGGATATTGGCGGTCACCGCGGATCGGTCTGAAACCGACAACTGACCGCACCGGATTTGCAACATCTCGCTCGACGGAGTCCACAAGGCGACTGCTTTCTCCAACAATGGCCGCCCCAGCGGCTGGTGCCGCATACTTCGCAGCACAAGATCTCGACCTCCCACCCTTCCCCTTCTCTCCGCCCTCGCCCATCCAACCGGTACTCACACCCGCACCTCCTCCATCCACATCCGCAATCACCGCACCTTCCACCACCTCTCCCCCTCCCTTCCAAACAATCCCCACCCCCGACCCCTCCGGAATCGACCGCTCATGCCCCCTCTCTCTCATCCCCTCGAACATCCAGATTCATCGCAACACCTTCTTCGCCCTCGATGCTCCCCTCTTGCTCTCCGCCTGGGCCTGGGACGCCTATTGGTCGTACATCGACAACGTGGGGTGTCTGCACGCGAAGCCCGGGTCGCGGCATCCGTCGGTGAAGAATGGGTTCGTGAGGGTGTACGGCGCGCGTAGGCTTTGGAGGAAGAGGCGCGAGGGTGAGGGGAATGTGAATGCGAATATGGATGGTGGGGTGGAAGTGGAGGAAGCGGGCGACGGCGACGGGAATGCGAATGAGAGTTGGAATGGGAGTGGGAATCCAGAGGCGCCTCCCGCTGGAAAGCGAAATGTACCCCGTCGCATACACAATGCAGGAACCTGTCCGGCAAAGTTTAGAATGACGTTGTATGAGGATGGTCGACGGACGTTGGAGCGGACAAGCGTTGAAGGCCACACCCATTTGCTGGACGAGGTGGATGCGTTAAAAAGAAACAGTGGAGTGAGGGGTCTATTGCTTGAGCCCGTGTTCGAATTTTGGGATCACACGTCCATTCTGGCGTACCTGCGGGACGGCGCCGGTCGCAATCGAGATTACGGGGACCTCTTCATCCAAGCGGGCGGTCTCTATCTGGATCAGAAGGAAGTCACAAACGTGATGATGCGCGGTAAAACGCGGCGTCTACCGCCGGGAGTCGCGCCCCCACCTGTTGGCTATGTCCGGTCGCAAATGGAAAGGTACAAGGGGCTCATGGTCTGCACTTGTCGAGGTTGCCGTGAGCCTCTGTTTCCCGATGTGAAAGCCTTGCTGGACCATAGGAAAAAGATCCATGGATTCAAGAGTCACGATCATAGCGGGGAGAGGTTTGTTTATCCTGTGAGAGGGTGTAGAAGGAAAAAGAGGAGTCAGGGATTTGTAAGCAGGGAGAGGTTGCTGATGCACATGAGCGGGAAGCATGGGTGGGTGGAAGAAGGGATGATGGCGCATGTTGACAGTCGAGATGGAAATGTGTATTCGGATATGGAAGGGGGTTTTGTGACAGGAAGTGATGATGATGATGACGAAGCGAACGAGGAGGAAGAGGATGCGGAGGGTCAGGAGGAGTTTGAGCACAACGTGCATCCTCTATTGACTGAGCATCCGACAATACAGGAGCAGGAGCCGCCGATTACGCCGGCGAGTTCAACCACTTCGGACGCTAATCAGCATAGTCAAGTGCTTTATTCGATGCAGCAGCAGCATCATCATCCCGTCTCCAATCTTGCCGGTGGACTTCCACGAACACTGACCCTGGCTCAGAAAAGACAAGGCCAAGCCCGGATTCAGAGCCTCATGGCTCGGAGAGAGAAGCTGGACGCAGAGATTGCCGGCCTGCATGCCATCATCAATGAAGCCGACAATGTACAACTTGGAGCGAGGCCTGGCCAGAATGGTTCGTCACGAATTCTAGACCGCTGAATCCTGTGCAGATAAACAGTGATGATTGAGTTGTCTTCAGCAGCCCGTACCACGTGTTCCGTTAAAGGCTCCAAAGGGGGAGAGGCCACTCCCTAGCCGACACGGTCTTGGGCCTATGTCAAAGCAGCACTAGGCCTTCAGGCAATCGCCAATAAGGCAGCTGAGCAGGCTGAGCACTCGTCAATACGGTTCGAACGACGAGGGGCCACAGAGGGCGCGGGTCGCCCAAGATATCTGACTCGCCCTCGTCCCTTTGAGATCCAAGTCAGCCTCGAGGATGGTGTAGAGATGTGTTACAAGTCGAGTTGTCCGATAGCTCAGACTTGCCTTTTTCTCTACGTCACCAACCCCAAGATCTTCACACCACACATATCCATCGCCATGCCGGGCTATCTTGCGAAAACCACAAGCGGCCGTCCTGGTAGAGGTGTGCTGAGAGTCATGGGGTTTCCAATGGAGCAAGCTCCAATCCAGGTTTCTCGTCACAGCCGACGCAGGGTAAACAACAGAAAAGGCGGAACTTACTCAGGAAGCGATTATGAGAGAAGCTGTGTGCCTTTACTTCTACCGGTCTCCATCTAAGGCGACTTGTTAGCACTGTATCACGATCACTCTGGTACGGTATTGCATACCTTCGCTGTTCGAGCACCGAATTGTATAGCCCGCTTCTTCTCCTGTGCCACACGCTTCATTCCAAGCTCCCACGCCATTCTCCTCAGAATCCGTTTACCAGGCTCCAAAAATCGCGCTGGATCCTCCGAGCCATCTTCTTGGGCATTGCCAAAGTCGCACTTCGCCCACACGGGGAGTTCCAGGGCCAGGGCAATGAAATCTTCGTCAAGATACGGAAACCGGACTTCTCTTCCAGAGTCACTGATGACGCGGTCGTCTCTGCCCAGGTTGCGTTTCCCTAGGCGATGGAAATCAAGGGCTAGTTCATCAATGAGGCCTGGATAGCCGCGCCGGGAGAAGGCTAAGGCGTGTCTCTGGTAGCCTCCAAAGAGTTCATCTGCGCCCAAGCCAGAGAGTAACACATGGGCCGTTGTCGTGTAGGGTTGGAGTGATGAATCCAGCTCAATCACAGCAAGCCCCGCTCGTGATGCAGCAAAGTACAATGCATATGCTATCGACAAATCCATCTCGGTGTTGTGGGGATGGATGAGCTTTATGAGCTTCTCGCGGTGTGCCAGTGTTTCCGGGTAGGGTACATTGATTTCAACAAATCTCCAGATCCGGTTGGGGCACGTCTGGACCAGCTCGGCGTACGATGCTCGGCCGGTCAAGCGATCTGGGCAGAGATCATATGGCGAGACGCCCGTTTCCAATTTCGAGTGGATCCTGGGGTTCTCGAAAGCCACGTTGAGAAGGTCAATGGGTTCTGTAGCAGGAAGAAGGTCGTGGCTGAGACGGGCCAAGATGGTGCAGTCAAGGCCGCCTGAGAAGAGAATGGCAACTCTAGAATGGGTTTCCGAGCTCCCGAAAGGTTCCATTGACTCGCGGACGTGCTTGATACGGAACTCAAGAGACTTTCGAAGACGTACTTCCAGGAGGCGAATATGTTCCAACCTAGGCGCTGGATTCTCTGATGGTGCAGTGCGGTTGATATGCGGAAATGGTACAGGCTGGAAAAATCAGCGGGTTGTCGAAACAAGTCCGAATCACCTACGAAATAAAGCGGTGGAGGGTCACCACAACTAGCGGCATAATGAGGGATATGCACAGCATGCAGGTCCTCTGACTGGAGGTCAATCAAGTATAAACCATCCGCTTCTACCTCCCGCCATGGCTCCGCAACTTCCTTGCTGTAGTCGCAGACACTTGAGAGAATTAAGGCACCATTAGCCTTAGTTTGAAGAAGTGATCGTCGTCCTAGAGGATCACGTCCAAAGTAGCTGTAGCCGTTGCGGGCATCATAGTATACCAACGCATACGGACCTTTTATAGACGATAAGACCTCTACGATCCCTTTCACGGAGTCGCTTCTCGTTTCCGCTGAGCTGCGGAGAGAGGCTTGAAGAAGAGACCTGAAAACAGTTTGAGAGTCGTTCCCCTCAATCGTTTGGCCCTGGATAGACCAGGCTTCACCATTCCAGCATAGTACTGATCCAGACTCTAGATCCTTCAGAGGTTGCTCCGTGATAGACGTGCCCCTTAACGAGAGTACCGTCGAGACAAAGGTTGCATGTATGCCATTAACTCTTGTTTGAAAAACCCCTTTACTGTCTGGTCCACGGTGCTTCAGCAGCTCATCGGTGTTGCTATCCGGAAGTACATGCTCGTGTGGGCTAAGTGAGACGAAGATGCCACACATGGCCTAAAGGCAGTGTGCTGAAGCGAGACTGAGTTGAAGCTCGAGAAGGGGATGGTGTTGAAAGACGTGATATCCGCACAGACGCCGTTGTGTGGCTGGAGTGGCGCAAAGCTTGGCATTGACATCTCTCGCCCAGGTTCCCCCACTATCTGAACCCCGTTGCTCAAACAAGCTCTAGGACCTCTGGGAGGCTCTCAATACGCTTGTCCGTGTCTATGGACGCTCACGTTTTAAAAATAGGGCCTCGATATTAATTCCCCAACCGCACGACGGTCTATGTCTCCTCCGAACGCACCGTCGCACCCTGACGACCCCCAAAATATACCTCACGAAGATAGGCAAGAGAATGGACTAGCGAAGGCGGTAGAAGCTTTAACGGTGCAGCCAGAGGCGGGGAATGATATTGTGAAGCAGCCGGACGCAACCAGCGGTATCGGAGAGTCGAAGATTACAAGTCATGATGACCCACTGCTGGCAACTGAACAGTCCCAGCACTGTAACGAGCAAACTAGCGCTGAGGAGCAATTTGAGAGCTCTAGCCAAGACAAAACGTCGTCCATCGAGCAGAATGACAAGGAGCGTCCAGAAGCTTTAACCGCCCAAGAACAGTCCAGAACAGGTTCAGAATCAGTTGCGCGATCATCCACGCCTCCTCCTCCGGAGCCATCGAATTCCGCAGGCAAAGCGCCTATCCGCTCACCCTCACCGCCGCCGCCACCACCTAAAGACGATAAGTACATATCTTTAGATCATGGCACACCACATCGGACTATATCGCCCGTGTCCCAGGGAAGGTCAAGCGGAAGGACTTCTGAGGATACCGCTGCGGCGGCTTATAACCCGAGATATGGTGGAAGTGAGGATGTGGCAGATGGCTCCAAGTCGGAGATCCAAAGTATAATGGAACAGTTTGAGCTTGGTGCAGAAGCGCCTGGGGAGGACGAAATAATGTCTCCGCGCTTGGAACTTGCCTCTCCGCTGCTGGATTCGCCAATTACGCACCCACCTAGACGATCGAGTCTCCAACCCATCGATAAGCCTCTCCCTGGCCTCACTGAAACCGCTCCTTCTGACCAACAGCTCCACTCCCCTCCTCCACGTGCATCGTCATTGTACCGCGTAGGTACGAACCAGTCGAAGGAGTCCATGTCTCCGAGCGGGCACGCCAAAGATTACACACCGCATGTGCCCCAACCACCCCCCGAGCCAGACCTACCTTTCGATTTCCATCGCTTCCTCGAGCAGCTTCGCCATCGGACTGCTGATCCTGTTGCGAAATTTCTGCGCTCCTTTCTGCTAGAGTTCGGCAAGAAGCAATGGATGGCGCACGAGCAGGTGAAGATCATAAGCGACTTCTTGGAATTTATAGCGAAGAAAATGGCACAATGCGAGGTATGGCGCACCGTGTCCGATGCTGAGTTTGACAACGCACGAGAGGGTATGGAGAAGTTGGTGATGAACCGTCTGTACAATCAAACATTCTCCCCTGCGATACCACCCCCCGAACCTGTCCATCCTACGCGGGGAAAACGAAAAGCCGATCAGTTGCCGCCGGGACGGAGAGGAGCTCACCAAGAGGATGTCGAGCGCGATGAAGTACTTGCGCAGAAAGTGCGCATATATAAGTGGGTTCGCGAAGAGCATCTAGACATTGAGCCAGTCGGAGACAAAGGGAGGAAGTTTCTCCAATTAGCACAACAGGAGCTACTGAAGATCAACAGCTACCGAGCCCCTCGAGATAAAGTGATTTGTATACTCAACTGCTGCAAGGTCATCTTTGGTTTCCTCCGGACATCAACTAAGTCAGATCAGTCAGCGGATTCCTTCGTTCCACTTCTCATCTACACTGTCCTGCAGGCCAATCCGGATCATCTCGTTTCGAACGTGCAATACATCATGCGGTTCAGGAATAAAGATAAACTTGGGGGAGAAGCCGGATATTATATATTTTCGCTCATGGGTGCTATACAGTTCATCGAGGGTCTCGATCGGACATCTCTGACTGTATCAGACGAAGATTTCGAGAGGAACGTTGAGGCGGCTGTCTCTGCTATAGCCGAAAGGCACCCAGATCCGGAACCCACTGCTCCTGATCCAGCTCCAGCACCTCAATTGCGCCCTCCGGAGACGCCAGGGGGTAGTCATCGGCGAATGGGCTCTCCGCATCTTCATCTCTCAGAAAAGTCGGCACTATCCCGGCCGGAAGTGACCCCTCGTAACTCGCTGGATGGGGAGCGTGCTGGGCCCATTCGCGCTTCCAGTTACCGCAACACCAAAGAAGAGGCCAGCGAACCGGAAGAAGAGAACGCTGCAGTAGCAGGACTACTCCGAACCATACAGAAGCCATTGAGCACGATTGGTCGTATATTTTCCGACAATGACACCCCAACTTCCGCTTCCACATCGCGTCTGTCACCTCAGCCAGCCAATTCGGGGCATGAAAGGCGTCCGTCAGACTACGCAGGGATTTTGCCACCCCAAGTAAACGAAAAGGAGCAAATGCGCCGCTCAGCGGACGAACAACGGCATCGTGAGAGACTGAGTGCCGAAGACGCGGCAGCACGTCAGGCGTCTGCTGAGGCGGAGGAAGCGCGTCGAATCCAGAGACAGGAGCACATGGTCATTGTGGAGACCTTAGCGGGAATGTTTCCTGCGCTAGATCGTGAGGTCATTGATGATGTTGTGAGGATGAAGGAGGGCAGGTACGTCCCGTCGATTTCCACGCATTGAGTTTTCGAAGCTAATCTTCGCTCCAGAGTTGGACTTGCTGTAGACGCATGTTTGGCCTTGAGCAATCCTTGAGTGCAAAGGGTGTCATCTTTATGAAATGGACAGGGGGTGGGTTGGCACATTTATATGCATCATGTCCGTTTAATTCATAGCGAGTACCCTGTCTAGCCGCTGCATTAATCAATTCTTGTGTGCATTAAGTAGCTGCTCTTCCGCTCCCCGCCGTCATGCTGAGTTTGAGCTATTACTGTGCTTTTCCAACAATCAATACATCCAATCCATCCAAACTGATCAGGTTTACCAAAACAAGTTGGTTCTGCAGATGGCCTCCGTTATCTCACACTGTTTGCAACTTTAGCCCCAACGACGTCAATAGCGTTGTGTCGCTATGCCCGCGCTCGAAATGTCAAGCAGGGTACACGAAATGGACGCAATAGCTGGGCGTAAACGTTAGACGTGTGGCCACGCAGATGCCGAGCTGGTGACTGTTGCATGTGCACAACGGGTATGGTAGGTGGTGCTGATAGTTACGGGGGTTGGTTAGTTAATGATGTTCCTAGGTTGAAGCGCATTATGAAGGAGAAAAGGAAAGAATGTGAAGGGCTACCATGAATGTATGAAAGAAAAGCGCAATGTGGTTTCCCATTAAGAATGCGCTCGGTATCGAGGCGAGTTTGAGGGAAGCGTGGTTCACCTTATTCACCAATATGTTCACAAAAGAGATTTTTTACCACTGAGGTGCATTGGATGGATAGAAAAGATCTGTTGTATATAATACAAGGTGAGTTTCCCTACATTTAGGGAGACTCTGTGCAGAAAACCCTTGCCTATATAGTTTCTATAGCTTCCTCCCACGCCTTTCGCTATCTATACAATTCGAGTATTAACAAAATAGCAGCGTTCCTAACAGTAAGTAACTGCTCCTAATAGTAAGCTTAATAAGCAGTTAACGTGAGCGGCAAGCGAGCTGATCACTCTGCCAAGGTTACACCTCTCTCAATCACTCATCTCAATATCTCAACAACCAGATCTTGAATCGCTCCCTCGTGAGGATAGGATTATCCTTGCCATCGAAGCTATGAAATCCGATGCATCATTAAGCCAGTGACATGCTGCTACTCTCTATGGCATTCTTCAAAGCACGCTTAGTAGCCGACGCTCCAGAACAGCTGCTCGATACGATATCTATCCTAACTCATCAAAGCTTACCAAACATGAGGAGAAGACAATAGTCCAGTATATAAGGAAGCTTGATGCACAAGGATCTGCCCCTACACTCATCGACATACGTGATATGGCTAATCAGCTGCTGGCTGCATGTGGTGATGGGAACGCTGGAGACAAATGGGCTAGGAACCTTGTTCTACCACAAATCTGAGATCAAATCTCAGATAACCAGACTTCACAATCACTAAAGAGTCAAGTGCAGCAATCCAGCTATTATTGGTCCCTGGTTTGACCTTGTATGCAATACCAAAGCTAAGTATGGCATCCTGGATGAAGATACTTACAACTTCGATGAGACTGGCTTCCAGATGGGTGTTGAAGGGTCAGTAAAGGTGGTAACAGCATCTGAGAGGTGACTGAAACCGCTGCAGGTTCAATCTGAGGACCGTGAGTGGGCAACATTGATTGCTGCTATCAACGCCAAGGGCTGGCCACTTCTGCCCTTTCTAATCTTCAAGGCAAAGCACCACGACCAAGCCTGATACCACAACCCTAAGAGCTGAAGGATAGATGTCAGTGATAATGGCTAGACAACAAATGAGCTTGGTTTAGCCTGGTTATAGCACTTTATCGAGCATACTCAGGCTCGGACATTAGGCAGTCACAGGCTGCTGATTCTTGATGGCCATGAAAGCCATAAGTCACTTGCTTTCCAGGAACTGTATAAGGAGAACAAGATTATCACCCTTTGCATGCCTCCACATGCCTCCCATATCCTACAGCCACTTGATGTAGGGTGTTTTGCTCCTTTAAAGCAAGCATACAAGAAGGAGGTCAATGTCTTGGCAAACTGCTACATCAACCATATCGAGAAGAAAGCCTTCCTAACTGCCTTTTCTGAGGTTTTTGACAAGGCTTTTTTAGAGAAAAATATTATATCAAGCTTCAGAGCAACTGGTTTAGTTCTACACAGTCCAGAGATGATGCTATCAAAATTTGAAGTGAAGCCTCATATACTATCACCAGCTTTACCAGGCCCTATCTGATAACCCAAAACACCAAGCAATGCAGTTGAGATAGATGCTCAATCAATACTTATCTTTAACCAGATTCGAAGACACTGGAGCTCCTCACCAGCATCGATTATTGAGATGGTAAGGTAGTTTAAAAAAGGGGCAGAATTGATGGCGCATTTGCAGGCGTTAATGGCTGCCAGGATCACGAAACTTGAGCTAGCCTGCCAGGCAGCTTCTGAACATAAAAAGCATAAGAAGAAGCAGATTCAAAAAGGAGGGATCCTATCGCAGGCAGAAGCAGAGGCGATAGTAGCTCAGAAGAATGCTGAGGCTCAGCTTGAGGCAGAGAGATGTGAGGAAAGAGAGGAAGCAGATGCTGGTGTACGGGGTATTCGATGCTGTAAGATGTGTGGTGAGCCAGGGCACAACAAGCATACATGCAAAAAAGATGCAATAGATATAGAGAATTAATTTGAGCTATTATAAGCTGCAATAGCTTGTTGTAACATTGAGATATTTAGATTTAGAGGTAGAGTACTATATTTAGTGATCAGCTCGCTTGCCTGATCAACTCGCTTGCTGCTCATGTTACTGTTAAAAAGTAAATAGTAACTTACTAATAAGCTTACTACTAAGGAAGCTTACTAAATAGTAGCCGTTACTGCCTTATTTAATTATAAAGCTACTAGTAGATATAACGTGTTTAATCACCGAACCCGACAACTCATCAAACCTGACCAAAATATCTTGGCACTACCAACTTGTTGATTATTCCATCATGTCTCAACAGCACAAAGCTTTATTAGAAGAACACGAAAGTAGACTTCAGTTTGCCCTTCAAGCCTACAATACTAAGCAGTTTCGGAGCTATCGAGCAGCTGCTGCCGCCTTCAATATTAAGTACTATACCCTTACTGAGCATGTCAAAGGAAAGCTATTTTGATGCGATACACGACCTAATTGCCAGAAGCTCACTATAACCGAAGAAGAGATACTTGTCCGATATATTCTCGACCTCAATTCATGAGGATTTGCATCCTGGCTATGTGAGGTAGAAGATATGACTAATAAATTGTTGGGGGTGTGTGGTAGTATGCCAGTAGGCAAATGCTGAGCTAAGAGATTCGTGACACATTCAGATCAGCTCAAGATAGCATTCAATCGAGCAAAAGATAGGCAGAGAATACTACAGGAAGATCCTGAGATAATCAATACATGGTTTAAGCTAGTTGCAGATACCAAAGCCAAGTACGATATCCACGATGATGATGTCTACAACTTCGATGAGACCGGGTTCCAGATGGATGTAATTAGGTTAATGAAGGTTGTTACAGGCTCAGAGAGATGTACAAAGCCTGAGCTCATCCAGCCAGGCGATCGCGAGTGGGTGATGGTTATCCAGAGTATCTGCGCTACTGGATATATAACCTCACTATTCATTATCTACAAAGGGTGTGTCCACATCTCTGCATGGTACAAGGAAGAAGATATACTACATACTTAGGAGCTCTCAGTCTCTGAGAACAGCTAGACAAACAACACACTTGATCTTAAGTGGTTGAAGCACTTTGATATATATACAAAGCTGTGTCAAGTTATCAGATGGTAAGCTAGTTTATGGATATCCCATCTGGGACTGAAGAGGAAGACTGGGAGAAACTGTCTATACCGGTACTATCTGAGGATATGTGGCTAGTGATTCTGCAGTGGCTAGTGATTCTGCAGTAGCTAGTGATTCTGCGGTGGCTAGTGATTCTGCAGTGGCTAGTGATTCTGCAGTGGCTAGTGATTCTGCAGTGGCTAGTGCCCTGCGCAGCCTTGGTGCCCAGAGAAGGAACATCAAAACCGGTGTCAGGTCTCAGCCTCACACACACAAGCATACACCTGAATACAATCAGTCAACCCATCTTTATTCAATCTTTCTGTCACCGTGACATTTCAGATATCATCAAATCTGACAATTAAGAGTCTCACTGCCTTTACCAACATGTCTACCAACACGATCAACAACCAAACTCAAGCCACTCTGGCTACCAGCAAGGACTGGACCTCCTGGTTCACCCAACTACAATCCAAGGCAGATGCATCGGACATCTAGGACATGATTGATCCTGATGGATTCAAGAAGTTCATGGAAAGACCTACTGCTCCACTCAAGCCTCAAGCCTCAGAGTATGAGCCTGCACTCCCAGCTATCACCACTATTGAGACTGCTTCTTCTAACACCATGAGCACCAGAAACCACATCCAACAATCTGTCCAAGCTACCTCCACGAACGATGAAGCAATCGACCACATTCCACCCAGATTCCTGTCAGACCTATCAACTTCAGGCCTCAAGGCATACAAGGATAACTTAGAAAACTGGAAGATGGAGATGGAGGCATACAAGGAAGAACGGAGGGAGTGGGAAAGAGAACAAGCAAGTCACAAAGATTTGATCAAATACATCCAATCCACTGTCTCCAAGCATCTGCAGAAGACATGTTGCCACTTTGGTACCCAACTGAGAGAGCAAATCAGACTCCTCAGAACCACTGTTAGAATTGAGGATGATGTGAAAAGAGACAAGGCCAGGGACCATTATCTGGTGGCTCTGAAACCTATGAGATATGCCACCTCATGGAAAGGTTGGCTTGTAGAGTATGATGAGGCTGCCACTGAAGCTGAAGCTGAAGGGGTCTCTGAAACTCTGAGAATTCATGATGTAGTCAAGGACTTCCTGACTGCAGTGCAGAAAGTTGCACCAATCTGGACATCACAGTTCAGAAGAGAACTCCAGAATCCGAGGATATTTAGGAGACAAATGATGAAAGAGTTCAAGATGTATATGGAAACTGAATACCCAGTGAAGAACAAAAGCCACAGGGGGGCATTCTTCACTAGTGACACCTCATCTGCCCCTTCTGAGCATGGCATGCCCATCGAGGGCAGCAGACAGGATGCTGTTTATGCTGCTGATACTCCACATCAAGGTGAAGAAGGGGAAGACCCTGAAACCATGG